CGGTCGTCGGCCTGGGTGTTAGCACTGGCACGCTGGCACATTTCGATCCCTCAATCCCTCTCTCGATCCCTTGCTCACCCACCCACCCACCCCTTTCGCTCTCTTCCATCACTCCTCAAAAGACCCGTCCACCCGTCCACCCATCCGTCGCTGCAAGACCCTGGCCCTTCCTTCCCTGGCCCTCTCCTTGTCCTCCTGCACTCGTCCACGGCCTCCACTCCGCGCCCTGCACCCCCATCGACCATCCCTGTTCCCTGGCCCTGCAAGCACAAGGAGCGACCGCTCTGCATGCCTTTCGCGTTGGCTTAGGCCGTTCGTCCACCTCTTCTGGCTCACTGGCTTGCTGGCACTCATCCTCCATCGACATCGACACACCGACTCTCGTTCACTCAGCTCACTCGTTCGACTTTAACTCTCACTCGACACCTCACACGTCGACCACCTCCTCCACGCATCTCGCACTACTCACCGGATCCAGCAAACCTAACCCTCCCAGTCGCCCCTTTCTCGCTCCTGTCATTACTCCCGTCAAGACAATGGCCTACCAACCCGGGCCGTCGTACAGGCCCCAGCCTGGCCAGCCCATCTTGAACGTCGACCCGCACTCCCAGGCCATGTCTGGTCTGCAGTCCGTCGGTCGTTCGTCGCCCATGCCCCCGGTCCCCAGCGTTGCGCAGACGAACATTGGCCAGCCCGGCCAGATCGGCTCCCTCCCGGGACAGCAGAACACCTACATGGGTCCCTCGGGTGCCGTCACCGGCTCCGACCCCAACGGCAGCAACGGCGCTAACGGTGCGAGCCCCGCCGACAAGGGCCCCGACTATGTCTACTTTGAGCGCCTGCCGAACCAGTTCTCCGAGTCGACGCGCGGCAAGGCGACCGCCGCCAAGATGAAGCTTGAACTTTATTACAAGGAGGCAGTGGAGGGCGTCGTCGGACGCAAGGAGAGGTAAGCTGACTCATGCGGGCAAATTAGCTGACAGACAGGCGGACAACGCTCGAGAAGCAGCTCCACGCCGACTCGATGATGCCCGACTCGCAGAAGGCACGCCAGCTCCTCGCCCTTGGCCGGCGCGAGTCCAAGTGAGTCTACTGGAGATCTAGCAAGACGTCCGAGCTAGTGCTGACAGATAGCTTCCTCCGACTGCGCCGCACACGAATTGGACTCGAGGACTTCCGCACCGTCAAGGTCATCGGCAAGGGTGCGTTCGGTGAGGTGCGGCTCGTGCAGAAGGCGGACACGGGCAAGATCTACGCGATGAAGTCGTTGAGGAAGAACGAGATGTTCAAGAAGGACCAGCTCGCCCACGTCCGCGCCGAGCGTGATGTGCTCGCCGAGTCCAACTCGCCGTGGGTCGTCCAGCTCTACTACTCGTTCCAAGACACCAACTACCTCTATCTCGTGATGGAGTTCCTTCCTGGAGGAGACCTGATGACCATGTAAGTTTGCCCACAGTGGGACAGGGTTCCGGCAAACCCACTGCCTTCCTCGGATGTGAACGCCACTGACAATCCAGGCTCATCAAGTACGACACTTTCTCGGAGGACGTGACCAAGTTCTACATGGCCGAGTGCATCTTGGCTATCGAGGCCGTGCACAACCTGGGCTTCATCCACCGTGACATCAAGCCTGACAACATTCTCATTGACTCCATGGGCCACATCAAGCTGTCCGACTTTGGTCTGTCAACAGGATTCCACAAGCAGCACGACTCTGCGTACTACCAGAAGCTGCTCGGTGGCGGCGATGTGTCGAACCACCGACACTCGAGCACGGGCCAGGCGCGCAACAGTGTCATGGTGAACAGCATCAACCTCACCATGACGTCGAAGCAGGATATTGCGACGTGGAAGGCAAACCGACGAAAGCTCGCGTACTCGACTGTCGGAACGCCGGACTATATCTCGCCCGAGATCTTCCTGCAGCAGGGCTACGGCAAGGAGTGCGACTGGTGGTCTCTCGGTGCAATCATGTTCGAGTGTCTCGTCGGCTACGACGTGTACCGTAAGATTATCGACTGGCGAAACCACCTCTACTTCCCGGACGACGTGCACCTCTCGCGCGAGGCTGAGGACCTTATCCGGCGCATGCTGTGCGAGGCCGACCGCCGCCTGACGGTCGAGCAGCTCAAGGCTCACGCCTTCTTCTACGGTGTCGACTGGTCGACGATTCGCAACATTGACGCTCCCTTCGTCCCCCACCTCCGCTCCATGACCGACACGTCGTACTTCCCCACCGACGAGCTCGAGCAGGTCCCCGATGTGCCCGCCGGTGCGGACCAGGGCTCGAGCGCGACCAAGGACCTCGCGTTCCTCGGCTACACCTTCCGCAGGTACGAGATGCTCTAGAACTTGTTCCCTTCCCTCAGTGTGTTTCCCGTGGCCGCAGCAGCAAACAGCAGCAGCAGCAGCAGACTTGTATGCATAATGTGTTCCCATTCACTCTCTTCTAATACTAGTAACTCATCTCGAGGCCCGACTGCCAGAAATCGCGCTCGAGCTTGACGCACTCCCTAAAGATCTCAGTGAGCTGTGCGAGGCGCGCCTCGCTAGGCGGGTCCTCGGCAACCCTCCGCTCGAGGTTGGCGATGCCCCTGCGCACGGCGCCGATAAAGTCCTCGCCGGCATAATCCTCCATCCACCGCTTGTAGGGGTTGCCCTCGAGCGTGGCTTCGCCCGTCTCGACGCGGTTCGCGAGCCACAGCCCCACCTCGCCGTACCCGATCAGGCAGGAGAGGACGGCGACGTACGTGTCGAGCACGTTGCCCTGCGACGAGACGTCGAGCATGTAGCGCGCGTACGCGGAACAGGCGGTGGATTCGGGCGCGGCCTCGAGCTGAGGGCGCGAGATGCCGAATTGCTTGCAGTACTGTAAGTTAGTGTAAGCCGAGCGAAGCGAGGCCCATTCTCATCTAGGCGAAGACGGCCGCTGAACTCACCTCGACATGCATCTCGCTCTCCTTTGCGATGTGCAGTGCAATCTCTGCGAACGCCTGGATCGTGTCAAAGTCGGACGCCTTGAAGGCGCCCAGGCCGTGCACGCGCGCATAGTGCCGCAGGTAGTGCCAGTCCTGGACGATGTAGTGCTTGAACGCGTCGAGCGGGAGCGTGCCCTGGCCCAACTGCACCACGAAGGGGTGCTGGACGTACTCGTCCCACAGAGAGCCGCAGGAGCGGATCAAGTGGTCCGTGAACGGCGTCGGATTCGCGGTCGTCGGCCTGGGTGTTAGTTTCTCTGAGCGGAGTGTGAGAATAACTTACGGCGGCAGCGGGCGCTGCATACTGAGATGGCCGTGGTTGAGCGGCCCATGCCCGGCTCCCATGGGGAAGGCGGCGGCAATGGCGCCCTGGACGTAGGCGATCGAGGCCGCGATGGTGTCGTCCGAGATGTGGTGCTTCCTCTTCTTGCCCTCGTCGTCGCCGTCCGTCTTCTGCTGCTCCGCCTCAGCCTCGAGATCCTCCCGCTCCCTCTGCTTGGCATAGTTCGCAGCCAGGGCGGCCGAGAGCGTGCACCCCGTCCCGTGCGTCGAGGACGAGTTGACCTTGGGGCCGATGAAGAGCCTCACCCCGCCCTTGTCAGCGAGCACGTCGACGACCACCTCCTCGGCATCCGGGAGCTGGAGGCTCGTCGCGTAGTCCCTGCACACGAGCGAGTCGGGGCGGAGGTGGTACACCTTTGTGTCCTGTTCGAGCTTTGTGCGGCGCACGTCGCGCGCCGAGAGGTCTAGATGTCCACCCTTCAGGAGCACGGCGGGGCCCTTCTGGGCCAGCTCGCGCGCGAGCGCAATCATGTCCCCGAGACCCTCGATCTCGGCCGTGCGCTCCGCGAGCACAACGGCTTCGGGGATGTTGGGCGTCAGCAGGTCGACGAGGGGGATGAGCTCGTCGCGCAGCGTCTTGGTCGCTTCTTGCTTCAGCAGATCGTGTCCGGACGTGGACACCATGACGGGGTCCAGAATCAGATACGGCGCCGAGGGCGTCAGCGACTTGAGCGCCGAGAAGAAACGGGACAGCTCGAGAATCGTGTCCGCGCCGGCGAGCATGCCAAACTTGACTGAGGCGGGGGGCAGGTCGTCGAACACGCTCTGCAGCTGCGAGATGACGAACGACGGCGGGATCGCATGCACGCCCTGCACGCCCAGCGTGTTTTGCGCCGTCACGGCCGTCAGCACACTGGAGCCGTAGCAACCAAGAGCCGTGATCGTCTTCAGGTCCGCTTGGATGCCGGCACCGCCGCCGCTGTCGCTGCCTGTACGTCAGCCAAAATAGAGATCGAATGGACGTACCCGCAACAGTCAGGACGTGCGGGGGAGGAACCTGCTCGAACATCGCCTTGACGTTCTCGGTGACGCTGGCGGTAGAGGCCATGGTCGGAATGTCTACTTTTGTTGACAAGCGGGTCGGACAAGGGTTGTTAGATACAGATAGGGCTCTAGAGCCGTCGAAATATCTACAGAAGGAAGAGACGGTGGACGGAGGGCCGTGGACGTATTGCTGCCGAGGTGTTGAGTCGAAGAGGCGCTCGGAAATCGCAATATCACGGATCTCACGGAGCTTGGTGTTCGGCCCAAGCGAGCGCCGCGAGCGCCCAAGATTAGATCACCGCCGCGACTGGCCGCATACCGCCGGGTCCTCATGTCCGGTCGCACGTGGGAACGTTGGTCCGCTCGCCTCGGTCTCGCACCCGCAATAGCCGTGCAGGTACAGGTAATAAAATAATCGTTATCAGCTGCGCGGTTGAAGACCGATCCGGCCGTAGCGTTCCTTAAGAAAGCGAGCCTAATCGAGCCTGAATTCCACCAGCAGGCTAGCTAGGCTAGATGCGAGCTTAAAAACCGGAGTACTAATCGCGGTCTAATTACGGGGGACGCGTGTGATTGCCAATGATGTCAACAAGCGATGGTCGCACATGGAGGCAGATACATGACTGCGGGCGATCCCTTGCTTCCCGAGACCAACAATCACATCCACCACATCGCCCACTTACACACACAAACACAATCATGTCAGCCAAGGAGAAGGAGGACCGTGAGTCATGCTTGGACCTCTTGTGACCCTGCACTTCCATTAGGGGGCTGCGGGGAATTGCGGGGGTGGATGGATGCGCGGATGCGCCATGTAAACAAATTGAGACTGACAAGCAGCCAAGCGCGCCGAGGAGGCTGAGGAGCCTGTACGTTTGACCCGGCTTTGGGGCAGCTGCTACGCCCTGCAATCTGAGCTGACATCCAGGTTGAGGAGGAAGAGGAGGAGGATGACGAGTTCGAGCTTGGTGATGATGACGAGGAAGACTACGACGACGAGGAGTATGATGAGGAAGACGATGACGGCGATGAGGACCCTCACGCCGAGGGAAGGGCCATGCTCGGCCAGCTCCTGAACGTGAGTCGTCTGCACTCTCCCTTCCCCTTTCTCTCCCCTGGCTCGCTTGCATCAGCATATTCCCATGCTCGGCATCCCCGCGGCCGGCCATTTCGCTCTCCGCGCTCGGCATTCTCATTGCCATCATGACCTCCAGGCTTTCCTCAGGTCCTACCTCACGCCATTGCCCAAGCTGCTTGTATCCTTGTCCTCAGCTAACGGCAGGACGAGGACGTCGAGACTGACGAGGACGACGGCGACGCGGACGGCACCGACGACGTGCAGCTCGGCAAGCGCAAGGCTGGCGCCGAGGAGGCAGCCAACCCCGCCGAAGAGCCCAAGAAGAAGAAGGTCGAGACGTCTGCCGACGTTGCCGCCGAGAAAGCTGACGACGGCGGCGACGAGGACGTCCAGCTCGGCAAGCGCAAGGCCGACGAGGACGAGGCGCCCGCCAATGGCGAGGAGCCGCCTGCCAAGCGCGAGGAGACCGAGGCGGACGTTGCTGAGGAGAAGAAGGTCGACGGCGAGGCGCCCTCTGCGGAGGTCGCTGCTTGAGCAAGCTGCGGCGTGTAAAGGCAGACGGAATGAAGGAAAAAGTGGAATCAATCTGAAGTGTCTGAAGTGTCTGAAGTCAAATGCTACACGGACTATGCATACTGTATTGTCTAAGTTATGGCGCAAGCAGTGCTTCGATCTCACGCACGGTCTCCCTTGCACGAGGAAGGAGGGTATACTCTCTCGTGCTCTTGAAGCAGTCAAGAACTTCACGGATGAAGCCGTTGCGCTCCGCCTCGCTAGGCGAGAGGTCGGGCGAAGCTGGCGGACGCTGTCGTTAGCTTTCGTGATGCACTTCACGCAGCTCGTCACTCACCTTCATGTTGCCCAAGATGCAGGCCCAGAACCCCTCCCAGCCCCAGCCCGCATCACGCGCAAGCAGACCCTCGACCTCGGCGGCCCACTCAGCCTCCCATTCGAGCGTGCCGTCCGGCAGTGTGCTGTTGCCCAATCTCGCCTTGATGTCCGCTTGCACGTCCTCGATCGCTTCCTTCACGCGGTCGTTCGCAAGCGTCATCTCCTTGTATATCCGGGGCAGCGTCGGTGAGGAGAAGAAATTGTGGTTAATCGAGATACACTGCTGTTAGCTCACGTTGGACGAAAACGAAGCTCACGAAATCAATGTTCACAACCTGATGGTGCCATCCCGAGGGGACGTAGATCACCTCGCCTTCCTCCTGGACGATCTTGACGCCAAGTTGCCCCTTCTCCGTCCCACGCACGTCAAACATGAGACCGCTGCCTTCCCGAAGCTGCGCCTCGGTGCCAGGAGGGAAGAGCCACCACACCTTCCTACCCACGACGTTCGCGCTCCACGAGTAGCTACCGTAGACGTCGCGGTGCAGTGGCGTGAACGTGCCGCCAGGGCCGAGGTAGACAAAGCGGAAGTCAGCAAGAGACGCCGGCATCTCTCCAGCAGAGGAAAGGGAGAACGGCGGGCTGAGCCAGTCATCTGGGGGTTAGTTATCGGGCCCGGTGGCTCGCAAGCTGGAGCGTACCTAGGAAACATGCCGGCGGTTCGTAGACGTCCTTCGCGGCTCCGCCTCGCTCGCACAGCTCAGCGATCAGATGCCAGTCTTTCACGTAGAGCGACTTCCCGTCGCCTTGTATCCATAAATCCAGGACTTCGCCTAATGGCCGGTCTGAGCGCTCAAACTCTGAGAACTCGCGGGCGGAAGTATCGGCAACGGGCACGACTTGGTCGGCGTACGCACGCAGCGCGTCGAGATTGGGCTGGGAGACACCATCATTAGAATCGCTCGAGCGCCATGCCGTTGCTGGCCAGTTTGTTGTTGCCTTCCCCGACAGGAGGAAGGGGGTGTTTGGGATCACATGCTTGTGCTGTTGTCAGTTGGATGTCTTACAATGAACTCACGAGGAAGTCGTCATAACTCAGTTCATCGTAAACGGGAAATGGGCGAGAGGGACCCGCAAGAGAGGAATCGAGGAGATGTGCGCGCTCGCTGTCGCTAAGGCGAGACGGCACCATGAACCGATGGTCGACGCGTATGTGAGGAAGAACGGAGCAAGAAGAGGGAAGCCAGGATGAAACTCGACTTTCTGGCGCGTGTTGCCGGTGCCTGGCTGTTACCACTGGTGGTGGCAATTGGGTCTGAAATTAGCAGTTACGTCATTTTAAGCTCTGTTAGATCCTACTCTCGTCCATCCTGTGAAGAACGCGTAGCTTGCAGGGAAGTGCGGGGTGTACGAGAGCGGTTAACGAGAGACCGAACCGATTACTGCGCCGACTTCACAGGGGCGTGAGTGGTATGCAACGATCACAACTCTGCTCCATCCCTCACAAACAATGACAGCAGAACAAGCCGACCAGATCCCGCTGCCAGAGCATACCTCCACGCTCGTGATCGGCGGCGGACCAGCCGGCCTCGTTGCCCTCAAGTACGCCCTCCTTCACTCGGAATGGAACGAGGACGATGAGCCTGTGCTCGTTGAGATGGAGGACGAGATCGGTGGAACGTTCCGGTGAGCTCACAGCGGGATACGAAGCGCCAATACAGAAAGATTAACTCCAGGTATCGGGCGTACGAGGGAGCGGAACTTGTGAGCTCGAAGCAGCTCACATGCTTCTCCGACTTCCGGTATCCTCTCACAGCGCCGGACCACCCGTCCCTGCCAGAGTTCGTATCCTATCTGAATGCGTACTCGCAGCACTTCGGACTCGTCCCACACATTCGAACGCGGAGCCAGGTCATCAGCCTCTCCCGTGTCGGGGGCGAGTACCCGCACGAGGCGGTCATCCGTGTAACATCGCCGTCAGGAGACGTCAAGGAGCACACGATCCGAGCGCAGCGAGTCGTGATCACGACTGGCCTGCACGTCAGTCCGAACATCCCCTCCATCCCCGGGCTGAACGCTGAGCCGATCACGAAGAAGATCCCCTGGATCCACTCGTCCGAGTACAAGACGCGGGATCAACTGAGGGGGCACAAGGTGCTGGTCGTTGGATGCGGCGAGACGGGCATGGACGTTGCGCACGACAGTGTACATGCAGCGAAGAAGACATGGCTCGCCGTACGAACTGGCTTCCTCTCGTTCCCAAAGGTGCTGAATCACTTCCGTATCTTCGGCACGACCTTTGACGGCAATCTCCCCATAGACGGTCTCATCACCAACCTCTTTGAGACGACCTACGTGCACCCTTGGGTCGCAGCGAGCCACCTGCGCTGGTTCGTCAGCGACTTTGTGGTTCGTCGCGTGCTCTGGCTCCTGACAGGAACCAGTGCGGGCTGCAACCAGTGGGCTGGTGAGCTGCCCCCGGAGAGACAAGGGCGCGCCTACGTGTTCTTGAACAAGGTAGGGTGACTGTAGAAGGAGGTAGCTAACTGAGCAGAGTGCCAAGGCGATGCAGTTCGTCAATCGGCCGTTCGAGAATATGTCCTGGCTGCACCGACTGCTCTTCAGCTACTCAGACCCGCCACTCCCTGACGTTGAGGACCCAACGTGTCATCTCGTGCCCTTCCCGGAGCGATTCGAGGACGGGCGAGCCGTCTTCCCACCTCCACCAAAGCACCGTGCCAAGGAAACGGCGTGGAAGGACATTTGCGACCCAGACCTCGTCGTGTTGGCGACCGGCTACCGTCAAGACTTTGACTGGCTTGGTAAGGAGTATGCGCGCCCGGACGAGTTGGACGTCCGAGGTGTCGCTCACTCCTCGGACCTGAGCGTTGGCTATCTCGGCTTCCTGCGCCCAGGCGTCGGCGCCATCCCCCCGATGGCTGAGATGCAGGCGCAGTTCTTCTTCCTCCTCACCCAGGGCAAGATCCAAGTCCCGACCTCCGAGGAGCACTACCACCTTCTTCATGGTCCCAATGCGCGAATTCAGTACGGTGTCGACTACTCTGGCTACATGTCGACGCTTGCGCGAGACATGGGCTCGGCACCCGGGCTACTCGAGCTGTGGCGCGAGTATGGAACTTTCGTCACACTTGTCTACTGCTTCGGCGCAGCGTTCCCGAGCTTCTACCGCCTTGTCGGGCCGTACAAGTCTGCCAAGGCCGAGGGAGTTGTCCGCGAGGAGCTCTGGGACACGATCCGCCGCCGCGGACTGGCAGGCAACATCGCAATGGGCGTGATTCCCATGGTAAGTCACCCTCCCTCTTCCCTCTCATTCTAATCTCCGATCACCGACTGACGTCAGATGTTCTACGCAGTCGTGAACACGATCGCGCTCGCGGTCGACGTTGCTTGGACTCTTGCGTCGCCCCTGTTCGGCCGCCCACGCCACAGCGTGTTCACGATGAAGGCGATGCCGAAAATCCAGGTGACGGCACCTGTCATGGATGGCGTGCTCAACGTTGCCCCGGGACAGGATGTCGCCATTGTCCCGCCCAAGGACGTAAACAAGGGCGTCGCGAACGGATTCTCGAACGGCGTCATTCGCTCCGTATCTGCTATCGAGAGCGACGCCGCCGCCCTTCCGAAGGCGATCCCGAAGCAGACCTAGCGATACAAGAAAAGACACGGGCATAATGGACAGTGTTTGGCATGCTGATTCGATGTACGACCTAGACGGACAACTATCGGTATTGGTATTTCGTGGAGTTTGGTGGCAGGAGAATGTCCGGTTTGGCTTGAATTGATATGTTCACAGCTGGAAGGAGAGATACTAGCAATGGTACAACAAATTTGATTGACTACTACTGACTATGCGGATAAGACTGGGCCGACCGGGGCTGGCCCATCTGCTGACCTATACAGTGCGAAGACTGGAGGTGATGACGGAGGAAGCAAGAATGGAATGCTGAACGGAGGGAGAAGCGGGATTGGAAGATAAGATAGCGGCCAGGAAACTGGAGTGAAGTTCAGGAGTGGGGTCGTCGATCGTTGAAGACAGCCGAAGTGTGGGTTAGGCGTTCGGAAATGAGGTAAGGTGTATGTTTGGTTGCCGAGATAGAGGATAAGGGACTCGGATGACACTCCTAAAGGCTCATGAGAAGCTTGGTCATCTCGTCGGCGGCCTGCTGCTCCTTCTCCGACAGGGGCGCCATTGATTCGTCGGACTCAAAGTCCTCCTCGTTGTCCGCATACTCGTCGGAATCATACGTATCGGGGTGAGTCCTCCCCTCGGGAGAGAACTGCACCCACCTACGCCACCAGTGCGCCACGACCTTCTTGGTGCGTGTGTCGACCTCGAGGAAGTCGGCGTTCGCAATGACCCCGTTCCAGTTAACGTGACCAGAAGAGAGCGCACGCTCGAAAGCGCGTACATCGCCCCAGTACAGCCAATGCAGGAGAAAGGGGAACGAGCGGGGATCCGGCAGCGGCACAAGCACTTGGCGCACTTGTCGGAGAGAGCCGTTGGGGGCTCTGTCGGTCGGTGAGCCGGGGAGAGACGGCAGCTCACAGCAGCCCTTCAGCGATTGGTCGGAGGGGTCGACAGTGTGCGAGAGGACTTTGTTCATCAGCCCGGACTGGAGGCGCAGGTAGTCGCTGTGCACGGCAAAGCCCATCGAGGGCACTGAAGCGTCAGAGAATGAGGGGGGCGGCGGAGGCGTAGGTTCGTGGTGACCATTCGCCATCTTGGCGGTCGCCTTGCCGTTCCTCCCCTTCGAGCCCGGCAGCTTGCGGTCCCGCGAGGTGAAAGCTGTCTCTCCGCCCTCGCGTGATCCGACACACTTGAGCTTCCCATCCCATGTGTGAGTGGGTACAACTGCGTTGTTAGTGCTACGCTCAAAAGTGAGGACTCACCCAGGACAAGGTCACTCGTGCGCGGGTTACACCAGTTCAGAGGTGCTTGCTTGTGCAGCTGTTCGATAGGGCTCACCGGCGGGCAGTCCAACATCATCGGAATGTGACTGCCTCGTCCAACCGTGGCAATTGGAGTCTGGTCGCCATGACTCATGGTTGGCGTACGCTCGGAATGTGGAAGAGGCCTCGCAGTGAGCGGGGTGGCAGGGTGAAGTAAGTGGTCGCGTGTCGTGTCATACTGTCGTGGAGCGCCGGCGACCAGTCCAGAAGCTTCAGTATCGACTGACAGGGATGACGTATTGTTCGAGCTGAGGCGCGAAGACGAGTGGTGAGACGGACGTCCGGCATTCCCGTTGATGCCGTTTAACGAGATGGACAGCGCTGGAAGGCGGGGCAGCGTTGACGAGGACAGAGCCCGGTTGGGCTCAACGTCACGCCCTGCCCTGTCGTCGATTGTAGGGCCACTGTGGAGATCTTTGCGCAGAGTCGTCAACGCCGAGTGTGAATGACTGGAGAGGTTTGCTCCGCGACCGTTTAAGGCCGACCCAAGACCGTTTTGGCGGTAGATGGCTGTTACTGGCGTGCAAGGGCTGACCGTTGGCGGGTTTGACCTTGCTGGAAAAGTCGAGAGCTGAGGAGAAGGGATCGTGAGCTGTGACAGATGGTAGGGGGAGGAGGGGTCGATCCCTCCCTGCCGTGGCTGGAGTGGCGGCCTTGTCCCATTTGTACCATTCGTCAAAGCGGCCTTGTGCGGACCTCTTGGATCAGCCATGACGTCGGGCAGCCCGCCCAAGCTGTTAGTTCCAGGAATTGGACCACGACTTGGATCATCATACTCAGTCGAGAAGGGAGGATGCACTCGGTGCGGTTGAATCGGGTCCGCTGACCCTACCGCTCCTTCATGCGCTCCTGGACCACCCTGAATGCCGGGGCTCGGACCCCGGGACCCTGGGTTTGCTCTTGCACTCAGGTCCTGGGCTCCATTCGCAACTCGCGCCTGTCGTGCTTGTGATGGTTGTTGGGGGTAGAGGCTGCTGAAAGCGAGCGAAGTTGATGACTTCAGATTCCGAGACGCGATCGCCGGCAATGGGGTCGATGCCCGGCGAGGCGTGTGCAACGGCGAACCCCGAAGCGCTGGAGAGTGAGGTGATGGAATAGACGCCGCACGCCCAGTCAGCACCGGAGTAGCCGAACAACGCCTACGGCGCATATGAATCGATGGCCGCCGCCCGCCGTTGGCCTCACCGCCTGTTGGTTCCAAGGGCCGCGATGTCATCCTCGGAGGTGAGTAGGTATAACCTCCTGACCTGTCCTCAAATCCGCTGTTGGCGAGAAGGGCAGGGTGCGTTGGAACAAGCATGATGGGCGGGCGGTGGGGCGACTGGTCGTGTTATAGGAGATGTGTGTGAGCCGGGCCACCGTCTTCGCTCGCTCTCATCTGTGACAACAATAGAATCGATGTCTCGGTCCGGGTATTGGTGAGCTTGGTCGACGTCGAGTTGAGGTATGGCTGACTGATACGATTGCGAAGCTTGTTTGCGTGTGTGTGAGACTTGTCGCGGGCTGGTGGAAGCCGATGAGAGGGGAAGGAAGCCAGCTCGTTGCTTTATGACACCCGGCGGCAAGTCGAAGTGCTTGGGCGTGTTATGATGTGACTGATCGTAGATTGGTATCTTCGTGGGTGATCGACACGGCGCCGAGTCTCAGTCGTACTTAACGGAAACCCGGCAGAACCGACGTCGGCATCGAGACAAGGTTTTTTAATCGATCGAGGGGTCTGGAGAGCGTCGGGAACGGTATGCAGTGTAATGATAGTGAGTCACCCGGCGATTCCTTCCATCATCGTAACTTGAGGCCTGCAAGCTGGAAGAACTACCGTGCGCAAAGACCTACTAGCCGGCAAGCCAACAAGGGTAGACAGGGTATGGAAATAGGGAGCAGGCGCGACCTGGACTCCAGCGGGTGAGATTCTGGCTGTAGGGCGTACGCGGCATCGTGGTACGGGCACAGCTGACGAAAATTAAGTATAAACACGTTCATCCGATTTCGGCCCTACGAACCCTGGACAATAACCCGCTGATGGATGCGTTGGCACTGAGCCAATGCTCCACTCCTGCAGTGTGGTCGCTGGGAGCAAAGGGATCAGAGACCGCGAGGCCTGACGGCGCCTGAAGGGAACAGTGTCCGACCGATTTGTTCAGACGAGGTGCGTGCTGAGGACTGTCTGGGAGGAATTCTGGACGAAGCTCTGGTCCGACATTCCTCGAAAAGAACGCCATGGCACTGTGCCCGCCATTAAGTGCTATGGGGTGATGTCTGCATCGCCTATTCAACGCAATTCAGCCGCTCCCAAACTCTCTTCCCTGTGAAGAGATTGCCAGGCGCTGTGTAGCTGCTGAGGCTGCCCGTGTGACGTAGTATGAAAATGGTGTGGCGCCCGACCCACTCTGCAGGCCCTCTTACTTCCACAAGTCACGCAGGACGAAGTCCTTCTGAAAGATACAGGCGCATTAGATGCCTCTTGGCTCCTCACTTTGACAGACCTCGGACAATAGACAATGTTGACGAAGGTCTTAGCCTTCGATGCGACCTCATACCGCGCTGATGTCTCTCCCCTTATTGTCCCGCCGCAGTGACCACTCGACTAAATGCCTCCCAGCTCTCACTTCTTCTTGCCACCTTTTTCACGCACGCTAAGGCAGAAGGATGAACTGTCAGCCGTGCTCAAAAAGGTGGAGACGAAGATTAACCTGTGGCTTTAGAGGGACCGAGCGTCGGTCGGCGTGCACTGTTGATGGCGTGCCCTTTAGGGGCGAGATCACCCATGGGGGGCTTTTGATTGGCAAGAGGATCGCCAAGAGCCCGTACTGTAGCTGGGACGGTTGATTGCAACTCCGTGCGCCTTGTCATGACATAAGATGCATACTTCGAACGCCCTTTCAACACGGACGGGCCGCGGCAGAACCACTTGAGCCGCTGCTGATCATCGTCACAATCAACCGCTTCGGGTCGTCAATCACGGCTGATCGTCAGCACAGTCCAATGATAGGGTAGAAGGAGTCGGAGAAGGCTTTGCATGCATACATCACCGACCAGTGGCGCCAGAGCGTGCTCAGATCAGCAACGGATTTGGATGTTTCGACTCCGAAACTTTTTGCCAACAAGAACAATGTCTGACTTGTCACCCATTTGAGCTCTCTCCTATCCCACGCTTCTCGCCCATGCGCGAAGCCTGACTCTGCTACCTTCCCCCTGTACCCACACCTGTCACCAGTGAATCTTTCCAGGCAATCAAGCAGAGGCCCATGAGGGTCTGACTGTGAAGCGTATGGTGGCGTCGGGCGCAAACCAAATCCTGAACTCAGGTGCGTGTGGCACTCTGATCCTTTTTTGCCCTATTGTTGAGATCGCACTTGACGCTCCCAGCATCAGCACAGAGTTCGCCGTGTATCCTGTGTTTCGACCTCAAACTCGCCTCCCCTTTTCCCGAATACGCTTGCGGCTTCTCTACAAAGTTCACCCGACTTATCATTAGACCCACTCCTGCCAGAGATAGGTCTCAAGCTGCTCCGCGGCATGTCTGTCTGCACATGCGAGCGTGGGATACCGACCAGCATTTTGGCGATGGCTGATCTCCCAGTGCCCCTGCAGCATTGGTCTCGCCGGCGGAGTTTGCCCTGTTTTACTGACCGCTATCCATCAACGTCTCATAATACGAGGAACAGCTCGGCAGCCAGTCCAAGCTCTGAGACAAGTAATTGAGTCGGACGGCGTATAGCTTCTGAGACAGCCATGATATTGACTAAACCGCGTTCATAAGATCTGTCTCGAGCCTGGCATGTTTGTGGGAACCGGAAGATGAGGTATGAGCATGGGATAAATGTATTTGCGGCAAGTGCGGTAACGGCGTAACCCGAGATCTGGCTGGTATGAGGCGGTTGCGCATGGAGCAGCAGATAGGCTGCTGTCTACGGCCACCGATGATCGTCGCCAACCCCCACTCGGAACACAGCATCCCCCACTTTCCAATCCCGGAGACTGCTCCCCACATGCTGAACTGAGTACCCGTGTCTTCGAAGACAGAGTGCGTGACCTTACGACGCAATGGCTCCAGCTTGTGCCTCCCACAGGCCCGCACTGTACACTATGCCCGAGACCGATTATGGAACACCTAGCATCTGCCTCAATGAACTGAGTGTAACGAAGATGGGTCGCGCGAGCGCTCGCACTCGTGTAAGGTTTGTCTCGTTACGGTACAAAGAGGTAGAACGCCCTGGACATCTAAGACCGGAAGACGAGGTCTCGGGCTCTGCGCACCAGTCTAGCCGATCGGTGCGCCAGCTACCTGGGCGACAGAACGTTACTGGGTTGATGGCGCCCGACGGAGACCCCGTAGGCTCCAGAAGTCTCCGGAGGGCAAATGAGGCGGACCCGGCCCCCGCCCCGCTGGCGTCCAGCGGGGATTCCGGCGAACGTCTATGTGTCCCCCCTGGCCTGCCCGCTTGGTTGATGACGTAGGAGGAGACCACTAACGTTGTTCCGTGAACTGTCACCTCACGCTTCACATTCCACCTCTTGAGGTCACGAGGAGTAGCTGACATGCCAAGTGACGCGGCGCAGAAATGCCTCACTGGGGAAAAGCTCAGTGACCGCTTGTGGAGTCGTGTCAAACGCTGGCACCAGCGTCTCGCCAAGACCCTGCACTAGTGAGCCACTGTGGCTCACTTGTCTCGACCGACGGAGGTTATCCGATACCGGAATCCGTCGCACCCTAGTGCAGACTTGCGCTGATCCACAGACCGTACCTGACAGTGCTGTTTGGTTGATTCCAGCGTTCCAACTCCGGGCACATGAGATCCAGTGACCCTGCAATGGATTAATCCCCAAGTTGACACCCCTGTCCGCCCCCGCCGCCGCTTCTCAGCGAGGTCGCATCAGTGTTTGTGAGTTCATGCGATGGTAGTGTTCAAGCTCTTTTTTTCCGTAGACTCGATAGTGTTCCGCGCCAAGGGATGAGGAGCGGACGACAGCGGCTTCACCGTCTCCCTTGCGTCAGAGGCGGTCACCCGAGCAACCCAAGCGAGGGTCAGATCAAGCATAACATGTTTAAGCCGAGCAAGAAAGCGAGGCGCAAGCGAATGTCTCCCGAAACCGGTCTCGGCGATTGGGTCCCGCCTCCCAAAGAGGAGCAGGTGTATCAGATATCCCAGCGGGGCTGACGGTACCTCGGCGTTGTTGTGGTGAGCGTGACGGTGCCTTCCGAGTCCGACCAAGGTGCGACAGCGACGGAGAAAGGCACGACGGGTGAACAGAGCGCCGGAGCGTCCGGAAACAGCTCCATCTCTCCAGGAAAGGTTACCAGTCTCTGAAGGTGTTCGAACCAGCTGTCATTCGTCAGTGGCCCCCAACTGGAAGCATTGGAACCGGCCACACTGAGCGCCCCTAGGGCCCAGCAAAGCCAGACCGTCAGAGGCGTTGTGTTGCTGTGCACCGCGATCCATGCATTGAGCGGACCAGCGTCATAGGAGGCGCCGCCCTTGGCGCCGTGTGGCACTGGATTGCAAAAATGCCTCACTCGCCTATTGCCTCTTCGCCCTCTGTCATGCCTTGAAGTGCTCTGCCGTGGCTCAGCGCCCAGCGCCACGGAGCACTAGTGAGCCGCGCCAGCTGCGCTTCCCCAGCTCCGCGGACTTGCCAGACTGCACTCCCTTAGTGCCCAATGAAGCACTTGGAACGTGAGTTTCTTGACCTTCTGTCCAAACCTCACCGGAATCGCCGGGCGCTGCAGAAGGCCACAGTCCGAGCCGCTAGCTCGTGATAAGGTGGCTCTCCGGGCTTTGCTCAGATGACTGAATGGCTTCCATACCTTCGCCTTCCTGTTGCGCTTGACGCCTCAGCGCTTGGCGCAGCGCGTGCTATTATGAGTATGCCTGCATCGATCCTTCTACAGAGCCTTGTTGTGGGCTTTTGGTTTTCTATGCGATTATTTGTGGTCAGGTCAGCTTAAGCCTGGCCAGCAGTGGTACGGCCAATGGCGCGGGACACACCGCCCTGGAGAACGGGGAGGTCCTTGCCCTTGCCGCTGGGCGGGGCCTCCATGAAGCCGGCGCGGATGAGCCAGGCGATGTAGAGGCCGACGAGCTCCTCGGAGACACCCGAGGTGGCGGCCTCGCCGCCCGACTGGGCGAGTGCCTGGGCGTTCGAGTCGTCGAGCTCGACCGCCTTGGTGCTCGTGGGCAGGTCGTCGAGCACGAAGTGCAGAAGCGGGAAGAGCGCGTTGTCCTGCGTCTCGAGGACGTGCTGCTCCAGCCGCGTGCGCCATTGCACGTACTCGACCCGGTTGACCGGGTAGCCGTACGTCTGGAGCGCACCGAGGAGGTCGTTGAAACGCATGCGCGGGTGGCCGCTGACATGCGCGACCTTGAAGCGGCCGTTGGGGGAGGCGCTCTGCGTCGAAATGGACGCGAGGAGAGCGACGTGGTCGACGGGGCACATGTTGAGCGTGTTGTTGATGTCGGGGATGAGGCCGAGCTGGAGACAGCCCTTGACCATGCGCCAGATGAAGTCGTCCGTGTTCGTGACGGCCGTCTTGGTGTGGCCGAGGATATAAGAGGGACGGATGATCCAGCCGCTGAGACCGCGCTTGGCAGCCTCCATGATCAGCTTCTCAGCAACCCACTTGCTCTGTCCGTAACCGGCGTCGAGACCGACACGGGCGTCCTCGAGGTCGTCCGACTCGGAGATACCAGTCTTGCCGGCCTGGAGCAGCTCGTCCGACTTGCGGACAAAGTTCTCGTTGTCGAGAACAGCGGTCGACGAGATGAACGTGAAGAGCTTGGGCTTGGTCTGGTTGCACAGCTGCAGACACGTGAGCGTCGAGAGGACGTTGGCGGCACGCATCTTGGCGTACGGGTAGACCCAGTGCACGACGGCACCGTTGTGGATGATGGCATCGGCCTCGGCAGCGACACGGTCGTAGGTAGCCTGGTCCAGGCCGAACTTGTCGTCGCCGAGGTCACCGACAACAGCCTCGACGCGGCCCTCGGTGACCCACTTCTCATCCCAGATACCACGGCCCTCGCCCGAGTCACGGAGACGGGCGATTCCATCCTCTGCGGTCTTGGCACGGACAAGACAGATGACCTTGGCGGCGTTGCGCGAGAGGAGGTCGCCGAGAATGAAGGCACCGAGGTAACCGGTAGCGCCGGTGAGGAAGACAGTGTGCTTCTTGGCGGCAAAGTCGGCGGGAAGGGGCTCGTACTTGGCCGGCAGCTCCTTGGAGAGGATAGCGACGTCGTCGGCATAGTTGACCTCGGCGACCTTGTCCTTGTTCTCGGGCTCGTGGGCGTCGAGACCAGCGTTCGAAAGGTCGTCAACGGCGGCAGCGAGCTGCTCGATCGTGGGCTTCTCGAAGACGAGTCCAAGGGGCGCGTCGACAACGAAAGCCTTGCGGATCTCGAAAATGAGGCGGGTGGCGAGGATCGAGTGGCCACCAAGGTCGAAGAAGTTTTCATCGACGACGGGGGCGAGGGAAGAAGCGACTTCCAGATGTCGTGGATGCGCTGCTGGGTGGGGGTGAGCTTGGACGAGGAGCTCTTGGACGGAGCGGCGGCGAGCGCAGTGTCCGGGAAGGGGAGGGCGGGCTTGTCGATCTTGCCGTTGGGGTTGAGGGGCAGCTTGCGGAGCGGGAAGTAGACGGCCGGGACGGCGTACGAGGGGAGCTTCTTCTTGAGGTGCTCGCGGATGTCACGAATGAGGCGGCGGTACCTGCGGACACCGCGGATCATCTCCTGCTTGAGATCGACCTCGTCGTCCTCCGGAGCGTCACCCTCGGACGCGGAGGCAAGGTTGGCAACCTCGGGAACGTCGTTAGGAACAAAGTACGAGACGAGGACCTTCTCCTCGTCCTTGTCACGACGGACAAGGGTGACGTTCTCACGAACGAGAGGGTGGCGCGACAGGTGGGTATCAATCTCTCCGAGCTCGATACGGAAGCCACGGATCTTGATCTGGTCGTCGGCACGGCCAGTGCACTCGACGCGGCCGTCGGGGAGGTAGCGACCAAGGTCACCGGAGCGGTACATGCGGTCGCGGATGCCGAACCAGTACTTGGCGGCCTCGGGGTTGGACTGAACGAGAGTGTCCTCGCGCTCAACGCCCTCGGTGAACCAGTTGGTGACAAACTTCTCGGCGGTAGCAGCCGGGTCGAGGTAGCCCTCGGCAAGACCACCGGAGCGGACGTAGATCTCACCCATCTCACCGACGGCGCAGGGGACGTTGCGGTCGGTGCGGTTGACGACGAGAAGCTGGACGTCGATCATACCCTGTCCAGCGGGCATGAGGTCCTTCTGGGTGGACAGGAAGGTCTGGTCCTCGTTGACAGAGGGGATGGCAAAGTACGAGACGGCACGCTGCGTCTCGGTCGTACCGTACATGTTGATGATGCAGACGTTCTTGGCAAGCGACTGGAGACGGGTGCAGTCACGCTTGGTAAGAACGTCACCGACGAAGAAGGCGTTCTTGAGCGACGGGATCTGGCGGGTCGCCTGGGCGGACAGGAGCTGACCCATGGCGGGCGTGAGGTGAGTGACGGTGACCTCGTTGTCGTCCATCCACTCGGCGAGGCGGCCGGGGGTACCAATGTCGTCGGCGGTGGGAACGTAGAGCGAAGCTCCGAGGAAGAGGGGAGTGAACATGTCACGCTGGATCGGGTCGTGGGCGATGCCAGAGAGCATGGTGAAGCGCGAGTCGCCGTTGAGGCCGAAGCGCTCAGCCATCCAGGGGAAGAAGTGGGTGAGCGAGAAATGCCTTCCCTTGACACCCTTGGGGATGCCGGTCGAGCCAGAGGTGAAGGAGAGGGTCGCGTTGGAGTCGGGGCCGAGAACGACGCCGGTGGGGGTACTGGGCGAGCTCCTGGTAGGGAGCAAGGATGTCCTCGGCGGCGCCAGCGGGCGAGCCGGTGATGCCGTTCTCGGTCATCTTGATAGCCGGAATGTGGACACGGAGGTCGAGCTTCTCCTTGATGTACTCGGAAACAGTGGGGGAGAGGACACCGGCGCTGGAAATGACGAGCAGGGCCCGAGGAGTCGAGACCTGGAGGTAGACGATCTGACGGTTCGGCGGGTACGCGGGGTCGACGACCGAGAAGATACCGCCGGCCTTGAGAATACCCATGACACACACGACGAGGTCGACGCTACGGGCGGCGTAGACCATGACGACCTCTCCGCGCTTGAGGCCGTTCTTGAGGAGCGAGTGAGCGAGGACGTTCGAAGCCTCGTCAATCTGGCGATAGGTGAAGGTCCTTCGTCCGCGCGACGGGCCGTCGAGGATGCCCTGTCCCTCGGCCTGCTCACACTGAACAACACAGGGGCGGTCGGGGTGGGCCTTGGCGTTGGCCTGGAAAATGTCGGTAATGGCGCCGACGTATCCGCACCAGTCGAGGTCAGACGAGGGGTCGGGGACAACCTTGGCCTGTGCCTCGGTACGGATGGGGAGCGAGCCGATGGGGTGGGCGGCGTCGTGGGATGAGGCCGACTTGAGGAGCTGAATGAGCGAGTCGAGGACGGCCTGAACGCGCGCCTGAGTGAACAGGAGCGAGTTGTAGGTGAGGCGGAGGTAGAGCTTGGGCATGGCCGAGCGAGTGGCGGATCCCTGCTGGTCCTCGGCGAGGAGGAAGAGGGTCCAGTCAGTCGAGAGGGATCCCGACGGGTCGGCGTCGACCTGGGTCGAGTCGAAGAAGCGGACGCGGTACAGCGGTCCTTCGGGCTTGAGGTGGTCGATAAGTGCCGAGAACGGGATGACGTCCTGCGCGGCGTCCTCCTCGCGCTCCATGACCTGACGGAGGACGTCGAAGAAGGTCATCTCCGCCGTAATGTCGAGCTTGAGAAGCAGAGGAGCCGTAGTTCCCGGGGCGCTCGTGCAAATGACCATGGAAGGGTCAGGGGTGTAACGGAACAGGAGGATGACGAACGACGTCAGCAGCAGGTGGTACGGCGTGGGCAGCGGCGCCGAGGGGAAGAGCTCGCTGAACTCGTACGTGAGGTGCATAAGCGCCGGGGTCAGAGACGGCGGGAGAGGAAGCGTCTGCACCGACTCGATCATCTTCGCGGGTACTGGGTGGGTCAGCTCTCTATAACTTCCTAGATATCGGAGCAATTTAGGTCCAGCGGGCAACTCACTGGTTCTCGGGTAGTCTGTGGGGAGGGCGAGACTCGGCAGGGTGCCGAGCCTCTTCGACCAGCGGCCCAGAGAGGCCTTGAGGTCGGTAGCTTGCGCCATGGTATTTGTTTGGGAGGAGGAGGATGGAGAGGAAGCTCGACAATGTGTGGCTGCCACTGTACCCAACTTTTCCGACGTAGGGCTCTCTCTCCGCTCCTGGCGCTCGTTGACTCGCTTGACTCGGAAAGCTGGGCGCGGGGCACGCGGAGAACTACGTGCGGCCGACTCGGGCCGGCTATCTCCGGACACGTCATTTACCACGTGGAGGTGACCACACCTGCGCCTTCCCCCCTCATCAATCGCTGGTGGAGGTCGCTCATGTTGCCGTCTCCCACTGTAGCTGACGATGCCGCGCAGAAGACAGCAGCCCGCAGAGCCCAAGACCCCACCCGGCGGATGGCGCGTTCTCTCACCCGACGACCCCGATGCATGGCCGCTGGCTGTTGTGTTCGATCTTGAGTGAGCTCTGCCAAGCGAAGGAGCAAGCTGACTCCACCAGCTACACCTTGTGGGACCTGTGGATTGACGTGAGGCGGCTCATGGAGAATGGATATTAACAACAGACCCACATCACGCCACCGCTGAAACGTGTCGGGGAGGACATCAACCGGCTAGTCGACAGGTGCGCCGCCACGTTGCCATCACGGTCGAGCTGACGAACAGGCGGGGCTCGAGCCTCTCCTTCTATCGAGAAGTGCCCGGGATTATGCAGGAGCTCAAGCGGCGCAACATCTTTATCGCTGCTGCCTCCCGCACTGGTGCTGTGGACCTGTCCGTGCCAACATATACGTCAAGGCTGACTCCAGTGCGCGCGAGGCACTCTCCATGCTGCTGATTCCGGATACTGAGGGCAAACCGACGCGAGCTGCCACATACTTCAACGACGTAAGTACTCCATGTGCCACTTCAGCTGACAAGCAGATGGAGATCTACCCGGGTCCGTATTGATTTGCGCTCCCGATAGCTCCACACTGACAGTGCAGGATCCAAGCTCCGACACTTCAGAGAGATCCACCGTAAAACTGGAATTCCTTACGAGCAGATGGTGTGTGTGCCTGTGCGTCTGTGCTGATGAAGCAGCTATTCTTCGACGACGAGCACAGAAACTTTGAAGTTGAGGATCTCGGTGTGACGATGCAGTTTGTCAAGACGGGCGTCGACCGCAAGACTTTTGAGGAGGGTCTTGCCCTCTGGCGCCAGCGCCGCGGTATCAAGGTGCAGCGTGAATAGATAGAGAATAGATTTCGCGTAAGATTCGGAGTGCATAAATCTACAGTTGCATAAACCACCATGCTGCGCTAAAATGTAATTAATATCGTTTAAGCTCCCTCCTCCTCGGCGGCAGGCTCCTTCTTCTTGAGCTCGAGAGGGCGGCCAGTGACACGCTCGTAGACCTGGGCGACGTCGTCGCAGAGGGTCTCGAAGTGGGTGGTCGCGTCCATGGAGCGGGTGATGAAGATGTTGTCGTCCTGACCAGTGGAGGTGGGCTCGTAGATGGGAATGATGGAGACGAACTTGTCGACGACGTTGCCGAGAAGCTGAAGACCGGGGAGGATCTCGCGCTCGGGAACGGAGGTCTCAACGATAGTCGACACGATCGCAATGTACACGTCCTTAGCAGCGACATTGTGGGCCGACGACACGGCAGCGATGTAGATGTCGTTCTTGCGACCGACCTGGTTCTGGGGGATGATGATCTGGCACGAGTCGGCGTTATCGGTGCCAGGGATGGGGTGCTTGAGGATACAGATTGCACGGACGACCTTTCCAGTCTCGACGACGCGGATTCTACCCTCGGCGCCGGGCTCCTGACCAGCTCCAAAGTAGCTGGGGTCACCAATAACCTGCTTTGCCTTCACGGTCTCACCATCAGAGGTGACACCAGTGAACTTGCCGGTCTCGGGGTCGACGTTGATCGAGTCAATCTTCTTGTCGAGCATGTAGGTTCCACCGTAGATGGCGGAGAGACGGGCAAAGGCCTGGGGAAGCTCACCGAGACCGTAGAGGGGGTAGAGGTAGGGGGACTTGCCGTAGCGGGCCATCGACTGAGCGTAGAGGCTGATGCGGTCCATGGTGGGCTTGGCGGGACGGTTGAGGTAGTCATCGTCGAGCCAGAGGGCCATAGCGTGACCGATGAAGTCCTGGGTGCCGGCCTCGAGACCGAACTTGGTGTACAGCTCCTTCATGGTCTGGGTGGAAGCGTCAAAGCCCTGGTGGGTGGACGGATCATCCTCCTTCCAGCCCTGAATGTACAGGAAGAAGTTGCGCGCACGGCGCTTCTCGAACAAGCCCATGAGCGAGCTGCGGATAGCCTCGGACTCGTTCGAGGGAACCTTGGCAATGCGGCCATCGCGGTAGACGTGCGAGCCAGCAATCTGCTTGAACTCGAGGTACCGGGTGACGTCGGTGTGGACGAGGATCTTGGTGAGCTCTCCAGACGCCATGATGAACTTGGGAGTCAGGTCCACGGCGTAGTCGCGGTCGCGGCCGAGCTGGAGGTTCTCAGGGGGAGGGCTGTTGCGGAACTTCTGGTAGAGCTGGGTGAGGTTCAGAGAGGCACTCTCGCCACCGTAGTAGTCGTTGCGGTCCATGTGGAGGACCTTCTTGCCGTCGACCGACAGGAGACCGGACAGGATGCACTCGGTGAGGCCGGTGCCCTGCAAGCGTGAGCATGAATCAGACAGGTAAATGGCTGAGCGCCAGTCTTACCAGAACAACAACCTGAGATTGTTAGCGGACTGCAGACGAGGTATCCGATGTGCCCAAGCCAAGCCGGCGGCAAGGAGGCCGAGGGCGTTACTCACGTCATACTCCTCGTCCATGGCGGCTGCGTACTCGTCTCGAGCTGTGGTTACGAAGGAGGGTGTTAGGAGTACAAGTCTAGGAGGCGCGAAGCCAGAGTGGTAGGTTGAGAGAAAGAGAAAGGGAGGGAGAGAGCGATCGAGATGTATTTGTGAGATGCTGGGTTGCTGGGTGCTGGCAACCCATGCGCTGGCCTGCTGGCGAGCCGCGAGCCAGGCTCCAGGCACGCCCGTCAAGGCGGCAGGCTATGGCGTCTGGGCGGCGGCGCGGGCGGCGCGTCATTGCTGAAAGCAGATGCCCATCCGGTCACGTGATTGCTTCAGTGGGAGGTCATGCATGCAGGGATCGACTGGCTGCGTGCGCGGGCAAGGATGGCTGCTCTCGGTGTGCGCGGTGTGCTCACGCTCGGTCAGGCTCGCTCACCCACTCACCACCGTACGGTGGCATGCCTCTCGGGGTATCGGTGATACCCGTGTGGCACTTGAGGCCTGTCGCTCGTCGTTACCTTGTGTGCTATTGACGACGCATAGCACACACTCGCAGCCGGGCGGCCAGCATCATCCTCAGCTACACCCCCACCCCCTCTCTTGTGCAAACCTCATCAACGCCTACCGGGTCGCCTCAGGATTGGATTCCTGGCAAGGGCGTATCTCTGGCTCACCCCTCGACCTCTTCCCACCCAGCCGACCCTCGTCCCGACTCGATAACGCGGCGCACTCACGACAGTCCGGCCCTCAGTTCCCTCACTCCCACCCACCCCCTCATTTCGTCCGCAAGCCACTCGCATTTCCTACCCCCTCCTTCATCCTTCGCCCTTCTTCACACTCCATTCCCATCACTCTCCCCACCACATCATGCAGGGCCTCGTCGCTGCGGGAGTGCCCGCTCTGACTTACGACCCCGTCAAGCAGCGCTACATCGACGTGAACGGTCGCGAGTATCTGCCGGACGAGCTGGAGCAGGACGACGACGAGTTGGAGTTTGGTGAGTGTTCATCAGCGCATTACAATTTCAGCGCGACAGGCTGACGCATTACAGACTCATCCTCCCAAGGCTCCTCAGACGAGACGTCGACTGTTACTTGGATCGTGAGTCGTTGCATCATTGCGCAGCCAACTAATCACCCAGACATGGTTCACGTCACTGCCGGGTCACGACTACTTCTGCGAGGTTCACGAAGATTTTATCGAGGATGACTTCAACCTTACAGGTGAGCAGGTGGAACTGAACGCTTGCTAATTTCGCTAGGACTCCAGTCGCTGGTGCCCTTCTGGAAGGAAGCTCTGGAGATGGTTCTCGACGTCGAGCCAGGTGAGTTCCCACTATCCTCTCGAAGCGAACGTAACTCATGCATGTAGAAGAGGATTCCTCAAAGATCCCCGATGTGTCAATCGTTGAGTCATCAGCGGAACTCCTCTACGGTCTCGTCCATCAGCGGTTCATTCTGACGAAGCCTGGTCTCGTCATGATGGTGGAGAAGTACGAGGCGGGGCACTTTGGGATTTGCCCTCGTGTCTTCTGTCATGCTACGCATGTCCTGCCCTGCGGCCGCTCCGACATGCCCGGAATCGACACCGTCAAGCTCTACTGCCCCAACTGCGGTGACATCTACACCCCTCCTAGCAGCAAGTACCAGCAGGTCGACGGCGCCTTCTTCGGCACATCATTCGCTCCCCTCTTCTTCCAGACATACCCCGAGCTTCTGTCTGCTCCCTTCGCCCCTGCTTCTCCGGGCTCCTCAGCACCTTCGCGTGACCGACACATGTCCCCGGACCCTTCGCGCGTCGGAGGCGAGACCCTCACCAACCCGAACCCGCACGGCGGACAACGGCCGGCGCTCGGCAAGGTGTACGTTCCCCGCATCTACGGCTTCAAGGTCTCCGAGCGGGCCCGTAGTGGTCCGCGGATGCGTTGGCTGCGTGAGCGACCAGAACGCTACGATGAGCTGGAGATGGTCGACCACAGGGGTCGTTGGAAGGATGGAAGCGCGCCCCAGGATGTCGAGGTTGGCGGCAAGCCGGCCAAGACTCGTGATGGGCGTCTGTTCGACGACGACGATGACGAGGACGACGACGAAGAGGAGGAAGAGGAGGAGGAGGACGCTCCGGCAGGTGGAGCTCCCGTTGCGACGACACGTAGATAGGTTAGATCGTGGCAGCATCCATTATACGCACACAACACAAGTAGTAGTATTCTTAGGCAATCATCATTTCCCTCAGGTGGCTACAAAAGCTGAGGTGTTGGTCTGTTGGCATTTTTGGCTCCATGTAGTCTGTGATGTGATTCTAGTAGATTATTCCGGTTTCTCACTATCAGCTGCGAGCACTGCGACATGATCGAGAGGTACGAGACAGCGCGACTGTCACAGAGTGAGAAGCATTCGATGGATGCCGATGGTTGCCACCAACGCACGTGATCGCACCGGGACGCGTCCTCCCGCTTTCGAGCCGCCAAGCCGCAGGCTGCGGCAACCTTAACCCATCTTCTCGTTGTCAACTTCGTCCACTTTTCTCACAACGGTCAACGAGGGCCAGTATGGTCTACCACGACAAGCCTGATGAGCTGGCGGGTGAGGAGTTTGAGCTCCCGCACGACCACGACGACAATGCGCCGTTGCTTCCTCGCTACGAAGGTCCTTCCTCTTCCTCGCTGCCAGCACACCCGAAATACACTCGCAGCGGACCACGTCGCCGCAGGCCGTTCCTCTGGATCTGCATTCTGCTCGCTATCCTGATTCCGAGTGCCGGTTTTGCTGCGTGCTACTACGAGCGCAAGGGCGGCAAAGCCCTCCGCTACGACGGCCTCCCTGACAAGGCCAAGGAGTGGCTTGACAAGGTCTGGGGACCTCACACCGGCTCTGCTGAGAATGACGACTTCCCCGCTGAGTAGGTGGAACAGCGCAGACTGAGACTGATGAAGCAGTGTCGGTTTCCCCGGCCCGACCCCTACCGGCAAGGAGTGAGTAACGTAGACAGGCAACGACTAACCGTCAGGGCTGCGCTCGTTGTCACGGCTCCTGCGCTTCCCGAGTATACGGGGGTGAGCCCGATCGTCCCTCCGCAGAACTCCAAGTTCAAGGACTTCAGCATCATCAAGCACTGGGGCAACCTCAGCCCGTATCACTCTGTCAAGTCCCATGGTCTCCCGTCGTCGAGCCAGATCGTACCGAAGGGCTGCGAGCTGGAGCAGATGCACTGGCTCCAGCGCCACGGTGCTCGCTACCCTACCACGAATCCCAATGGACCCGCCGGGCTCGCTACTCGCCTGAAGGCGGCCAAGTTCAAGGCCTCTGGCAAGCTCAAATTCCTCAACGACTGGGACTACAAGCTCGGTGCTGAGCTCCTCACGCCATTCGGACGCAGCCAGCTGTACAACCTCGGTGTCTCAGCCCGCATCAAGTATGGCTTCCTTCTGGATCGCATGAACGGCACCAAGCCCGTGTTCCGCACCGAGAGCCAGGACCGCATGCTCCGCTCCGCTCAGAACTTTGCCGCGGGCTTCTTCGGCATCCCTGACGAGGACCAGTACAACCTGCTCGTCATGATCGAGGCGCCTGGCTTCAACTGCTCGCTCGCACCTTACCATTCGTGTCCCAACGACAACAAGCTGTACCCGAACGTCAACGCCAAGCTGGCCACCTGGGACTTTATCTATCTCAAGGATGCCCGCAAGCGCCTCCAAAAGATGGTCAAGGGCTACGACATCACCATTCAGGACGCCCGTGACATGGTGAGTTGCTATGTACCGGGAGCCAGCTGACAAAAGATGCACATGTGCGCGTATGAGACCGTTGCCCTTGGTCACTCCGCCTTCTGCGAGCTGTTCACTGAGAAGGAGTGGCGAGGCTACGAATACCGCAGCAGCATCTACTGGTGGTATGCTGCGAGCTTCGGCAGTCCCGTTGCCCGTGCCGAGGGTCTGGGCTACCTGCAGGAGCTTACTGCGCGTCTTACTGAGACCCCGATTACCGAGTTCAACTCGTCGATCAACTCGACGTATCACACCGACACACGCTTCCCCCTCGGTTACCCGCTCTATGCCGACTTCACACACGACACGACCTTCGCGCAGCTTCTGCCGACGATGAACCTGACGACGTTCGCCAAGGCGGGCCCACCACCGCTCGACCACATCCCGGACAACTGGCCCTTCATCGCTGCTAAGTTCTCGCCATTTGCCGCGAACATGCAGGTGCAGGTTCTGTCGTGTCCCGCGCGCACGGAGAAGGATGCCGACTTTGACACGAACATGTTTGAGGACCTCCTCGGCAACCTCAAGGAATGGTGGCCGTTCGGCAAGCATGGCTACGCGCTGAAGGAGAAGCGCATGAACGTCGTCAAGCCTGCCGGCCCGCTCAACTGGCCGTCTGCCTCTTCGGCTGCCCCTGAGCCGACCCCGACCGAGGAGCCCGAGGAGGAGCAGCCTGAGCCTGAGGACGAGGAGGACGAGGAGGCCCCCACTGGCGAGAGGAAGCGCTTCGTGCGCCTCATCCTGAACGATGCCGCCGTTCCGCTGACCGGCATCCGCGGGTGCAAGAAGGACCGTGACGGACTGTGCGAGTTTAACGCTTTCGTGTCGAGCATGCGTGAGCTCATTGCGGGCGTCGATTTTGCCTACGACTGCAACGCCGACTACGACATCACCGAGGAGGTCACAAACGGCCAGCCGAACCGCCGCCACTAGTGCTCCACTTCCTTTCAGTGTGTATAGAGCTGATTGTATACCCCATGTTGTAGATGCGGAGGAGAGATGCAACTTTTCTACCCTGGCAGGCAGGGCACTACTAATGCGAGTGGTATCTAGATGATCTATGGTGAGCTAATTGTACAAAATCTGGCTTCTCGTCTCTACGCGAGGTGCTCCTTGACGTTCTCGCGCTTCTGCTTGGCGACCGCAGCCTTGCGGAAGAGCCACACGAGATTCTCGTAGACCACGAACGTGGTACACGTCCCGGGGAGGATGCGGATGGCATTCGTGCCGAGGCCCTTATAGAACGCCCTCAGCCCTTCCTGCTGGTACGTATTCCGGATGACCTTGGGGATGGTCAACCCCTCGCTAGGCGCAGCGTTCTGGATACGAGCCCTAACGACCTGGTAGGGGTATGTGAGCGCGATAGCGACAAACTTGGACCCGCCAGACGTGAGGATGTACTCGGTGTTGGTGAGCTTCTCGTCCTCGGGCTGCCACTGCCGCCCAATGGCTGCGAAGCGTTTCCGCTTAGCCTCGACTCGCCGCCGCTTCAGCTCCTCGTACGTCGCGAATTGGATCGAGCCGTTCGACACGCCCACGAGCGCGAGCAGACTGCCGCGGTACAGGCCTCGGATGCCCTCCGTCTTGTAGATGCGCGTGAGCGAGTCTAGAGTTGGTTAGCTGGGACTTAAGGAAGGAAGGGGGGGAGGGAGACTCACTCCACAGCCCAGAGTACGCTTGCGGGTCGTTCTTTGGCGTCGCAAAGATTCGCGTCTTCACGACCCAAATTGGATTCGTCATCAACGCCGTGATCGTGCTCGCCTCTGCGGCCGCGAGGAGGTGCTGTCCCGCACTTGTTCGGTACGCCGGGTCGCCGCCCTGCATCTGCTTCTTGATCATGTTGTAGCTGCGTGTTAGCTATGCTTGGCAACTGCTGACAGCTGCACGATGCCTCGGCGGCCAACCGGTCAGCCAGACAGGCAGCTTAGGTGCGCACACGACCACCCGTCGACTCCGGAGCATCTGGAGTACACAACGTTCCGATCCAAAGGAGACGATGGTGCAGCTCGGCCCACCCGCTCGCAACTCACAAGAGAAAGTACAGTCCCCAGCTGGAAGCGCCTCCGACGAGATTCGGGACGAGACCGCGATACAGGCCGCGCCAGCCGTCTTTCCGCACCGCGTCGCGGAGCACGTCGTACAGCGCCATGCCGAAGCGGTGTTTCGGCGCGTTGGCGTCGGCAAGCTGGAACCGCACCTTGACCAGGTCGAGCGGGTGCATCACCAGCGTCGCTACCGTTCCCGCGCCGAGACCGGCGACGGCGTGGTCCTGTCGTTAGCTTGGGACCAGAGCCGAATCAGATTATGTCGGCTTGGGCTTCCCTGCCATGCTGAGCCGTTTCACTGCCATTGTTCATCGTTAGAGATGATGAGGAAGTGCCCCAGGTCATGCAGAGATAGACAGCAGACAAAGGTATCCAAAAGCCGATCGCAAGTCCGACAATGAACACTTACGACGCTGATGTCGCCGAAAAGCGACGGGGGCGGCTTAGCCGCGTGAGTCGTGCTCATGCTGTCTGTCGCCCGTTCGGGCCTTGGTGGCGCTTGTAGTCCTGTCGGTTCGGCGCCTGTGTGCGCTGTGTGTGTCGACAGCCAGTGTTGGGAGTCGGTGCAGACGAGCGTTGGAAGATGGACGGAGCGGTGGAGGACGGAAAAGTCACAGAACTAAACTCGGCAAGTATTCCTGACCCCCAGCCAGGTTGTGGGCGGTACTTAGCCGCCCAAAGGCAGGCACCCAGGCAGGGCGGACAACGGAGATCCGCGATCAAGCCATCGGCCATCGGCACGCTCGGTCAATGCTAGTCACCGCATGTCTCATGCTTGGGCCTCCGCATGCTCGAGGATTCTTGACTCCGCTCTCTGCTCTATGCGCTCTGCTACTGGCTACGCAAGAATGATAGGAAATACATCATCGAGTCGACATACAAACGCCCCGCACTGTGTTGCGTCTGGATCACGACATCCGCAGTCTCCAACTTGGTGGAGGTATACCTTTCCGAGGAAAGGAGTTGTCCAAAGGAGGCCGAATCACTTGCAGTTTGCTCTTGTCCACTCGACGAGCGCCTTGAGGGCCTCCCACTGCTTCTCCCTAAGTTTCTCACTCTGAGGATTGGCCTCACATGCGTCCACGAACGCCTCAGCCTCCTTGCGTGAGGCGCAGAGAGGGTGTGGGTGTCGCGACAGTGCGCTGTACCAGCTGCTTCATCAGCTCACAATACCGGCGAAGAGCCCACTACTTGGAGTTCCAGTAATCGCCTGATGCGTCAGCTACAACGTTGGAGGAGCACCAGCTTACCTTCCCTCCGGTGCAGAGTTGCGTGTAAGAGATCGGCGGTCGGGTCCTGGTATCAGCTGGCACCAGTTAGAGTACAGCTCACGCCCTCGCTCGCCTGCGCTATCAAGTGGCAATTATTGATGTCGTCGTTGGCCAAGTGTAGGGCTGTGATGTCAGCTTTCAAACGGAACGGAACGCAGCTCCTCACTCCGTCGTTGCTTTGGACGACCGAGTGCTCGAGGCTGAGCCGGGGATGCTCTCCACCAATGGCCGCAGTTACTCACCAGCCTTTGTGAACCGATGCTCGTCGAGGTCCTTGATGGCCTTGGTCAGATCTGGCGCCCAGACCTTCGTGCCCGGTTCCAAAGGAGGTAGGTCGCGTGAGAAGAGCCGCTCAACGACTGCGTCGGTAGAGGTGGACATCTTCTGTTTCTGGTAAGTAGCGGAGGAGATGCGTGCAACGCGGATTGAGGATAAAGTGAGATAACGTGGAAGACGTCGGGTTGCCGTAGAGCGTGAGAGAGTCATGGATTGTCAACTTCTGTAGATGCGCTGGTCATGACGTGTGGATGACTGGTGTCTATGACGATCGGAGGCGGGGATCTCCGGTCCGCTCAGTGAGGTACGAGGTATCAGTGCATCGCCGCCGCTCTATCTACAACACAGTCTACGAAAGATCCTGAGCATCCAGCTCTCCCAAAAGCATGTTCGAGTCCTTCGATCCGGTCAGGATGATGGGCTCCTTCGGGTGCAGGTCGACGCCTGTGACCGTTCCCTTGTGTCCCGGAAGCTTGTACAGGATCTTGCCAGTCTCAACGTCCCACACCGTCACTGTCCGGTCGCCGCCTCCCGCAGCTATCCGCTGTCCGCCGTCATGTTTTGACCACGCGCAGCGGATCAGCGCAGACTCGAAGCCTGCCGGCGCACCGGTCAGACTACGGTACACGCGCATCGGGTCCGACGCGAACGGTCGCACGTCGTAGATGATGAGAGCAGAGTCAAGAGAGTAGGTCGCGAGGTAGTGGCCGTTCGGGGAGAGCGCAAGGGAGGCAATCTGGTGTCAGTAAAGTTTGGAGATCGATCAGCTTACGGTGTCGGTATGTCCGTGCAGAGCGTAGAGGAGCTTCTGGGTTCGCAGGTCCCAGACCTTGACCTCATTGTCCACTCCGCCGACAAAGCACTGGTTGCCGTCTGCGCTCCACTCGACAGCCGTCACTGGACAGTCACGCTCGTCGTCAAACTCGATGACAGGCGCCTTCGTGTCCAGCGACAGGTCCCACACGCGCGCGATCCCATCGTCGCCTCCCGTCAACACGAGTTCTCGTCCACCAGAGATCGTGACTGCAACGGAGTTGACCGGTCCGTAATGCGCCGAGTACTTTGCTACGCGCTCTCCGGTCTTCAGGTCGATCGCAACGAGATATCCGTCAGCGCCGACAGAGTACAGAACCTCCGAGTCGAGCGAGAAAGCAATGTCAAGGACGGCCTGCTTGTGGACGTTTGGCAGGATGCCATAGTTGTCGTGCGGCGGATATGTCTGCCAGAGCGAGATGCTTCGGTCCACCGACGATGCGGCCAACGTCTTCCCAGACGGGTCGAACTTGCACGCAGTGATCTCTCCCTGGACCGTCAGTTCACGTAAGGAGAACCCAACTCACGCCGTGAGCTCCAGTGAGCGAGACGATAGGAGCCTCCAGTCCGCTGGTCCTCTTGATCGTTCGGACGAGAGCATTCTTCCGCTGTCCCTCACCAGAAGACGCAACCGTCAGAGTCATCGTGTTCTCATCCTCGTCCTCCACCCTCGCGCGCTTCGTCACGGCCATGCCCGGCCCGGAGGGCGGCGGGTCTTTGCGAACCGACATGTTTTGGCGTTGTCGAAGGGAATGTAATCACTCTCAGACTCTAGTCGAACGTGTCGCTTTTGTCGTTTCGGTCACTGATCTGTCTGTTTGGCGGCCGTCGATTGTCAGGTCGAGGCGTGCAAGGATGGAGCTCGATATCAATGCTTCAGTTATTTACGAGCCGATCATGCGACAAGTGGTTATGGAGGGAGCGGAAACAATGACGTGTGACGGAAGCAGATGAATCAACACGTCACTGGAGTCGCCGTCGCCAGTCTGTTGTGGTCTCAAGATGCAGTCAGCGGCAGGGATCGGTTTCGTCCAAGTCCATCGCCGCCCAACTCTCGCCGCTCAATACCGCGCAAGGGTCAACCAGCTGTCGTGCGCATCGCCGACACAGCAGTGCCACCCATGGTGGTTTGTCCTTGGTAACCCCCGCTCCAATCCCATTGCGAGTACATCCAAGGCTCTCATGGCAACACCCACGCGACGCGCCTCGTCGCGTTCCGCCCCATCGACAGCACGGAGTAGCAAGTCACAACCGCGCAACGCACCTCCGTCTTCTCCGCTCGCACATGCAGGGGGCGACATTGTCATCGACCCAGCCTTATTAGCTGAAGATGAGGCATTGCAGGATGATCTCGACGCCGAAGGTGAGGTCGATGACGGCGTCGGCTATTACCTCCCTGTACGTTGTTTTTGTTTTCGTTATCTGATCGGAAATTTCGCTGACATCATGCAGACAGATGACTACTTTTATGAACAACAAACTGCCGATGCGTACTCGGCATCCCCCATGGCCGGAGTGACTACCCCGATGTACTCTGATCAGCCGACCGCGTCGTCGTCGTCCTACTCGCTGCCGCCGGTTGACTATGATCTCGTCCCCGCTCTCCCTGCCCCTTCCCCATTATCCACGATATCGAACGGCCACGGTAACGCCAAGAAGAAGCGGGTACGCCGCAAAGCCAATGGATCCTCAACGCCCAAGCCGAAACCGAAAACAGAGAACAGCACACCAGTGCCGACCACGCCCGTCAACGGCGCGCCTGTCGTCATTCCTCCTGGAACCTGTCCGATGTGCCTTGGTACAGAGAAGCGCAATCGCGATGGAAAACCAGAAAAACTTATCAGCTGCGTCAGCTGTGGTAACAGCGGCCACCCTAGCTGCCTGGGCCACACGAACGCGGCCATGATCAAGAAGATGAGGAGCTACGACTGGTGCTGCATAGAGTGCAAGTCGTGCGAGATCTGTAAGATCAAGGCGGATGATGTAAGTCTGGAAAGCGGATTCCACTGACTGCAGATGCACATGCTGTTCTGTGACGGCTGCGACCGAGGTTGGCATTGCTACTGCCTGACACCGTGAGCTACCACGCGAGACATCAGCTAACGGCAGGAAGCTGAAAGGACCGCCTCAAGGGCAGTGGTTCTGCCCGCTTGAGCCTGAGCCAAGTGTACCGGAAGCCAGCAATCTGGCGTCGCCTCCAAAAACGAAGACGCCGTCCCAGTCATCACGGAAAGGGAAGGCGAAAGACTCAAAGGATGGCGATGCCACCCCTCGGCCAAAGGCTCGTGGTCGTCCTAGTGCTGCCGCCTCACGACAAGCTTCCCGGGAAGTGACACCTGCCGACGTCGTCCCCAAGATCAAGATCAAGGCGCATGCCTTAACAAACGGTCGGAAACGCGAGCGCTCGGAGGTGGAAGCGGACAAGGGATCGGGTGTGGTTTTACGACTTAAGGTGCCGCCCTTAGAACCGGATCCGCCGCCACCAGAGGAAGAGGAGGAAGAAGAGGAGGAAGACCCGGTCGACCCCTACGGTGGCGTGCTCGAGGGCGAGGATGCCGACACCTCGCGAACTCGGATAATACCCGCCGATAAGCAATTGTTCGAAAAGACTCGAAAGGCGGCTGAAACGAGACTCGGCGGCCCGCCAGAACCGATGTGGGATCCGCAGGCAATGATAGCGTCCCCGGGTCCTTCCTCGCGACCATCCACGCCAGGTCCGTCGCGAACATCAATCGGCTTCCCGAATCAACCTCCTGCGACCCCGACGCCAACGAAAGACCTCTCTGGCATTGCAACTCCGACCGCCCGCTCTCTGCGCGACCGGGTACTGCTGCACCAAACCGCGTCTCTCAGCGGCCTACCGAATGGTGCAGCCGCACCGACAGCCCCGAGTTCGACCCCGGCTGGCCATCCCGAACGAATAAACAAGATTCGGTTCGGAATCTACGACATTGACACCTGGTATCAGGCGCCATACCCCGAGGAGTACGCCCAGGTTCCAGACGGCAGGCTCTGGCTCTGCGAATTCTGCTTGAAATACATGAAGAGCGGTTTCGTGGCGGGGCGGCATCGGATGAAGTGCAAGCAGCGTCATCCACCGGGCGATGAGATCTACCGGGAAGGCAACATCTCCGTGTTCGAGGTCGACGGACGGAAGAACAAGATCTACTGCCAAAATCTCTGTCTGCTGGCCAAGATGTTCCTCGATCACAAGACGCTCTACTACGATGTCGAACCCTTCTTGTTCTACGTCATGACTGAAGTGGACGAGATGGGAGCACGCTTCGTCGGCTACTTCTCCAAGGAGAAGCGCAGCCCCGTGAACAACGTCAGCTGCATCATGACTCTGCCTGTGCGGCAGCGAAAGGGCTGGGGTCAGCTGTTGATTGATTTCAGTGAGTTGTGAATCGTTCTCCGTAACTGACCTCAGGTTATCTGTTGTCCAAGAAGGAGGGCCGGGTTGGCTCACCAGAGAAGCCGTTGTCGGGATTGGGAGCGCTTAGTTACAAGAGCTACTGGAAGCTATCCGTATTCCAGTACCTTCGCGACGCTCCACCGAACGTGACTTTGGAGGACATCTCTGCTGCGACTTCTATGACGCTGGAGGACATTTATGTCACCCTTCGCGATCAAGATATGATCGACGTACCCGAGCACATGACACCAGTAACACCAGTACCGCAGAAGCGGAAGCGCGGACGGCCGCCTCGCAACCCGACCCGTCAAGCAGAGCCTGAGAGCAAGAGCATTGAGGTTCCGAAACGGTATAAGATCGTTCCTGATCACTATCTCATCGAAGACGTTCTTCGCAGGCATGAGGCGAAGGGCTATCTAAAGCTCCGCCCCGACCGGCTAAAGTACACACCCTTTCTCACGACGCTCGAACCGCCTCCCGTGCCACAAATCGCTCAGCACGTCACCCGTAAGGATGAGAGTGACAGTGAAGAGGGCACGCCAGCCAAGACTGAGGCCGATGACGAGACTCCCGCCGAACCAACACCCGAAGAGGAGGCTGCCCTGGTTGCCGCGGGGCAGGACAAGGAGACACTCGAGCTTGTCGCTGCGCTGTCCGGATCACCGGTCCGCAGCCTGCGTAAGCGTTCTAGTACGAATCCTTCCCCGGAGAACCCGCAGAAACGGCTGCGTGCCTCTGCTAGTCCCGTCCGGCGGCGTACTGTCACACCCAACCCGAAGCCCAAGTCCACTCGAGCCAGCTCCCAAGTCAGCGGAGTCGAGGGCGCGATCGACTTCCAGGACACCCAAGGCCAAGACGGTCAGCCCGAAAAAGCGACCAACACCGAAGAAGGAACCACCAGGCGACGAGGGCTTCGAGGAGCCCGAGGAACCAGAGGACGAGTTCGAGGATGGGGATGACGGGGATGAGGAGTGGGGAGAGGAGGATGCGGAGGGCGAGGACGACGAGGAGTATGTTGAGTAACGTCAGTAGCCCTATTTATCCTAGATCAACCCTTGCATGTAATATTATTATAGCCTATGTTTCGATAGTTGGTATGCGCTACGCAGTGCAGAGGAGCAGGGTCACAGAGAAAGGGATGGAGACGCAACACTACTGCTGACCTCGGTAGAACGGTAGAATTCCTTGGCATGAGTATATAGTCCGACGCCATCTTGGCAGACATTAGCGCTCGTATAGTGTAGGTGGTTATCACCGTCCGTTGTGGTTCCTTATCGCACCCCGATCCGGGCTGACCGCTGTTCGACTCAGCGTGCGAGCACGTCTTTTTGGTCACCCCCGATGTAAGACCGGCGCAGCCTCGTTGGCTGTGTTTTGGGCAGCCTGTGCACCTCACTGACTCAGCTCATGCAAGGAATGTCGGAGGTGATGCCTTTCGTGAAGTAACAAATGAGCCCCCACTTTATTCTCTAGCCAGTCTCGGTATAATAAGTCCTTCCCCAGCCTGCTGGGCACTAACCGCCCATCTCGCCATTGGGAACAACCGGACTTCTTGGTCTCTATAACCCTCCTGAAAGCCGTGCAAGGCGTTTGGATATTTTCTTGGGGACAAAGGGGACCTCGGGAATGTGACAGAGGTCGTGCAACAATTCAGAGGCGGAGTGGCTTGCGGGAGCCGTCGGGATCCCAGTGTCCTCGTTACATACCAGGAAGGGCAGCGGCGCTCTTACGGGACTCTGGGGCGAGGCTCTACAAGGTTATTCACCCCAGAAGTCGTGAAGGATGGGGCTTTTATGCTCGATGGAGACGACGGTCGGTGCCACGGCACAAGACGGCCGTGGCCGACCGGAAATGAGAGTTCGATCTTATCTGATTGCTACCGGTACCTGATCTGACCTGAGAACCGGCACATACCGGCACGATCGCAATATGGCAAGGCTGGGCTGCTCGTACAGCGACCATTCAGAATGCGATAGCAGCTCTGTGTGCAAACCCCAGTGGCCGCAATGCAACACGGCTCCTTCGGGGATGACATCGAGGGCCCCAAGGGGTAAGTCGCCGCGGCTCCGCGGTGCCCAGGACGCTCTCCACATCGAGAGAGCCGGTTGGCCCAGCCGGCGGGCGTCTCCAAGATCTTGGACAACGGGGCCACTATGACCCGGCACCACTTGTCTCATTGTCGGATGCGAGCTCGTTGCGAAACGCTCCGATGCGCCCCTCGATCTCTCGGTATGTGGTGGACAGCGCCGCCTCGGCGATCGAGGAGACCGCGTGGAACGCCCTCCACATAGCGCACTCATTGCATGGACATGCCTCGTTGTATCGTTGTGTTCCCGCACAGTGTTCCATGCAGCCGTAGCTGGCTATTCCGGTCCAGCGGCAGCACTAGTGCCGGCGGTGACTGACCTACCGGTAACGACACTGACCGGGTGTCAGAAATTTCTGAACCACTCGTCCTCGTGTGTCACTACGATCTGTTTAGCAAGTGTACATTGCAGGCAAGGAATACTGAACATGCACGACCTTTCTAGCATACAGTTGAAACAGAGGCGCATTCAAGCTGAGCAGCACAGCGTACAGCTCGGCACTGCATGCACTGCAGCGGGTGGCAAATGCCCGGCAAGCGATGCAAGAGAGTTCACCGGTAACTGCTATGGCTGTTAGCCGGAGAACAAGCTCAACTTTTTCTCGCTCCGCGGACTGGACATAAGCGTTATCAATTATCGCCGGACAGGCGGCAGCGGCCCGAGGCATGTGCCTGATCTCCAGTGAGCGCAAGCTGGCGCGTGTGCGGCTACCGGTGACCAGCTTGGCAGGCTGCCGACAGCTGTCCGGGCATGATGCCGGGTGGCGGCGCCAGAGCCGAGGGACGAGTATGGCGTTCCTGAACGCTCCGGCGGTCCTGAGGAGCCCGTGCGCCGAGTCGGCATGGCTGTCAGGTATGTTCGCTCTGACCTGTGCTGGATTACGAGTGGACGCTCCGAGGAATCGGGAGAAATACAAATCTTGGATATGAGGGTTAATTCCAATTGTCACCACGGTGTCGCTCGGGTTTGTTATTGTGCCCAGTTACGGAACAGGCCACCTGAGGACCAGATCTGGGAGAAACAATAAACGGCCGAGGCGCTCGGTTCCTCTGCACTTCGGTATGCATGATGGAATGGACTGCCCGGCTAGAAGGATGACTCCATTGGTATCGGCTCCACCGCTATTCCGGTCGGAGTATGGAATCGGATGGAGCGAGGAGCAGGTCTCGATGGATTGCTGGAGAGCCATGGAGGGCCCGTGGGGGTGGACTGTTGGCGGCGTCGGTAGCTGGGATGAATGGACCTATCGTCGCATCGGACCAGCGTTCCCCCACCCTAGACTCAGCTGTAATACGGTACGACAGCTCGGCAATTGTGGAGGGGTTAATTGTTATTTGAACGGGTTGGCTGGCACAAGCTTGACTGATGTCATCACGTGTATGTGCAGGTGCAGGTGTATTCAGCGGTGGCAGAGGAGAGGTGCGCTGAACGCCAGGGCCCAGCGATCGGCCGGAGATGCGAGGTCGCATGTGAGTGTTTACTACCCGGCGGCCGCGGTGCCACAGCCAATGAGCCCTGCAGGACTCGACCGGACACCGTCACTGCAGCGACCACGTACCGCACCACGACACGACACGCCGCATATCCGTCTCCCTCGATACCCCCCTGTATAACCGGTGCAACCGGCTCCAGGCCCCTCACACCCGCTTACATCTCCATTTTCTCCTCATACCCGGATCTTCACCTTGCTCCATCTCCCTTGTCCATACATATAGCGAGCATACCACAGCAACCCGTTCTCTTTCCTAGACACTACACACCACACAGCACACTCAGACACAATGGCTTTCCCAAGGCCTAAACCCACTACTGTGAGTAGCTTTTGCTCCCGACTACAGACGGACCATCGGCGCAACGTCGTGGAACCTGCTGCAGTGTCGCGGGAGCGAAAAGAAGCGAGAGTACGAGCTGACAAGCGCAGATGGAGACGATGGCGATGGTGAGTCGGCAGCCACCGCTGACCAGCGGCCAGCGACCGGTGGCAACAAGTTACTGACCCCCCCGATAGGAGCGCGCCAACCCTCCCTTCAACGTCCGCAAGCTCGCTGCCACGATGCAGGGCTCGGAGAAGTCGCTCAAGCTCAAGGAGAAGTTTATGGCCGAGATCGCGCGCCACCCGGCTTTCCGCAACAACGACATTCACGACCTGACCAAGGACGAGGTTCGCGAGCGCACCGCCGAGAAGTTCGCTTCTATGGTCTACTTCTTCACTTCCGAGTCGATCGAGGCCTTCCAGGAGCGCATGGCCCTCATCTCCATCGCTGACCCTGCGTTCTGGGTGAGTTAACCGAGCGATCGCGAGCGGCCAGTAGCCGATCGCAGTGATCACACCGCTTGTCAGACAGATTCGCTGACCTGTTCCAGACGCGTTTCGGTGTCCACTTCGGTCTCTTCCTCGGCGCCCTCCGCTCGAATGCTACCCCTAACCAGCTTTGTGAGTAGGAAGCGTGGCTGAGCTCAGCCATGAAACAGTCACCAGGACCACGCACTGACTCCCCGCAGCGTACTGGATTGAGAAGGGAGCTCTCGGCCTCAACGGCGTCATCGGATGCTTCGCCATGACTGAGCTTGCCCACGGCTCCAACGTCGCTGGTCTCGAAACCGAGGCCGTCTACGACCACAACTCTGACGAGTTCGTCATCCACACCCCTCACCTCGGTGCCACCAAGTGGTGGATCGGCGGTGCCGCCTCTACCTGTACCCACGCCGCCGTGTTCGCTCAGCTCATTATCGATGGCAAGAAGCACGGTGTCAAGACTTTTGTCGTCCAGCTCCGCGACACTGAGACCTTCCGCCTTCTTCCCGGTGTCACTATCGGCGACATCGGTAAGAAGATGGGCCGCGACGGTATCGACAACGGTTACATCCAGTTCACCTACGTCCGCGTTCCCCGCGCTCATATGCTCATGAAGTACACCCAGGTCTCGCGCAAGGGTGAGGTCACTGAGCCTCCTCTCGCCCAGCTCACCTACGGTGCTCTTCTCGGTGGCCGTACCTCGATGGTCGCCGACTCGTCGAACACTGCCAAGAAGGCGCTCACCATTGCCGTCCGCTACGCCGCCGTTCGTCGCCAGTTCGCTTCCGAGGGCAAGGCTGTTGAGACTCAGCTCCTCGACTACCCCATCCACCAGCGTCGTCTGCTTCCCTTCGTCGCTCAGGCCATTGCCATCGGTTTCACCGGCCAGAAGCTCAACGCCATGTACACGGACATGACCGAGTCGCTCGAGCGTCTGGAGCCCGGAGACCCCTCGCTCATGGAGACGATCGAGAAGCTCAAGGAGACGCACGCGACCTCTGCCGGTCTCAAGGCGTTCTGCACCTGGGCGTGTCTCGACACGATCGAGAAGTCGCGCCAGACCCTCGGTGGCCACGGCTACTCTGCCTACTCCAACCTTCCCGCCATGTACGCCGACTTTGCCGTCCAGTGCACGTGGGAGGGTGACAACACCATTCTCGCTCTTCAGGCTGGACGTGCTCTCGTCAGCGCCTACTCTGCCGCTGTTTCGGGCAAGAAGGTCGCCCCTGGCGTCGCCTACCTCGCGGACCCTAAGACGCTCTCTGCCAAGAGCGACGGCTCGTTCTCGCTCGCCGACATCCAGAAGGCTTGGGAGTGCGTCGCCGCCAACGCCGTCAAGCGCGCTGCTGCCGAGTACGCGCTCTTCCGCAAGGAGGGCATGAACAAGCACGACGCCATGGAACGCTGCTCGCAGGCCCGTTTCATTGCCGCCAAGCTGCACACCACCGGCTACATCTTCAAGATGTTCCGTGCCGCCGTCGAGGAGATGGAGGCATCGCCCGAGACGGACGTCCTCCGCACGATTGCGCACCTCTACGGCCTGTGGCAGATCGAGGAGCTCCAGGGCCCCTTCCTGAAGTACGGCTACCTCACTGGCGAGCAGATCGACTCGATCTCGCTCAAGGTCAACGACCTCTGCCTCGAGGTGCGCCAGTACGCTGTGCCGCTGATCGACTCGTTCGCGCTCTCGGACCACATCATCAACTCGCCCCTCGGCAAGTGGGACGGCGCCATCTATGAGGCCTACTTTGCCCAGGTCCAGGCCTCCAACCCCCTTCCGAAGGAGCACCCGTACTTCACGCGCCTCATCAAGCCGCTCCTCGACCGCCAGCCCGGCGACCTCGAGGACGCCGGCGAGGAGATGGGCCTCGACGACGAGATCACCTCGCTCGCCGAGGCGAGCAAGCAGGCCATCAAGGCCGCCAAGGCGGCCAAGGCGGCTAAGAAGCAGCAGAAGTAACTTGTTATAATATTGTAGTTCTTTGTAGATCTAGACCAGCAATGGAACTTTTAGACGTGTATTGGCCTTTCGTTGCAGATTGGATCATGCGAGCTTTGACTGGAGGTACCACGGAAAGGGTGCTCAGTTGTGGCACACGCACACGCGTCTCAGGAGTGGCAGCACAGCGAAAACCCTCCCTCACACGCAACGAACACAAGGCAACAGTTTTACGCAACCAGTGCAGCAATGCAACGTATGTTAGATGAGGTATGATTGCATATTTTACAACACGCAAGCAGAGTTAAGACAACGCTTAGTCGAAGAGACCGAAGCCCATGTCGTCGTCCTCATCCTCCTCCTCCTCCTCCTTCTTCTCCTCGGCGGCGGGGGCGTCACCGCCAGCGGCAGCAGCCTCGGGGGCGGCGGCAACGGCGAAGGCCTCGGGGTTCTCGAGGTACTCCTTGATCTGTTTATGTCAGCTAATGCTCTCAAAGACGCAAGTAGATTTTGAGGGGGTATCAGAGTGTGAATACAGAATGAAGGTTCGTCTCTTCGCGTGCTAGACTGCGGTGAAGCCGGCCTGGCGGTGCGATAAGAAATCTTCAGTGGAAAATGTTGAACATCATATGATATGGGGACAGGAATAGCAACACTTACCTTCTCGGAACCCTCGAAGGTGTAGTCGGTGGCGACCGAGATGGCGAGGAGGTCCTTGTAGGTGTTGACAAGGGAGTGGGTGACCGAGGCAAGGGTGGGGATGCCGGTAGCGAGCGAGATGGCGGCAATGGTCTTGATCTGCGACTGGAAGGCCTCGAGGATGGACTTCTCCTCGATGTCGAGAACCGAGGGGGCGAAGATCGAGCCGTCGTCGTAAACAGCAACAACAGTCATACCGTAGGTGAAGGGCGAGATGTTGAGCATGTTAAGGAGGGTAGCCTCGGACGAACCGACCTTGGAGCCGGCAGCGACGACCTGGACGTCGTTGACGATCTCAATGGTACCACGGGCAATCTTGGTGGGGATACCGAGAGCCTGGAAGAAAGAGGTCTTTCCGGGCTCCATGCCGGTGTTGCCGGCGGGGACGTAGACGTCGACGGGGGCGAGGGCACCGGCACGGGCGGGGGCGGCAACGACGTTGGAGACAATGGTCTCACGGACGTCCTTGAGGTCACCGTTGGTGAAGACGAAGCCAACGTTGCCCTTGACGTAGGGGAGGACCTTCTCATACTCGGGGAAGTCGGCGATCATGGAACGGAGAGCACGGCGGACCATGGTGTTCTTGCCCATGAGGACGACACCGTTGTCACGGATCGACTGACGGATCATGTGGCACTGCTGCGACGAGACATTGTCGATGTTGACGATGAAGAGGGAGGCTGCACCGTCAGTTTGACTGTTCCAAAATATTGAAAACTGCAAATCTACTCACGGTACTTCTCAATAAGCTGGCGAAGCTTGACGAAGTAGAGCTCCTTGTCGGCACGGGAGGCACCCATTGTGATTGATGTTTTGGCGGTGGTGGGGGGTGGTGAAGAGGTGAAAGCTTAGAGTCTCCCAAGTGAACTTCCTGTTGAAGCCAGAAGGTGTTTTAAAGACTGTGGTGAGGAAAGAACTCGACGCAGCAGCAAAGATGCATGAAAATCGGTGCACACCCGCCAGCGAGTGACGGTGCGAGAGCATGCAGAGGTGGAGGTTTACCGTGGGAGAGTTTGACACTGCACCCTGCGGACATTGCGGACATAGACTGCCACGCGGTTGTGGCGCTTGACATTGGGCTTGTTTCTTGTTGGCTGGCACCGTTGAGCTTTCGAGATTTCGAGCGCGAGGGCTGAGCACCGTCGCAAAGCTACTACCCAAGCTCACCACGCCCCGCGAGCTCGTCGCCGAAGCCGCCCACAGCCGCCCAACAACGACCAGCACGACACACGCCCACTGGCCACACGTATGGCCGGGGCGTGATGCTCGTTCCCACTGTGTTGCGCAACATTGTGCTCCCGTACCTGCGGGGCACAGCTGAAAACGCAACAACAGCTGCGTACCGCAAGGTCTCCGCCGCGTCCATCTCGAGCTCGTCACGGCACGCACGTCCAGCTGAGGCTACAGCTGTGCGCGACTCGGGTGATGGTGCCTTCCGGATATGGGAGCCCATCTTCACGCACTCGTCCGCTCCGCGGCCACCACCGGAGCCGCCGAGATCGCCACGGAGGAGAACTCCGTCACCACCGGAATCGGACTTCAGCTTGAAGGACAAACAAACGAGAGAGAGGAAGGGAATTCAGCATGATCAAGGTGTGTTACTAGCCCATGGACGACCTAACACCGCAGCTGCCCCAACGTTACCTCCTGTTCCGGAAGTGGAGCCTCGAGCACAACCGACGCCGAAGCGCCGATCACTGGCTCCGCGGCGAAGGGGGAAGGTCAACGTCCCGCCGGCTGTCGAGAAGCTGCTCCGCGCAAAGCTGTACCGCATGGCCGTATTCCACATTATCCGGACGCCGGAGCTCATGACGAACGCGTCGCTGCTGGTCCATGTCATCAACGTGCTCGAAGCGAACGGTGCTGGCAAGCTCGCCGATCGGTTACGGACGACGATGGACCTGCGAACACGCGCGGACGTAGATACGAATGAGCCGGCGCGTCTGTGGTCGAACCCGGGGTCGTCAGAGGTGCAGCGGCCGTCGACGTGGTGGCGCCTGCCGGTGATCCCGCGTGCGGTCGAATCGTACCCCGAGGCGACGGTGACAGAGCGACGGACGCACTACTACAACCACCTCATCACGAGCTTCCTGACGAAGCAGCATTCGGCGCCGTACGCTTCCCCGGTGCGTGCGTCCGAGCGTGGTCCCCGTCCGCCGTTGCGCAACATGAAGTGTGTGCTCAAGTACGTTGACCATCTGCGCGAGAAGCAGGGTTTCGTACCCGATCGTGTCACCGTCAACATCATCATCAAGGCATGGCTCAACACGATGGCGAGGAACACGGAGGGACATGGCGACCATGCTCGTACCCACTATGACCGGCAAGGCCTCGGCGCTGAGGAGCTCCGTGGGATCTTTGATGTCGTCGCGACCACGGTGGAGCAGGACATCTCGGAACTGGCCAAGACCGGCGACCTGGGCAAGGCGAATGTCACTATCACGAGTGTCGCGCCCGTCCTCCCTGCAGCTTCTGCACCGCCCGCCGAGGCTGCGGTAGCCAAAGCCGGGCCCGCCGAGGTCACACCCGGAGGTGCCACCGCGGGAACCGCACAGCCGACGCCCTTCAACCGCGCAATCAACTACGAACACCACGTCAAGCCGTTCGGGAACATGATGCGGCGCGCATTCGCGCGCGTCGGTGACCACACGGGACGGATAGCGACCGAGCGCTGGATGTACCGCGTGGCGCAGCGGCTTGGCGTTCCTAACGAGCAGCTGCACGCCTCGGTCCGCCGCGCCGGCGAGGAGATGAAGAAGCAGCAGCAGAAGTAAAGGAGGCGTAACATAGCATTAGCATCTTGTCTTTGCATCGTTTGCATTTTTTCTCTAGACTCATCATATGCAACATTGGAACGAACACGGATAAAGTTCACATTGGGGTGACGTCGTTATGCAAGTGTGCATGCTAATGAGATGGTCTAATGATACAGATGTGCTACGCTGAGCCGACCTCACCCTCAATCCACCAGTTGTCCGCCTCCCATCCGACGTCTACAACGCGGAGGTACTTCCCAGCCTCTGGCTTCGACTCTTCCTTGCCGAGCACAGCATAACCGTCCTGCTTCGCAGCGGTGCGCACAAGGTCCTCGAGCTCTCCCTCAACAAACAGATGATAGTACCTGTGGAACACCTTGGGCTCCTCCTCCTCCTCCTCCTTGGGCCCCTCATTCGACGTTTCCGGCGCCGGCTCCGGCTCGGCACCTTCCTCTCCCTGCTTCCGCCTTCCCTTCACCTTCGGCGCCTTGTCCTTCTTCTTCCCCGGCTCCGAGCTCAACACCCACGGAACGAGCACATCCTGCACCCTCTCTCCGCCCTCCATACCCTCCTTCTGGTCCGCGAGAGATCCCATCTTTCTCCGCGAGTTGGGGCCCTGCTCATACGCCCAGACGTAGATGAAGAACCGTCCCCCGTTGCGCAGCGGCCGAATCAATGTCTGCACCGCGTCCGCTCTCCGCTCCGGCGTGCTCAGGTGGTGAATCGCAGCGACAGAGATTGCAAAGTCGAACGTGTTCGGACGCCATGGGTCCTGGCACAGGTCGCCGAGGATACACTCTGCTCCGCCCTCGAGCTGGCCGCGCGCGATCGAGAGGAGTCCGCCGGACCGGTCCATCGCAATTGCGTAGTGGCCCGCTGCCTGGGCTGCTGGCAGGTATTTGCCGTTACCGGCGCCGGCATCTAGCCCCAGTGAGTTGGGCGGAAGGGTGGAGAGGAAGCGCTCGATCAGGGGCCAGGGCTGCTGTCAGCTATCGGACAGCGCAGAGCAGCTACAGACCACAGCGGCATCGCGTCGCGTCACTCAGCCAGCCGAGACAAACGTCGACGCGTCCGACTAGGGTGACTCACCTTAAACCGCGTTCGCGCAAAATGCGGCGCGATCGCCTCGTACACCTCGTGCACCTGGTTCTCCTCGTCAGCCGCCGGGTCCCCACTTGCGGCAGCGGGGACAGGGAGGGGCTTCGTCGATCCCGCCATAGTGCCTGCGTTGTGCTCCAAGATAATTCACGTCTCCTGTATCTGGGCGACGAAAGCCGGTGGCGACTGGGTTTCAATCACGAGACCGCGTCGCGACAGCGTCGAGGCAAGTGGCAAAAGAAAGCAAGAGCTGGCAAAGGTTGAGTGCGACGTTGAGCCCGAAACGTGTAGTCCGAAGATCGTCCGAAAGCCTGACGGAAATCCGGGTGTCGGGGGTCGTCCCTTACGTTGGCCGAGATCGGATTGTCTAGGATGTTGTTCTGGACTCTTTGGTCCGTTTGTTTTGTGCGTTTGCGTTCGTCCGGGGCAGATAGCACGAGATAAAGATCTGGTGCGGCACGACGGAGGAGGCGAGGGACAACTCCGGCCTCTCGGCCGGGAACATTTTGGGTCACGTTCCTAAATTTCACCGATCGCCCATTCCGCACGACCCAGAACGGAGATTGCGGAGATTAGACCATGTCCGTGAGTGAGATCTCACTGCCAAAGGGACTACCATAGGACATTAGGATATTAGGACAAACCACTCCTGCTGATGCCACGGCGATGGCGCTGGCGGTGCGGCTGCGGCTGACCGCGAGGCGCTGGGAGGCTGGCGGTTCTGGCCCAGCTGGGCAGCGGCATCTTCACGATTTCGCCCTCCTCATTGGCCATGCTAATCTGCGGCCCTGCCTCGTTCCGCAGCTTCGTACGACATAGTCTAGGACTGAGTTATACGAACCGCCGGGACGCGCGAGACGCGTGTCGTGCACCAATGGCAGCAGAGACTACGGCCGTTCGCACCGACAATAACAACGTTCCGACCGAGGCCTGGCGCGAAGAGCGCGAGCACGAGCGGCAGCGCGAGATCAAACGCTCGCGCGTGCGGTAAGGGCCCAGCGGCGCATCGGCACAAACGATGAGCATGTTGTGATCTGCACCAGACTGTGCTATCTCTGGAAAGCGAGGGTACTCAAGGTTCGCCCGTATCAAATACATTCGCAATTCTGCAGTGACTTTAGCACAGCGCGGGCTCGTCACGCGAACCCCTTCCAGCCGCATTCAGCAAAGGCGGCATGGTGCGGACGTGTTCAAACCGCCTGGCGCAGGTCCATGCTAGATCCAGGTGTATCAGAGATCCTAAGAGCAGGCTCGTATCGCCGAATTATCGCTTGCGGGTCGAGGTATTGTTGGAAGGGCAGAAGCGAGGATGGGCTCACCATCCGCGAAGGACCCAGACTTTCCAGGCTGGATAGAACCCTTGCCTCGCAAGCGCGTCGTAGGACGATGAAAGCACACACATGGCTCAAGTCGCTTCCGGAAATGGGCCAATTCGCAGAGGGAGAATTGTCTGCATTTGCTGCTTTTCCTGGGTGCTGGACAACGCTGAATTGGTGGCTATCATCAGTGAGCCTCATGTCAGCTTGCAATTCCTGTGTTATGACGGTGCATGACGGTCCACTTGCGCGAGTTAGGTTCGCGAACTTCACTCCGGCTTTCAGGCCGTAATAATCTCAGGTTCACGGCCGGTCCTGGGCCCAGGTCTTGGCTCTGCATCATCATGCCACTGACGCTTTGGCTCTGCCTTCCCGCCGGAGTCACTTTGAGAGATCCCTCTCCGCTGTGCATTCCCATGACCAAGGGCAGTCTGCTGACAGCATGCAAGGGTGTCCAGGAAAAGCGCGAACGAATATTGTCAGTTGACTCACTTGAGTTAGACGCTGTGGAACGAGATCACCATCCGTTCCAGCAGATGCAGCGTCAGGGTTCGTGGACCCTGTCCCGAGTGGGTATGCGGACCAGCTGAAGACAGCAGGCGGTAGGTGCAAGGAAGCAATTTTGCAAGCATATAGGAGATATCGACCTGCAAGGCATGAGGCCCGAGACTGTTAAGGTTGGCAGCCGTCCCATGTGATGTCATGCCTGCAGGGCGGCGTATCGGAGGCCGGATTGACCGCTCCACCCAGGCACGATGATATGAGGCGGGGCATTCAGGCGATTTCAGGCCTGCAGCACCTCCGTCGCGCGCCGTCGCACGCCGCCCAGTGCATGCTGACGGCCGTTGGAGCACAACAATTCTTGCCTCTGGCCAACAATGACGGCCGAGGCGTGCTGGTGCTTGACCAGCGTGCAAAACATGCAGCTGTATATAACAATGCGACGTGCCCCGGACTACAGCCCTCATCACATACACACATTTACCCATTCTCGTCGATCTTCTCGCCACGCCTGATCACCACACTATCATGGCGTCCCCCAAAGACAGTATCGAAACAAAAGTCGAACGTTCCGACTACGCTACCAAAGAGCCTAAGGCTGTCCCGACATACGACCCGAACGCTCCCATGTCCACCCCCAACTATGTCCCCGCCAAGGCCGAGGGCCCTGGTGGCTATGACCAGGGCGCCGAGCTCGGCAACCGCCTCACCCACACTCTCTCCTCCTCTTCGCAGCGGATACGAGGCCTCGACTTCCCGTCGCTCACGCAGCAGTCGTCGCACCTGAACAACATCTACCGCGCCGAGACCGCCCAGGGCTACATCCGTCCCGATGAGCCGGGACTCTCCCCCATCCTCACTGGATCGACGCACCACTCGATCGCGACGACGTTCTCGCGTCAAATGACCCAGCTCGCCGACAAGAAGATTGTCACCTGGACTGAGGGCGACAAGGCCAACCCCTGGAACTGGGGCAAGGCCCGCCGTTGGTTCTACACCGCCATCTGTGCCATCTCCGTCGTCCAGGTCGCCTTCATGTCTGCCATCGTCACTGGTGACTTTGGCGACCAGATGGAGTACTTTGGCGTCTCCGCCGAGGTCATCAACCTCACCGTCACCCTCCCCGTGTGCGGTTTCGGTATCGGTCCTCTTCTGTGGTCGCCGCTCTCTGAGCTCTACGGCCGTCGTCCCCTCTGGCTCATCCCCTTCGTCGCCTACATCGTCCTGAACATCGGTTGTGCGCTTGCCCCCAACATTGGCTGTCTTCTCGCGTGCCGTTTCCTCGCTGGATTCTTCGGCTCTGGTCCTCTCACCCTTGCCGGCGGTACCATCGCCGACATGTGGGGACCCTCTGAGCGTGGCTTCGCCATTGCCATCTTCGCTGCCGCCCCCTACGGTGGCCCCGTTCTTGGCCCTCTCCTCGGCGGCTTCATTGGCAAGTACGCCAACTGGCGCTGGCTCTACTGGGTCAACATGTGCTTCGCTGGCGGTGTCTGGATTTCGCTCCTCTTCCTCCCCGAGACCTTCGCCCCGATCCTCCTGAAGCGCCGCGCCAAGAAGCTCCGCAAGGAGACCGGCGACTCTTCCTACGTCACTGAGCAGGAGGTCCTCCCCCGCCCCATCTCCGAGATCGTCGTCGAGACCCTTATCCGTCCCTTCCAGATGCTCGTTGAGGAGCCCATTCTTCTCCTGATGTCGCTCTACGTCTCTCTCGTCTACGGCCTGCTCTACGCCTACTTCTTCTCCTTCCCCGTCGTCTTCGTCGAGGGCTACGGATGGGACGACGCCAAGACTGGTCTTACTTTCTGCTCCGTCCTCATCGGTGTCGCCCTCGCCCTACTCGTCACCCCCATGCTCGAGAAGCGCTACCTCGCCAAGGGCGAGAACGTTACCCCCGAGGACCGTCTCCCCGGTATGCTTGTCGGTGGCCCCTGGGTTCCCATCTCGCTGTTCATCTTCGGCTGGACTGCGCCCCCCTACGTCCAGCCCCACGGCGGATCGTGGGTCGGACCCTGTATCTCGGGTATCCCCTTCGGATTTGTGAGTTTTTCTCGACATTTTCTTGCAATTTCCTTGCGTCGTTCTTCGCTAATCCTTGCAGGGAATGGTGCTCGTTTACTTCTCCGCGAACGCCTACTTGATTGAGGCTTTCCCCGCGTACGTCGCGTCCGCGCTCGCTGCGAAGACTGTTGTCCGTTCCGCAGCCGGTGCCGCGATGCCTCTCTTCATTACGCAGATGTTCCACCGTCTTACCAACGGTGGCGCCTCCTCTCTCCTCGGTGGTCTCGCCATTGTCATGGCTATGATCCCCTGGGCCTTTGCCAAGTGGGGAGCCCAGATCCGTGCCCGTTCGAAGCGTGCCGCCGTCTAAAACTACTCGACAACTCCCACAACCATTCCGCCACTTTAATAGATATCATAGACTCATTTTTACCCTACATACGGACATTCATAGGTTAATAGCATCATACACAGCACAGCAATATCATGCAGAGTCGGAAGACCAATAATTTTATCATACGCGGTGTTGCAGGCGTGTGAAGCAGAAATTCGTTGAAATTGTTGAAATTGAGGAAATCGAGAAACGACGAGTGGAGGTTGTCGAGAGTTGGCGGGTACTGCCGGTGGAGGCCAGTATGAACGGCACGCGGCAATGCTGCCACCTCGCCACTGAGGGGCGCAGGGGCGCAAAAGGAAGCTAGGGGACGGGTCGAGGCAGTGCGGACCGACGATCCTGTCTCAGAGTGCTTCCGTGGTTCTCCCCCGTCTTCGCGACACTAAGAGAACAACCTCCACGTCTTCTACTCATCGTCGTCTTCACCCATCTTCCTCTTCCTCGATACCCTCTAGCAACTCCAAGTGAGCTTATTGTACGAGATAAGTCTAGCTCATACCAGCACTTCGGTCTGTCGTGACCTTCCTCCACCACAAACTCCCGGCACAAGACCGTCACATCAGTGAGCTACTCCGTGCACGAACTACCAGCTCATTACAGTCCGAACCTTCAGCGACCCATCCTGTCTTCCCGTGGTCATCTACCGCCTTCACCTACGGCATGGAAGATTAGGTGGTCGACTCGTGAGCCAATAAGCAGATGCGCAGAGAGTGAGCTCACTTGATCCACCTGTTAGCTCACGCCAGAGACCCAACCGAAAAACGCCTTGCCACCCACTCCCACGCAGAGACACAAGTGCTTCACCATCGGCCGCAGAGGCTCGCATCAAGCAAGAAATTCCCGACGCTTCCAGATCACAAGCTTATGCCCTTTCGGCCTTCACCAGTGCCAACCCTGTAGCCGCACCGAGGCAATGTGAGCTCGTCAAGGTGGTAATGGGAGCTCACCGCAGACGGCCCTTAAGGTGACGACATGTCTATCGACTCCTCCCAGATCGTCCAGGCCAAGCGCAGGTGAACCATCTCATCCAGCTTCATGCGGGACATCAACGACAGTCAGCTTCTGTCGGCGATGTGCTCCGCGCATCTCTCCACTCCCTCGAGACCCGTGTGGGCATTCTCTCCGCTGGTGCAGTTCGCGCCAACACGCTCAAGAGGTGGACCAAGTGCACTGGCGCCGTTCCCGCAGACACGCTCAGGAGGTGGATCAAGTGCGTCCTGCACATCGCCAAGGATGAGATCATCGGCCAGGCAAGCATCGGTACAGGCCGAAACCCCGAGGCGTTCAACGGCAAGGCTCTTGACGGCTCCGATGGGCTCAAGGCGGTGCTGATGGGCAACACCCACCCCACCCTGGTGGGCAAGCTCAAGCTCAACCGCTTCTCTCGTTCAATCGAGTTCTACGGCCCAGAGGAGATGGTCATCGTCGCGAAACAGATCGACGAGAAGATCCTCGCCCAGCCCAGCCACGCGTCGACCTGGGTCCAGAGCAAGGCCCAGCACCAGCTTCTCCTCTCAGTTGGAGGACGCACGTGCACGGTGGCCGTGGCCGGCCAAGACGGTGTTGCGGCCGAGCTCGACGAATTCAGCCACGACGACGATGACGACGACGAGTTCAGCGCCGGTGCCTACATCCGAGAAAAGGATGTCAGGATTGAGCAGACGGAGCGGAACGCGTACGACCTCTTATTGACTGCTCCGCCATATTGAAGGGCCAAACTCAGCCTGGCCAGTCAGGCATGTCGACGGAGCTACACGTTCCGGCAGCTCAACGCGCTGAAGACCTCCAGTTGGAGGCAGCATCGTCTCTCTTGCCGCTGCTGATCAAGCGCGGCACCCTCCACACGACAACGGCCGACGGCCAAGTCGTGTTCTTCAGCGACCTCGACCACTTCCTTCAGTCCAAGGCGCGTTCATTCCGTGGTGGCGGCGACGAGCCTCTCTTCCGGGAGTTCTCCGGCGATAGCTCGTTCACGGAGTTGGTAGCCACCCAGAGCAACCTGAAGGCGCGACTCGACTCCCTCGCTTTGGAAGCGGGGCTCCCAGCTCCCCGGCCGTACAACTGGCGCAATTACGTCGGTGATGCCGTGCGCGTGGTCTTCGACGAGGTCGCGCAGAAGGCCGCTCTGCACCACGGCCTCAAGTCCAACACTGCGCTCCGACTACTCCCGGGGGGCCCGAGCGGTTCCAGTGACGCGAGCCGCGCACGTCGAACCGACTGGCATGACCGCTGCCGATCGCGAACGCTTGAAGAAGCGCCAGGAGGACCTCCGACGGGAGACAACTCCGGCCATCTCGGCTCTCGTGCACCAGGCGCGTCATGGCTCGGCACTTCCCGGCGAGTTCATGCCGACGAAGGAGGAGGAGTCCGCTCTCGACCGTGACCCTGAGGTCGCGCGAATAGTGGAGCAGTTGAACGGCTGACGGAGAGCGATTCACTGGGTGACGTGCAACGTGCCCGTCAGGATTAATTAGTGGCGGCGCTACGGCGCCGCCGGGAACAGGTCCAAGAAGCGAGAGGCGCAACGCAAGATCGACGCTGCCCGCTACGACATGGACATGGACGAGTTCGATGCCGCCAGGGCCGAGCTCGATCTTCTGCGCGGTGGCCTTCCTCAACTCGTCAAGATCGGCCTGGGCGACAGCTCTTCTGTCACTGGGGAGAAGCGCAAGCTCGAGCACGCCCTTGACGACGCCGAGGAATCCTTGCGCCGCGTTAGCGTCCAACTGCTGCGAGCCCACTGGGTTTCAACTCCTGCAAGCTCACTGGTTTATAACTCTTGCAAGCTCACTGGCTTTCAACTCTTGCAAGCTCACTGGTTTTCCAACTCTTGCAAGCTCACTGGCTTTCAACTCTTGCAAGCTCACTGGTTTTCCAACTCTTGCAAGCTCACTGGGCCACAATGGCTGGACAGACCACAGTCAAGAACGTCGAAAACTTCATTCGGACGTTCGGCTACTGTCCCATCTGCCCACCTGAGGCCTTCGGCTTCCTCGCCTGGCAGCGGACCCGTGACGGACAGTCACTCACTCCGTCCACCTTCACCACGGGTACTTTCGTCAAAGGCCGCAAGGTGTACGCCAGCCAGCACATCAAGGAGCAACATCCCGCCGGGCTTCAGATGATGCTGGAGGGACGCGGCGTCGTGGCTCGGAGCGGAGGCTCTCTTCCAGTCCTAACCTCGGAGGACAGGAAGAAAATCCGTCAGTTCACAGCGCAGGCTCTGGAAACTCGTCCTGTCACAGGCAGCATTTCTCTCTCGGCCCTTGCAGCCTACAAGGTCGAGTACAATACATTCGTCGACTCTTGGTTCAGGTCACTCCCCCGCTTCCCCCCCCTCCCCCAGCCTATCTTGTACAATACCTGTAACCTAACTTGTACAATAGCACAGGCCCAAAGTGCAAGCCGGTAAGTGTGCGTCATTCCCGCGCCTCCCACGCCTGCCGCCTTTCATTTGTCCCCGACTGGGGTGACCTCGAGCTAACCCCACAGGCGGCGAAGCCCTCGGCGCCCTACCCCGAGAGCGGGCCTAGCGGCAAAGGCAAGGAGAAGGAGACCGACGCAATGTTCAGCACAGACGTCGACCAAGCGCTTTCGGCGGCCGTGGGCTCTTCAGGCAACCGTGGCTTCATCGATGTCGACCATCCCGCCACCGCATCCAGCAGTGGCGCGGGGAACCCGACACCTGGGCCGCCGCCTGCCGCCCCTCCCATCATGAGTGCCACCACTCCCGTTGTCGGATACAACGGCGAGCACAGCAGTGCGCACGGCACGTTCGGCACGCCAGCGCAGCAATTCGGCGCTGCCGGCATGTTCGACCCAAACAAGCTCGATCCTTACGGCGACCTTGCCCCGCCTATCTTCATGAACCAGCTCTACCAATGCGCGTCGTTCGTCCAGAACGAGCGGTTGTACGTGCTTCAGCGCCTGCAAGAGCTGCGAGCGCAGGGAAGAAGCCCGCCCACTGAGGTGCTCGAGCAAAGGTACCCCTGGCTCTACGACGATCTCAGGGGTACGCAGCTCGAGCCTCCTTCGTGGGCGCTCTTCCGCTCCCTGCACTGCTACCTAGATGATGAGCGCGGTCTGCTCGTCGCTGCCCAGGAAGGCGTCCCCGTCGGCGGTGGTAGCAGTAGCGTGGGCACCACCCAGCCCACGCTCGATGCTACCGCCGGCCAGACGGCTTCCTCTGGTGGTGGTGGTGGCACAAGCGCTGGCCCTAATGCAGCTCCCCTCTCTTCGGCCCAGCAGTCGGGTGAGGCAAGCCAGGCAAGTGCGTCGGCATCTCGGGACTCGCCAGTTGCCTCAACATCTCAGCAAGCTGGCACGAAGACGTCTACCCAGGCATCTACCATCACAGCCTTCTTCAAGCCGAAGCCCAAGTAGAGGGCTGCTTTCACCCTCCCGTGGCTTTAAGCCCATGTGGGGGAGTGGGTACATCGTTCAATGCCCGACTTCGGCTTGGCATAGGAGGTGTTGGTGTGCTCCTGGGCGGTCTTGCTCGAATTACAGTGACTACGCTGTGATCGGAATGCAGGTCGAGAGCGGGTGAGCTTCATCTAGTTAGCAATGTCAGCTGATTACAGACACCGCTCCGCGGGCTGATTCGTCTTCACGGCTCTACCTCCCCTGTGAAGAAGCATCTCGAGAACTCGCCGTGAGAAAGAGGGAAAACAGGTGAGCTGTGCTCACCGTCGTATCATTAAGCTCACAGCAGGCATGCGACCGGTTCGCTATACCTGGCTCGCCGAGTGTCGGGTCTTGCCAAGGGCTGCTCGCCTTACTCGGTGCTCTCGCAAGACCTTGTGGCCTCCCCTCATTGCCAGCAATCAGATGTCTGACGGTTCGGTATTGTCACGACCACAGTAGCACAAAGATATCAACATGCATATACTTTTGACCGCTATTCTACACCGGATTCGTTGATAAATACACTGTTGAGCCTTGTACCGCTCACTCCTCGTCCTCGTCTCCACCTTTGTCGTCGTCATGCTCCTCTTCGTCAGCCTCATCGGCCTCCTCGGCCTCGGCCTGCTCCTCCTCCGAGTCAGAGTCGCAAACCCTGGTCCAGTCAGCTTTCACGCCGACCGAGTGATAGCTCACTTCATGTGATCGCGCAGTTCGGTGCGCATCTCAAAGCTAACCCCACACCCATCATTGGGGCACTTCCAGGTGCCGCCGCGCGAGAGCTCAGTGATCTCCTCGTACAGCTCGGGCACCTCGGCGTCGTCGAGCCTGCTCAGCCCATCACCGCGGTACGAGGGCTTGACCTTGCCGCTAAGAAGGGGGAACTTCCCAAGAATGTTGTCTGGGTTCGTCAAATAGTTCGAACTGACATAGAGGCGGCCGGTCTCTCGCTTCATGTGCATTATCGCAGAGAGCATCTCTTGCGAGTTCACGTGGCCGGATTGCAGTTTGACGAGCGCCTCGTAGATCTTGACCAGGAGGCGGGAGTGGTGGTGCAGGTAGGTGCGGAGGGAGGGGCCGTCCAGGGCGTTGGCGTCGTCGTCGTGCTCGACCTGGGCGTCGTCGACGGGGACAGGGCTGGGGCGGGAGTCGTCACCCTCCACCGCACGCTTCTTGGAGCTCTTCTCCTCGATGTCTTCGTCCATGACCGCCTTGCGCTTGCTCTTCTCTCTCTTCGAAGACTGCAAAGGGTCAGAACGGGGTCAGAAGGGGAGTGCACAGCTGGTCAGTGGCAAACCTACCTGAGCCTTCGCCACACGCTGCCTCTTCGCACGAGGCTGGGGGAACAGCTCCGACCCGCTCATCCCACTCTGCTGGCTGGGAGCTGGCGAGGACATTGCGTCTGTCGTGTCGTGGATGGAGTAGACGAGGAAGGTGACAGAGACTGGATCTGACTGTGCTCTGTGTAGCTACGGTGTCGCAGTCTGAAATCTGCATCCGTCCTCGCCACGAGTCGCGACCTGGGCTGTGTGATCGGCACTACGGCCTCACATTGTCGTGGTACCGCTTAGCTCACCCCTCATATGTCCAAGACACCGCTAGCTGTTACTGTGCTTCGCGCTCGTTGGGTCCTGCGGGACTGGCATCTCGCCCAGTCGCTGCTTTCTGCTCTGGTAGCAGCCACAACAACCTAACGACCATGATTCGCCACACGACGCACGTGACTTGTACCCTGGAGAAACTGACACACCCGCTCGGACTCCGAAGCTAGCGTCTGCCCGTCGCTCCGACGCCGAGAGCTCGGCCGAGCCACAGGGCCTGCGGAGCATGCTCCAACGTCATGCTCCACAGCCTGCGTCACTCCGCCCGTGTCACCCTCAGGCCCATACAACCCACGTCAGTCAGGAGCTCTCGAGTCCATGAAATTTGTCTGCATCTGCAGTCGCAATGCCAAGTATAGATGAGAGTTGCAGGTTATGGATAATGATGGGGGCGGTGGTGGTGTGGTATGACAGCGCCATGGAGGGGGACATGCAAACATACACTTTCCGGGACGAAGAAAACTTGTGGAAAACTATGCGAGTCGGATGCGGAGAAACCAAAGACAACGAGAGGTCGTAATACAAGGAAGAAAGCGGGTGCGTGTTTTGGGAGGTTGGCTCAGTGTTCGAAGCTGCAAAGGCTATCGCCGGGTCAGGTTACCGAGGGCCGTCTTGAACTTCTGCTTGCGCGATACCTTGCGCTGGGGGTAGTCGGGGAGGACAAAGCCGTTCGGCACGACGGGCGAGTCGCGCTCAGCCTCGCTCGACTGGCGGTCGTCGTGCCCGTCCGACTTGTGGCGCGGACGCACAGCCGCGGCATGAGGCGAGGTGGCGGCGTACGAACGTGCAGCCGCGAGGCCCTGATAACGGGCATCGTTGCGGAGACCACCGGGCTTGGTCGGGCGAGTCAGCGACGAAGAGCGCATGATCGGCTTGCCGCCGCTCGCCATGCTGTTGCTGAGGCTGTTGTTCAGGCTCGGAGTCACGCTGAGCGACGACGGGTACGTGCCGCTACCGGACGTGCCGTTTTTGGTGGGCGCGGCACCGTTCATGCGGTGCGACGGAGATGTGATGCGGCGCTGCAGACTAGAAGAGGACTGCCCGGTTGCCCACATGTCAGAGATGTGGCCGTAGCGCTGCGACTTGGTCGGCAGGCGGTGGTGTGCGGTAGTCGCGGCAGCAGCCGAAGTCAGGGCATTCAGGCGCTCCCGGTAAGCCTGCTCGCGGCGGTCGTAGATGTGGTTGACCGGCATCGGCATCCAAGCTTCGGAAGCCGATTCGAGCGAGGGCGACGGAACAGAGCCGCTGCGGCTGTGGACGGATCTCGGATGCGGCGGGTGCGACGAGACACGGTGTCGCTCAACGCGATCCGTCATCGACAGGTGGCTCGACATCTGGCTCGTGCGGTCCGAGCTGCTGCGCGACGTGCGTGACGTGCGACGCTCGGCGCGCTCAAACTCCTGGGCAATGGCGTGAGTCTCGCCGTACGCCGCGAGCTGTGAAGCGAGGTCGCGGTTCGCACTCGCCGTGTCGGGCACCTGCGCCAACTCCAAAACATCACGCTCCGCCTGCTCCATCGCCGTCTTCGCCTCGGCATGAGACGAGATCGTTCGGACGGGCGGTCGGGGTGGCGCAGACGATGGCATGTTGCGGGCGAGACCGTTCTCCGGCACGGGCGGGAACTTGGCAGCGATAGCAGACAGGGAGCTCTCGCTCGTCCTCGGAATGCCCGGGAGAGCATTACTCTCAGTAGGCACTAATCCCATGCAGCGGACGTCGAGCTCGTCGCCGACAGATGGGTGTCGCGAGCCGGGCGGGGTGAGGACGCGAGAGGAAGGCGGTGTCGTTAAGACGCCACCGGTCGAGTCGGTCTGGTTGGAGCCAATGCTCTCGCCGCGGAAGCGGCCAGTCTGGTCCGACTTGACGCTCGCTTCGACAGCATCGTTTTCCGCCTGCGGTGGCTCGAGGTACTCGGATACAGCCACTTCGGGCGGTGTCTTGAGACCTGACGGCGCAGTCGGTGTAGCGTCGGTGCCGGCCTCGGTGGATGGCGTGTCGAGAACGGAGGAGGTGCTGGGAGGCGGGAGTGCAGTGGAGGTCGAGCTGCCCTCGTGTGGCGAGGATTCCGTAGTCTCTCGGCTGCGGCTCTGGGCCAGCGCCTCAAGCTTAGGCACGATGACGCTACTGTCGATCCCATCACCCGAGGACGCTGCGGTCAAGGATTCGCCGTTCCTGGCCGTCATGGAAGGCGTGTGAGAAAGCGACTGGCGTTCCTTGAACGCCGCGATGGACTGGCTGGTCATGGAGGGCATGGAAGGCGCACTCGGCATGCGTCGAGGGCCCTTGTGCTCGCCAGAAGGCTTGCGCACCTCAGTCAGCGTGCGGCGGACCGTAGCGTTCCTGGGACCATCGCTCGATTCACTGCGTCCCCATTCATTAGCAAGAGGGCTCGGGCTAATCGTGCTGTGGCGCGAGAGACGGCGCTCCCATCCGGGCCGGTCGGCGCCATTGGTCTTGGCCGGCTGGCGGTCCGAGTACGATGTCACAGAAGGACTGGGCGGGACGCTCTCAAAGAACCGCGTCTTAGCCGCCGGAGCCGAGGTAGTGATAGCAGACATTTCCAGTCGCTCGCCCAGGGTCTGAGCGTCCATGGCCATCTGGAACAGGTCCGGGTCCATCGAAGCACGTCGAAGTCGGGCAATGTCGTGTTCGACTTGTGCCGGGTGAGGGGCGGGTTCTGCCCGACGGGGCGGCGGACTCGGGCTTCGCGAAGGCGGTGAGTAGTCGCGCTTGAACATCTTCAAGATCGCCTGCTTGTCGACCTTGGCCTTGTCCATCTTGGCCTTGATCTCCGAGGGCCGGAGTCTTCCACGAATGCCCGATGCCTGATCGTCGTGTTGTGACGATTCCGGCGCATCCTCACAGTGCTCGGCAATGGCACCAGTGTTCTGACCGCCCTCGACCTTGCGCATACGATTCCGGAACGCAACACCGGGGTGAGCAGCCTTCTCCAAGATGGAAGGAAGGGACGGTCTTCGTGACGTCTTCTCTTTGCTGAAATTCGGTGACACCGTGTCTACAGGCGAAGTCGGCGTCGGCGGCTGATGCGTGTCAGGCGTAATCGTCTCTTCCGTGTCCTCGTCTCCACCTGGTGAACTGAGGTCGCCACCGACTGGTGACGGAAGGTCAGAAGTGTTGATAGGCTCCATGTACGGCGTGGCGATCGAACCGCTGTCGCTGCCATCGCTTCTAAGTGCGCCGGAAACATCGTTCGTTGACGATCCGTTGCGCTGGAACTTGCCGTCAAAGCTGCCGCGCAATAGCCGGAGGCCCTTCTCGGAAGCAGCGCTGACCATGCTCGACGCTCGTTCCTTGCTTTTTCGGGCAGACGATCCGGAGACAGACGCTTCGGTCACGTCTGATTGATTGCTGGCGAACGAGTTTGCTCTTGATCGGACGTTGACGGCCGACGCAGACGTCGATGCCCGGCCGTTGATCTGGTACCATACTCGGATAGTGTGGACGACCTCGTTGTACCCGCTCATCTCAGCGAGGTCCTCCGGTGTCAGCCCGTTCTTGTCCTGCTTGTCCGGCACTGCGCCGGATGCAAGCAGAATCTGGACGACCTGTGCATGGCCGTTCGCGGCAGCGAAGTGCAGTGGCGTAGATCCTGAGAGATGGTCAGTGAAATGCGATCGAGACTGGAAATGTGGGTGCTCACCAGCAGTGCCGACTGCCGGAGCTCCGGACCGCTTCGTGTCGCCGCTGTACCGCCGCGGCAACCGGGGGGCATTCACATCCGCACCCCGGTCGAGCAGCATGCGTACGACACCGACGCTTCCACCCGAACTGGCAGCGTGTATTGGCAGGCATCCGTGGAGGAGCGAGTTGACGGGCTGTCCGTGCGTCAGGGCGTAGTGCACGAGGCCGATGTTACCACTGGCGGCGGCCGAGTGCAACTCAAGGTTTGGGTCTGGTTAAGGTTAGCAAACAGCGGGCCACGGCGAGCACGAGATGGCGATCAAGAGGGAATGTGGGACGGAGTACGATGGTGTGCGCAGTGATCAGAAGATCTGCAATGTGTTGAAACACCGGGAGGCGACAACAAACCTCGGGCAACACACGGGCGTTTACAGGGAAGACGTTCGTGCGGTCGAGGCCGGGACCTTCGACAGCACGTCCAGGTGTCCATGCGAGAGCTACAGCCCTCTGCACACGCCACTGGCAAGAGCGCCAAGCAGGTTATGCTGACGTTGCAGTGGGCATATGTCGAGGAAGGCAGCGCTCAGCGTATCTGATGGAGGTGGGAAACAAAGGACACTCACAGTCGAGGACGACATCGTATTTCGCCTCTACCCGCTCCTTTGCGTCCTTGGTTGGTATTTTACTTCGGATAGCCTCGAGAGTGGTTGCCGTGCGTTCGACGGCCGTGGAGGTGACAGATACGGCCGTGGTAGGTGGCATGGTGGGCGGGGGTGCGGGGTGGGACCGCCGGTGCGGACGGAGAGTCTAGTTGCGGGTGTCGGAGGCCGGTGGAAGGAATGGGTGAGAGAGAGAGGTCGGGGGTGGGGGGAAGTTGGAGTAGTCGGGGAAGAGGACGGAGGTGGCGAAGGCGACTATCGGCGTCGTATGGGGGCGATATTCGTCGTCATGAGCGGTGACAGTGGTGAGGGGGGAGGGTGTGTGTGCAGTGTGCAGAGGTGAGAAGAGCAGAGTGTAAGGAGAGACTGATGCTGTCTGTCTGTCTGGCTGGAGCTGGCTGGCTGGGTGGATGCTGGGTGGTTTGTGGTTAGTAGGCCGGGTAAGGGATCTGCAGGGGCCCTGCCCTCAGCGAGCTGGTACGGCGGTCGAGCGCGAGGCTCTCGAGGTCGCCGGCCGGCGTGCAGTGCCGCAATGGCGGTGGGTGGGTCGTGGTGGGTGCGGTGGACACTGGCATTCGCACTCTGGCTCTCCGCACACGGTTGTACGGGTATAGGGCCGCTAAAGACGGCGGCTCGTGGCCTTAATCGATGGCACCCTCGGTAATCCCCCTCTTGTATTCGGGGAACAACCTCATTAAACCCGCCGACCCTTAAAGCCTTGTTACTTCTCCTTCCCTCTGAGTCTGCAGGATCATCATCGAACCCTGGATATTCGTCCTAAGGAAAACCTACGTCACCACCGCACTGTACTGTCGCCATCCGCATGCGACATCATGCTGCATAGCTGCATGCTTGCAACCGTTCCTGCAATCCTGCAACCCCAGTTATTCGAGGTATTCGCAGAATCCTGTCTCCCCATTTCATTGGCGGTGGCGAAACGAGAAAGGGGCGCTGGCCGCTCGGTTCCTCGATCGCCCCGGCATTGCAGACAAACGTTGGTAACGCTCCCAAGAGCTGATAACAGCCATAGGAGCAGGTGATCAAGCACCCATGTGTGACAGATACGCTGATAACGGTTCCTCTCTCTCATCCCCGCGCTCCGTTTTCCGCCTATAGAGTCCGGTGGGCGGTTCGCGACGGATGCAAGTGCATTCGGCAGCAATCTCATCGTGTACCTTGCAGCTCCATGTTCTCACACATCAGGAGACAGCGGCGCACCTGTATCCGCCATGTTCGCTTCGCGCAATCTCGCCTTCGGAAGCATGGAGCATGTGGGCAACAATGGGCGTCTGGAGCATTCCATTGTTCCACAGTGTCAGGCCGTATCTTCCTGCACTCGTGACTGGTGGCGAAGCGCCGTCTTCTTTGCATTGAAGTCCCGCATGCTCCGTACCACTCATAGCGCCGCCGCCGCCTGTTTGAATCTGTCCTCCGCGCTCCGCCTGATCCCCGATCGCCGCCCGACACGGAGAGTGGGTAGGGAGAGGTGGGCGGGCTTGATCCAGTGACCAGCTCTCAACCCTGGATACTCCTGACCTGCTCCTTCATGTGCCTGCAGGCGAGCGGTTTCGTGCATGCCACTGCAGCACTTCTGCATCGTGCGCCCACACGCCCCGGAGTCCGATCCGCCGGAGACCGAACGAGACCGAACCTAAACGGCGCCAAATGCAGATTCTGAATGGCGCGCTGAATCGCTCATGTAATCTTCATTTGTTGGCTCTGACCGACGCGTCCAAACTCGCCGGACCTGCCCCTTGCCCTCGCCTCCCCGCCCAGGTTCGCGAGGCTCGCTTCCAGGTTTCGAGGGGTATGAGAGGGCGGTTTCCAGGTCCTCCAGGACCGCTGGGTATTTCGGGGCACTCCAAAGCACTCCAAGCTCCAATCACTCCAAGCTCCATGCTCCACGCTCCATGCCTCGGGCTAACCGTAGAGGTACATGACGGCCCACCAGAGTGGTGCCCTAGTGTGCAGCCCGACGCCGAAACTGCGTCTCCGCGAAAGTAGGATGGTAGCGTCAGTCACAACGTCGTCACGCCGGCACGTCGGCGCGGGCGTAGACATTCTTTCGTCCGAAGGACACTAAGACAATTAGGCAATTAGCGTGAGCATGTGCGCAAAAACGCCAGGCAGACCCAAAGGTGTCCGCAGCTCGTTCTTTTTTCGGCGCGCTGGTGCGGCACGCAGACCTCACTGAGAGATTCAAAGACATGATATCATCTTGCCCGGGACCCTGCCTCTCCCCACAGAACACCCCACCTCTGTGTGCGAAAGTGCAAGGTCAGATGAACCTGGGTATTCAACTGTCGGCGTCGCCCGGCATGTGTGGGGAACAACAGAAGTATTGCCTGCGCCGAATCGGCCCTCGGTCGGCGCTGTGGGTCAGCTGAAGGTGTCGGCAGTCATGTGCCAGATCAGCTGCGCCGAGACGTCTGATTGCGCATGGCCCCGCAGTCTTGGCATGCATCTTGCGCCATGTAACAGCATCATGTATGATCGCTCAGACACGTCTGCTTTGCGCTGTTCGGCTCGGCTCGGCTCAACACTGGCAGACTGTCCAACTCCACATGACGATACTGAAGCGCAGGTTCGCTGGATCCGAGAGAGTGGAGTGTGCAAGCCTGCGAGATCTTGGAGCGCGACCGCGTCGCGCGGTGTCAGCCAGGATGAAACATGGGCTCTCTATCTCTTGATTCCACATATCCACATCTCTACATGGCTCCAACTTCAGTCCGCTTGATGTCATCCGCAGCGACGACAACACTTTCAGCTCCGATTTACATGACTAGCATCAGGACGCGAGGAAGACGCGAGACAAGAAGCGGACATGAGCGGTTCAGGGCGCCCAACGTGCGACAACGTGTTTTAAGCACGGTCCGAGCGCGCTAGCGCATAGGCGCATAGGTTTGGTCCCATCACTCAGGCCAGGCACAGCCCCGTTTCGGCGAACCTGGCGAAAATGAAGGGCATACAGGGCGGGAGGGGACAGCTTAAGCTGGTTATAGCAGGCTAAGGCAGGATAGCGCAGGATCAAGACACGCGACATGATATCATCGCCGCCCCTGCACCTATGCTTCACTGCACCACCCGACGCTCTACCTATGGAGAAATGCAACTCGCCACTGGAAGAAGTTGGCTGGCAGCTGCATCCTGGAGACGATAGCGAGATGAGGTTGCATAAGGACATTCAACGCAATGCATATTGTGCTCTCGGTGTGGAGCGGTAGTGTACCACTTTCGCTATCAGAGTATCGAGAGTATCGAAGATACGGAAACTGCGGATCTCGGGCAACGACGAGACAACTTTGACCGCTGGTAGTGCGATGAACGATCACCTTCGTCACTTATCACACCACCGTTACCCAACATGTAACCCGACGCCACTGCACAGCCGTGGAAGACCCTTCCTGCCTCGGGCCTCGGCTGAGGTGATGGGCAGACTCGACGTTCGGGCGCCGATCACTCGTAAGCATTCTCGGCGGGCCTCGGCACCTCTGGGAAGACGTCGGTGGCAATCGCTCTTCCACACCGGACCGAACGCTGAGAAGCTAACGTTTGTCGCCACAGGATGCGCATCCGTTTGCAGCTGGTTCTCAAGCGTAGACGTCAGAGCGTCCCAGGATGGGGGCAACCCTATTGACCTTGCAGACTGATAAGAGCGAGGACCAGATAGTTGATCCGCGCTCCTGTGACTGCGCGGTACTCCACCGACATTTGAATCATGCTGATATCAGTCCTGGAAGTACGCAGGATGCGGGCAAACCCACACATACTTTCAATGGGAATCGCAATAAACGCAAGCTTCCTTCACGAGGAAGTCCCACGAGGACCACGAGATGCGAGTCGCCACTGAGGCACCCGAGCTCCTTCTGTCATAAGCTGTCATCTGGTGCAGCTCCACAAACGCGATTCTGTAATGACCGGATTTGGATTTGTAGTACGCCCGCATAGAGTGTGCGTCACATGCTGCAAAAGCGAGTACCCTAATCGTAATAGCACCAGGTGCCCTGCGCCTGCGCCAAATAATCGACTCGACTCGACTCGATTTTGGGTTGCCAGGAGGGGTCACCAAAGTGGCAATCGCTGTGCCTGAATGTCTTTCCTGGTACAGGAGCCGGGCCGAGCGACGATGAAACGGGCAAAATGGTGCTGCGGCGGCCCCGCGGGCGGGCAGACCGCAGATCGTCAGCGGCCGTCATACCCTTTTTCGCCCAAACTGGTGCTTTCCACTGGCTCAAAGCGGCTCAAGGCTCACGCTTGCCAGCGGTGAGGACGCCGGGGGTTCCACACTTTTCGCGTCGATGCGAAGCGAACCATGCAAAGCCATGCCCTTGGCGACTGCCAGAAGCGTGGTGGATCTCTCGTATAAAAGCGAAATGTGGAACAATGCGAATGCTGACTCCCACTCCCACACCACACCTTACTCATCCACACCACAATAGCGCGCCCCGAGCTAAGCATCCGGCGCTCTCTCCAGATCTAATACTTCGCACTACCGACCAGCACTAGTATGGACGCGTACCCCGCCATCTTCTGTATCGACAATCACAAAAAGCCCCCTGCCCGTCTTCGCCTTCCTGTCGTCATCTAATCGATCCTCTTCAATATTGCAAGCAACCTTGCGACCAGAAACAACAACACAGCATGTCTGAGGATTGGCTCTGTCTTGCGCAAGGCAACAAGGGTGAGCTCCTCTTACCTTGGAGTTTTAGCTAACGAGGAGCCAACTGCGTCCCCATCTCCCGCAAGGCCTTCACAGTCAAGGAGTGCCGCATCTGCAAGCGCGACCTGTCCTTCCTGCCCGCGCCGTCAAAGGCTACCTCTCCAACATCCTCGCGCTCATCCTCGCGCTCCTCGTCCTTTTCCGGCCCCTCCCCCTCGTCTCCTCCGTCAGCCACCGCCATCCTCCCTGGCCTCGATACGGTTGACCCGCAATCGCAACTGTTGACCCAATCTCCGCCCAAGATGGAAAAGACCAGGAGCGGGAGCAGGGGCGGCAGGCCCCGCCGCCGATTGCTTGGCAGCATCAGCGAGGCGCCCGAGACGGAGGAGATGAGGCACAGCGGAGAGAGCAGCGAGGCAAGCGACGCGTCCAGCTCCAGTACGCCGAGTGCAGGGACTGCTTCTCTCCCCCGCGTCTTTTAGAGTAGCGTTCATCTATACCCCATCAGTAGATCTATCTGTTGTATCATTAGCGCCCGCCTTGTTGCACCGAGCTCTGCATTGACATCTTTGCGCTCTGACACTGACTAATGCAATGGCGGAGAGAAATGAAGATCCTTGCACACATGACAGTGGAAATGTTGAACATGACGGGTGTCGATCTTGGGATCCTGAGAACCGGGGCACCACCGTTTTCGCGATGTTTGGTGAGCCAGGTGGATGAGTGGCGAACAATCGAATCGATTTTTCGGTCGATTGCCGGCTGTCCTGGCTCTCACTGCCGGGCAGACATGTTGATCAGCAGCTCCTCGCATGCTTTGCAGAGGCTTACTCTTCGACAAAGTACTGAGCAGCGACATCATTGCTGCCAGCCTTCACTCCATTGCACCGATGCCCGAGACATCGGGCCACCAACATGTTACTCAGCTACCAGATGTCGGCGAAATGAGGATTATATTATCAGTACGTTTACAGTATCCGGCCATCCTCTACATCGGCTACTGCAACACCATTGCCATGATGCAAATATCCACATGCATCCGAGGAGCTAATGCGTCTACTGACTGCCGCGCGGGGGCGGCCGTTCTCTCTACCGTTGCTTCGTCCGTCTATGCTGGGGACAAAACTGCTGAATCCGTCCTTCCACTCTGCTCTAATGCGCTGCACAAACGCAGCCTAAGCCTTGACGGCCTTCCTCTTGCCGGCCTGGGCCTGGTTGGCCTCGTGCATGGCGTACTCCTTGGAGACGAGGTGGCTCGTCTTCTCGACGAGCTCGAGCATCTTGGAGATGTCGTTGCTCCAGACGTTGAGGGTCTGGTTCGTCTTCATCGGCTTCTTGAAGCAGATGACGCCCTTCGGGCGGTCAATCTTGCCGTACACCGTCTTGTCGTTGATGAGCTTGCAGAGCGTCTTCTCGGCCTGCGCCTCCCCGAGGTCGAGCAGCTGGCACAGGCGCGCCATCGTGATGCGGCTGTAGTACTGCTCGATGACGCGGATGTTGTGCTCAATCACACGCGAGTGCAGCTGCTTCCAGCGCGCGTCGCCCGGCGACTGGCTCGGGTCCGTACCCGCCTTTTGCAACTGCAGAGACTGTCCAGTCTTCTTGCCGAGCTCGCTGTCCGGCGCAAAGACTGGCGTCTTCCGCAGCGCGGGGCCGTACAGCTGCTCAATGCCCGGCCAGCGCATGAGCTCACGCGTGACGAAGCACTTGAGCAGTTGGTAGTGTAGCGGCGCCTTCTCCAGCTCCGGCATCGCGTACAGCTTGTGCAGCATGTCGTTCTGCTCGTTGCTGTACGCCGCGAGGACGACGTACATGATGATGTTCTCGATGACGTTGAGCTCCCGCTCGGCATCCGCCTTGACCTCGGCGGTGTCCCAGACCGCCTGGTACGCGTTGCACACCTCGAGATAGTTGTCGTCCTGGAGCGCGAGCTGGACGATCAGGTCGTAGTACCGCAGCTTCAAGTCGGAGCTCTCGGGCTCCTTCAGGTACACGCGGTTGATCTTCCTGCTGCCGACGCGGACCTTGCTCCAGTTGCCGCGCAGCGACTCGAGTCGCATCTGCTCGAGAATGAACTCGGTCTTCTCCCGCTTGTCCATGCTGCTGTACGTCTCGATCTGGATGTCGCTCATCAGGTCCGCCGCCGCATTCAAGTGGTCCTCGGCCGTGACCGGCTCCTTCTTCTTCTCCTTGTCGTCGTCTCCGGCAGCCGCCTTCTCCTCCTCCTGATCCGTCTTGATCGAGCTCGACGCCTTCGGCGCAGTGTGCGACAGCGCCTCGTGGTACTCGGCGAGCATGACCGTCAAGCGCGCCCGCTGCAGCTCGAGATAGATCTTGCCCTCGGTGATGTCGCGGATCGTCGTCAGGAGTCGCAGCCACTCGTCCGGCTTGCCCTTGTACGCGCCAGCCTCCTTCTTCTTCTTAAGCTCGGCGAGATACGGGATCGCCTCATCGACCATTCGAACGACCGCCTCCTTCAGCTGTCCATGCTTCTTGCTCATAATGTGCAGTTGCGTGTTGAGCGCCTCGAGGTCGCCCTGTTCCCAGCACAACCGCACGAGCAGCTGCAGCAGCGCTGCCGTTGACGGCATGTCGGACGCCTGATCGTCAGTTAAAGCCCAGTACCAGCTAACTCACATTCCGTGTCTGCTTCTCGAGCGCAGAGATCTTGTCAATCGCCTCGTTCAGCTTGCCGCTCTGTCCGTCAGTTAGTCGTACAGGCGAACGTAACTTACCGAGGCAAGCTTCTCAACCTCCGGGGTCAGCTCCTTGACCTCGGGGGTGAAGTCCTTCTCCTGCTTTCGTTGGAAGGACATGGTGGTAGGTGCTCGGTGATGGAGATGATCAAGCAAGCTTGCGAGCAAGTGACGACGGTGATGACGGCGGACAGTCATCTCAGGCGTGCGCTCGCGCGTCCTGCGGTTGAGGTCAGACCACGTGGCAGTGGTGGATGGAATAAGTCGGGTGCCATTTTTCGGATTATTTCCCGCCAGAAAGTGTCTCCGATGGCAGAGGGCAGCCTCCATCCGACTTTTCCTAACGAGCGGCAGCACCGGTCTCGGCAGCTTGGTTGGGCTTACTGAAAGCGTCTCCGCGTCTTACTCCGTCTCAACCCCCGCACCTCGACTTCTCCGACCTTTCGCACACCGCGCCTTTTTACAAGATGGTGCGCAAGATCCCGACGCAGGTGCCGCAGCAGATGTCGCGCATGCTCGAGTCGAAGCTCGTCCAGCAGCCGCCGACATGGTGGGGAGCCGTGCTCGCGAACCCGCCCCCGGTGCTGCCTCCGCGCCAGGTCACGCCGCGGAACCGGCCAGACGCAACGCTGAAGCAGTACCCGGACCTGGAGGAGGCGCACTTTGCGCAGCACCACGGGCGCCCGCACTCCAAGAACCACAAGCAGAAGCACCTGAAGGAGATCAAGCCGAAGCCGGTGCAGATCTCGTACGCGATCGACAAGATTAGGCGGCAGTTCTTTGCCGACTTCCCGTTCGAGGCGCTCCGGCCCACGTCTATCTCGGAGGGCATTGACATTGCCGACGAGAACCCCGTCCAGGGCAAGAACTGGACCAAGCTCGTCCAGCGCGGCCGCTACCCGACTGTCGAGGACACGATCCAGTTCGCTCAGAAGCTTCACGCCGAGGACGGCATGGCGCTCCAGCTCGCTTATGACGAGGCCGTGTCCCAGTTCTGCCAGCTGCGCGCGCACCACGAGATGGCCAGCCAGGCCGCCGAGACCGAGGCGCGCCACTACGGCGCTCACTTCAAGCGTGACGAGTGGGTGAGTACTTCCTTCCTTCCTTCTCAAGCTGTCACACCCGTATGTGCAGATCTGACCTCCAGACCCGTACGTTCGACAAGGAGCGTAGCGCGCTTGCCCGCACAGCGATCGAGCAGTCGGACGACCCCAACGCCGCCGCCGGCAACACGGGTCTCAAGTGGATCCGCAAGCCCAAGGTCTGGGCCAGCGACGTCCCCGCCGGCACCATTCCCGTCGGAGAGTTCACCGGCGCCAAGACGTATGTCGCCAAGTGGTCTCTCCCCGCCCCGGCGCGCTGGGCGGGTGCCAACACTGAGGAGCCGAAGGGAGAGCTCCTCAAGCTCCTCGGCCGCAAGGCCCGCGCCCCGCCCCCGCCGAAGGCTGACGGTGAGATGGACGACGCCCAGCTCCTGGCGGCTATCAGGGGGAAGCAGTAGACAATATATCATGCATCATTCATCATTTCTCGGACACCATCTGGACATATCTCGCTGCATTCCGCTTGTTCTACTCTCCCGGCATAGGCAACCATGAGTTTGATCGACGTGCCTGGGTAGGCTGCCACTGAGATAGTTCTCCTGTCATCCCCAAGTGCTGAGCGCTCAGAGAGGGGCGCCCCACCGGCATCATTACCTCTTGCACCCTTTGTCAGTGAAATGCAGCGAAGGAACGTTTTGTCTATTTTGAATTGCATGTCTATTATGAACATAGGCTATGCAATAACCTGTCTTATGAGAGTTGCGGAGTCTTGAGTAGTTGCAAGGAAAGAAAGAATCAAACAAGAATGTATGACGAATGCGATGATTTTATGTTGTATAAGTTGTTCTCTCGAGCAACTTGTTGCAACAGAGCAGAAGAGAAAGATGTAGTTCCCTTCTGGGATATGTTACAACGAGTTGCCCGACACCCCGATGCGCGTTTACTGGGCCTTGGCGTCGATGCCAGAGTCCGAAACGTTGCCGCCCTCCTCGACGCCGACCATCTTGGCGACACCGGCGGCGTTCTTGAAGAAGGCAACGTCCTCACCGTCCTCGATAAAGAGGCACTCGCGGTAGACACGGAAGAAGGCCTTGAACATGTTCTCGTCCGAGTACTGGTAGTGCTTGCCAAGGAACTTCTTGAGGTGCTCAGTGGCCTCCCAAGCGTTGTAGTGGGGCATGCGCGAGGCAGTGTGGTGGGCGACGTGGGTCTCAATGATGCCGTGGAAGATGTACTTGCCGACGAAGCCGAAGTCACGGTCAACAGTGGCGAGGGCACCGCGGGCGAAAGTCCAGGTCTTCTCAGAGTAGTGGGGGACGGTGGTGTCGGTGTGCTGGAGGAAGGTGATGAAGACGAGCCAGTGGTTGACCCAGAGGTAGGGGATGAAGTAGGTCAGGAAGACCTCGGTAACACCACGGTAGTAGGCCCAGACACCGAGACCAGCGAGAACAAGAGCGACACCAATGTCAGACCAGATGATGTCCCAGTACTGCGAAGCACGGAAGATGACAGAGCTGGGCTGGTAGTGGTTGGTGTAAGGCGGGTAGTGGAGCTGGCCGGAAGCGTTGCGGATCAGATACATGGGCCAACCGAAGAGCTGGTGGAGGAAAGCACCCCAGAGAGCGCCGATGGGCGACTCCTCGAGAGCCTCCTTGAGCTCGGCCTGGCGCCAGGCGGGAACGGCAATACCCTTCTGCTCCGACTCGTGCTTCTTGGGCGAGATACCGCGCTGGGAACGGGTGCGGGGAACGAAGACCTCGTCACGGGTAAGGTGGCCGGTGGCAGCGTGGTGGCGGCCGTGAGAGATACGCCACGAGTGGTAAGGGACGAGGAGGGCCGAGTGGAGAACCCATCCGACACCGTTGTTGATAGCCTTGGAAGACGAGTAGGCCTGGTGACCGCACTCGTGGGCGATAACCCAGATACCGGTACCGAAGAGACCCGCGGTAATCTGGTAGCCGATCCAGAGAGCGATACGGGCGGCCATCTCAACGGGCTTGCTCAGGTTGCTAGGAACGTCAGCAACGGTTTCATCGCTTCGCGTGGGGGAGAATGCGGGCACATAAAGTGCAGCAGAGTGGCTCAGAAGCTTGCGAGCTCAAGCTTTAAAGGGACGCGCCGTAAAACGGGTACCTCGTCATTTCTCCGTGTCGTTGCGACATGGGAAGAGTGACACCTGGGGCAGTGGCACAGTGCCACGCACGTTGGCACGTTTCGCTCCGTTTTGGCTTATGTCTTATCTCTTGGCTCTCCAATTTTGCTTCCATTTGCCACCCGGCCACCACCCGAAGACGGGGGCGCTCGGGAAATTAGACACTCACAAGCGAGCAAGGAACGAGTCGATGTGCAGCGCGCCGTAGACGAGGGCGGCGATCACGACGGCATCCTGCAGGACGTAGAGTGACGAACGGAGGGCCGAGCGCTTGAAGCAGTGGGCACTGTTAAGGGGTCAGCTGAAATAAAGTGGAGACGTGATGGGTCGCAAGGCACGGAAGCACGCCAAGCGGGAGACAGGCGGAAAGCCTGAGGAAGGACGGGCCAAGCCGGTCGCGATCGGCCTACCGGCCGTGGTACCGTACGGTTGCCGTGAAGGTGAATTTTCCTCCGCTTGCAGAGCTGATCCGCGCCTTGATTGCGATGAACACTTACGGGATGGCGTCGAGGAGCTGCTTCGTCGTGAAGTTGGGGACGACGAACCTGGCGAATGTCAGCTGTGCTCTGGATGACGTGAAGTGCGGGACAGCCTTGGCACGCCGCTCGCAGGCATACTCACTTCTGGCCCTCGGTGAGCTCGAGGTCCTCAGCCTCACGGAGGAGGGCAGCCTTGTTGGCGGCGCCGTCGTTGGCGACGTCACGCTGGCGAAGAGTGGAAGCCATGGTGTTCGTGGAGTGGAGCACGATTTTTTTTCGATGCGACTAATTCAGAGACTCGTCTTGGCGAAAGAGTCAGAGTCGAGTTTCAAGACAGGTTGGCGGAAAAGAGACAAAAACCGAGAGAAGGTCTTCTTTTGAAAGAGAGCGTAAAGCAAGAGGAGGGAGGGGAGGCAAAGAGGATGTCGAGGGGAGGGAGGAGGGAGAGGGCGGAGAGAAGAAGAGTCGGGTAGGTAGGAGGAGATAGAGAAGAAAGAAATGCACGGATCTCCCTTGAGTGATGTCTAATATAATCCGTGATCTCAGAGTGGCCCGGAGCAGTGGCCTGATGGACGGCCGCAAGCCAAGGCGTTATTGCGAGATCCTATCGATCCTAATCGGCCAAGGATCAAGGATCAAGGATCAAGGAACGCCCGGCGAACGCTTCAGCGGCCAGCCAGCGGGGCAGCGGGGCGCGGGGCAGCGGCGAGGGAGGGAGCGGCCAGACGCGCGAGCGCTGGGCATCCCCAGAGGTATGCCATGCCATGCTTGCTCAGCGCGCCGGTCGGCCGGTGGGACGAGTGGTTAAGCCGAGTGAATACGTCTTGCATTAGGTTTTGCCTGACACGGATTAGCCTGGCATTACAACGCCGGGAGCACCTAATACACCCGTTGAGCTGCTTCCCTCTCGATACGAAAATTGACCCTGCAGGTGAGGGGGGGTGGACACGCGCAGAATTCCACCCGTGGAGGAACGAGGACCCCTCTAATGCCCCATGCGCTGCAACTCTTGTCTCGCAACAGAGTCCAGCAGGCGTCCACGGCGCGCCAGCCGGGCCATCCGGGCCTCGAGGCGAGTCTCTCCGATGGCACCATGCCCCGCCCCAAAGACTGGCTTCTGAACCCTCAACCCGTCCTCAAACCCTTATCCATCCCCATCATCCCCAGGCACAGAAAATCAAACGCTGCGTGCGCGTGACGGAACCAAATCGCGCGCACCACCGTGTGCGTTGCGTCTGATGCGTGAATTCGCGACTGGGAATTCGCCATTGTCCCGATCCCTAACAGCTGCAAGATTGCGGCCGCTCATGCGCTCGCCGTCTCCGCTCCAGAGCCCCCATGGGTTCGCCGTGGAGCATCACTGCCTCTCGACCATGTGCGCCGGGGTGACTTGCACCCGTCCCAAACCCTATCTTCGCAGTGAAAGCATGCACGCCTATCGCGCAATTCTTCCTCTCCTCTTCCGCCGCCGCTCACTGTTCAGGACAGCGGGACGCACGCAGCACTCTCGATAGTGTTCCTGCCGATCGCGGTGACTCCTTCCCAACTTTGGCGATTGGCGAGGCAAGCTGCTCCGCACACAGGTATTGCTGTGCACGGCAGTAGCACGCAGGATGAGCATCATGACGTACAGAGCCATCCCCGATTAAGCTCTCGCTACCTGGTGAGGAGGGGCGATCCCCTCGATCTCCGTAGCAGTGCTCTGGATCTCCGGAATGAATAGTGCGCTTCGGACGACCATCGCCGATCAGTTGGCGGCATGGCGGGACATGGCGGATACGCCGGATTTTGGCGCTGCAACAGACGCAGGTATGCCACGCCCGTTTGCCGCTTAGATATCGGCTTACTCCTGTTCGCTGCGTTCCTTTGCTAAGCTCACGCACTCAACAACGCCTCCGTGACTGGCGCCGCAACATGGCGCAGGTGCCCATAGCCCGTGGCTCATGGGCGTTCGGAATGCTCCTTGGCGATCACTGACGTCGGCTGAGCTCGCCTGACCTCGACTGACCTACACTGACCAGCTGACTCAAGATCCAGCAGCAAGTGAGCAGGGCTTCTTGACACATCCAGCGAGACCGTGAAGAATGTGCGGGTGGTGTATCTCATATCCGCAGTGCGAGAATTCACACATATCGCACATACGCGATCCGAAAAGAACGTGCAGTCCCGATCCAGGCCGGGCAGGCCGATAACACACCCATTAGCCAGCCGGCCGGCGGCAAACCGGAGCCGCTCAAGCAACTGCATCACTGTCTGCACCTCGATATTACATATCGCTCAAGCACGCTGAGTGAGACATGCCAGACGTCGAACGATGTGCAGTGTAACGCTGACCTCACACACTGTCTGACTTGACGGCTCTAGAACAAGTCTTCCCGGAGCGTCTGTCGACTCGGACGGAACTTCAGACTGTTGCATCTCGCTCTCTCGCTCTCTGCACGAACTACACAGCTCGATTCCTTTTCGATTTTTCTGGCTTAGAACTCATTCTTGAGATCACGCAGTCCCTGCATGACCTTGACGGGGTCCTTTTGGCCAGTCCAGTGCCTGCTGGGTCAGTGTCTAGAACAAGCGCGTACCCACTGAGCCTCTGGCGTGTCGAGGCGCATGAAGACGTTCCACTGCTTCTCGTCGCCGATCGTCGACTTGCCCGTGGTGCAGTCGCTCGCCTGCGCATTCTCCATAAGCCTGCGGTTAGCTAATGTCGGGAATGCCGTGAGCGTACCTCTTGATAGCCTCGTTGTGCGGCTCGATGTGGTGGCCGAACTTGGCCGAGCCCATCGTGTACTCGTGTCCGTTGAAGACGAGCGTGTCCTCCGGCAACTTGCCGAGCTTGGTCAGAGCGTCGTGCATCTCCTGCGCGGAGCCTGTCTGTCAGCTGTTACCCGCCTATCTCAGCTCACCCTCGAAGAAGCGGCCGCAGCCGGCGAGGAAGAGCGTGTCTCTGTGACGTCAGCTTCTGAAATCGACTGTACAAACAGCTGAGCACTTACCCGGTGAAGACACCGCGCTGGCCGGTCTTCTTGTCCTCGACGTAGAAGCAGATCGAATCCTGCGTGTGGCACGGCGTGGACAGGCACCTGCTGTCAGCTCAACAATTGGAGGGTAGCTCACTTGACGTGAATGTCACCGATGTCGAACTCGTCGCCGTCCTTGACGATCACATTCGCACCGGGCGCCTTCTCCGAGCCAGCGTACACCTTGATTCCCGGGTGCAACTTAAGCTGTCACATTAGCTAGCAGGCGGTACCCGACAGCTTACGAATGCCTCGTTACCGCCGGAGTGGTCAAAGTGGTGATGCGTCGTGATCAGCCTAGTCACCTGGGACACGTCAGCTTCCGGTGTGACAGCGCAGCTCACGTTGGCGCCGTGGTCCTTCGCCGCCTGGTCGATCTTGGGTGCATCATACGGGTCGACGACGGCCGTCTCGCCGCTGTCGTCCATAAGGCTGGGGGTGAGCTTCCTCGCGCTTCCAAAGCTTACAGATACATCCAGTTGTCGGACCTAGCCTGGACGGGAATGACCTTCATGTTGTTTCTGGCTATCAGCTGAATATGCGGGGCATAGCTTACGCTGTGGTGGTTGAGAAATGCCTTGATCTGTTGAGGGTGGCGAGGGCTAGACGTCTGGCAAACATCCCCGTAGTTATGGCGTCGATGACAGTCGCTGCGTCGATTAGTGGCCAGCGTTGCTCGGGTGGGCACGGCCTCCACTTTGGACTGTGGACTGTGGGTGGTTGATTGCGTCAGAGGCGCGAGAGGCGGTTGGCGGTGAATCGGTGTGTCTGAGTGGGAACTTGGCATGTAATCACGTGACGTTCCGGGCACATGGCACCTTACAGACTGAGGGCCGGAAGCAATCAAGCCATTTCCACAGAAGAGCGTCGTACGCAGCAGAAGAGAGCCTCGTTTCGTCGCGTCGTCCGAAAAGCTTTAGCCTGAGACCCGAGGGAGCGGAGGCTGCTGGAGGCGGGAGGCCAGAGACGCAGAGACGTGGTATGCACAGAGGTTAACGGGCGTGCGTCCCTGAAATCGTCCTCTAGTCTCGGCTTGGAAGGGCTATTCATACGACGCCGGCCTGCGCCGCGCCTGCGCTCCCAAGCAGCGACAAGCACGCGTGGACCCACCAGGACAACACGCCTGCGACACCAGCCAAACCCAGCCAAAAGCCTCGGGCCCAAGCGCGCGGCGCGACTGCCCTTTTCGCCTCTGGCGCAGTGTCTGGACGCCTCCCTCGCCTCGGGCCGCGGGGCTGCTGCGTCCTCCAGTGCTGCTGCACTGGTGCTGCGCCGCGATACCTGCGTCGCTTTCCACTGCCGTTAACGCTGGCCAGTCGTCGGGTCGATCAAAATTAGGCCTCACGGCCCAGCCTTCTCCCGCGCCAATCTTCTACACCTGCCTGGGCCTTGGACCTGGACTAAGAGACCGAGTGTGGGCACGCCGGGGGACGCTACTGGATTTTCTCGCAGCATCAACTCTATCGCTGTACACACAACCGACACCGGTCGGTCAGCTGCCAGCGATCGACATCGCTCACATCCACTCCTTCACACCAAACACACGACACTCGTTCCCATCATTCTCTCCTTCACCATCACCACATTTCTTTCCTGTCGCCTGTGATCTTCATTCGCATTTTCGTGACGCAAACGACGACATACGACGCACGACCGACCCACCCCCTACCCCGCATTCGAAACCTTCCCTGCCAATATTTGTCTCGCCCTTGCCCGCAACGCCTTGCGACAACAAACCGCCAGCCATGAGCTTCTTCAAGAACAAGCTGAGCCGCGGCCACTCGATGCGTGTGCCGGCTGATGAGGTGAGTGCACATCATTATCGGCGACGGACCTCTTGCCATGAAACGCATCAGCTGACGTCCCTCAGCGGCCACCTCGCATGAAGCTGTCTTCCCTTCTCCCCTTCGGCTCCTCTCGTCGAGCTGGGCGGCCGGTGTCGCCTCTGTCCCCGCTCTCGACTGGCGGTGTGCGTGAGGCTGCCTCGGCAGCGAGCGCAACGCTCCGTGGCGGCCTGCAGCGCAAGGGCTCGACCTACCGACAGACTTACCACCACCTGGACGCCGACCAGGAGCCGCCGCAGGAATGGGCGCCTGTCCCGTTGCAGTTCGTGCAGGACGACTTTGCATACTACTCGCGTGACTGGAACCACTATGAGAGCGACCGGGTGTCTCGGGAGACGCGGCGGAAGCGTGAGGCCGACCGTCTGAACCGCAGCGCTACAATGCGCCCCCGCCCAAAGCCGCGCATGCCGAACGAGGACTCGACGATGACTAGGAGCTCGTCGGACCGCCAGCTGACCCAGCTGGGCAGCAACAACCCCTTCAACCCGCACGGCACTGTGCGCCGTGCCGGCGGCGAGGCCCGCGCCCCGCGAGTGCCGCCCCCGAAACCTGTCTGGGTCCAGTTCGAGGACGAGTGGTCTTCCGCCAGCTCTGGCTCCAACTCGAGCTAAGCTAGTTTGAGCGCGTCAGCGAACGCACTCGCCCGACTTCGCGTCAGCCAGCAGCTATGAAAACCGACACGTCTGTGCTCTCGCCCTGCGCAGACGCGCAGCAGACCGGCCCGCAGCTAGGGCCCGGTCGTGCCTGCAAGTGCCGATTGCACACCCACCCTGTATCACCGCACCGACACCGAGCTTCGCCCTTAGTCTCCACCACCGATCTAGGACGCTCCGTCTCTCTGTATACCACCAGTCTCTAGCTAAGCTAGCTAATTTCTACGGACACTCAACGTATCGTGTAACTACCATTCCATAGACATAGACCTGCCATGCCATATCTACAGCACATTCACGCAATTCGAGTGAGATTATCACATACAAGTACAAGTCTGCTCTACAGGTAGATATCTATCGAGTCGTGTCGTGGATCGCCTACTCCCCGTCAGCCTCCACCTCCTCGTCAACGGGCTCAGAGGCGTCAGAGGGGAAGTCGACGTCGTCCCCATCAACATCATCAACGTTCCACCGCCACGCCTGCTGCTCCTCGTCCCACCACCGATTCTCCTCACTCGGCGCGCGCCTCCCAATGCCAACCCCGGGGATGCCGGCGTGCCAAGCGCCGCTCCAAAAGTTGAAGTTGTACCTGGACACGTCCTTGTCCTCTAGGATCCTCTTCCCCTTGGCGCGAATGTGCAATCCAAGCTTGGAGTGGAGGTACATGTCAACGCGGCCGGGGCGGAATCCCATGGTGAGCATGTTCATGCCCTTTTTCAGCTTGAACGAGTGCGTGCTCCCGCGTCCGCGGCCATTGACGACTTCGAAGAGCACATCCTCCAGCGCCTCGGGCACGAGCACGACGGCGTTGATCAGGTCCTGGGCCCAGTCTGCGTTTTCGGGCCGAGGGACTGGGTCCGACTTCGCCGTCGCGCCCTTGCCGTGGATCCGGTACCATGCCCAAATCACGATTTCGTCAGACACCTCGGGCGCGCCGTCCCGCCACCGCGCACCAAAGTAGGACGTCATCTCCCGGAACGCGACGTGGTTCATGTATCGCGTCCAACCCCGCGAGCCGGGCTCGGCGCCCATCGAGGGCGAAATGGCATGCGACTCGCCATAGTCGTTCCACGAGATGACCTGGACCATTTCGGGCGAGTGGTCGGGCGTGAGCTCGAGGATCTCCCGCCACCGAGAAGGGTACAGCAGGTCGTCGGAGCGGTAGATGAAGTTCTTGTCGAACGCGTACCGCCCCGTCTTGCCGTAGTGCGTGAAGAAGACGGGCGACACGCCCATCATGTGCGGCTTCTTGGCGACGAGGAAGGGCAGGTCCTGCGTCAGCGTGAGGCGGTGGTTGTTCTGCGGCCACGCGTTGCTCCACGCAAACGTCCCGTCCACGTCCTTGTTGTCAATGATAGCTTTGCTGTCGGCATGGAAGCCGGGCCAGAAGAAGGGGCGCTTGCCGTTGTGCGACTTCTCGGCGAAACGCGCCAGCACGCCGTGCCACCCCCGTCCCCCGAAGGAGGCGCCCTCCCCGCCAAACGTCGTCAGGAGCGGGCGCTCGTCCTCCCCGTGCCGCATCTGTGCGGGCGACTGGATGTGCTGCACCAAAGTGTCGACGAGGATCTTGCCGTGCTGCCAGCTGCTGGAGGGGATGTCCGTCATGTCGAGCGACATCATAAGCTGGATCGGCTTAGCGTTGAGCACCGGCCGCCGCAGCCGGCGAGAGGCCATGTTGTACGCCGTCGCGAGCCGCTCCAGCTGCCACCGCTCCTTGCCCAGGTTGAGCACGAGGCCGTCCAGCCCCGCCTCCTCCGCCAGGTCGAACGTCCGCGCCCAGTCCGCCTCCGTGAACGGGTGTGTGTTCCCGAGCTGATGTCAGCTAGACCTCCAGCATTTCTAACTTACCAAGAAGTGCGCGACGATCTTGCGGTCACGCTTCTTCAGCTCGCCCTCCTCGCCGGCCGTGGCTCCGCCCGTCGGCTTCGGGTCCGCAGCCAGCGTCGTCTTGCCCTGCGCCGCCGCCTCGGCCGCCATCACGTCAATGTCAAAGTGCGTTTGCGAGCGCGTAGACGCATCAAAGTGTGGGCTGTTCCCCCGCTGCTCCCAGTGCGCGAGCAGCGAGTACGTCATGAAGAACAGCAGCGCCGCGCCCACGAAGGGCTTCACTAACGGGTGGTTCAGTCGGATGGGGATCTTCATCGTGCCGAGCTAGTAGGCGCAGCGGGTTAGCACGACGTCAGCCGTAGGCGGAGGATGCGCTTTGGCCGTAGAAGGAGTCCTGCACGCAAATGATCCGTTGAGAGTTCCCGAGGTCGAGGGGATTAGACAACCCGGAGGGTGTTGCCGTGCTGGCGGACTGCCGTCTAGATGTTGTTCCGGGATAATGGGTCGCAAGTCGCAAGAAAAGAGTGAAGGATCCCAATCCGAACCCAAGGCGGAAGAAGAAATCCGAAAGAGTCGAGTAAGGAGTGTGTTATGGCTTAACGAGCGTCGAAGAGTAGTGAGTGAGTAGAGACAGTGAAATGTTGAGAGAGCAGATGAAACGCTGTACGCTGTACGCGTGGCCCGGATGCTCGGGACGGTGTCTGGCAGTGCAGCGCGCAGCCTGCAACTCTGGGCCAGTCTCAAAGCGACGACTAGCCCGTCCAGGAAGAGAGCCGCAAGGCGCAAGGAAGGGCAGCGGGGATCCCGCGTGGCGTTTCATCGCGGCAACCGCGGGAGTGCGCACGGAGCACTTTCAGGATGTCTTTTGGACTTTTTGGGTGCAAAGTGACGGCCGTGACGGCGCGACGTCGTGAAAGTGTGCCGTTCGTGAGCCGTGAGCCGTGTGCCGCGCGGCGGTGGAGGGACGATCAGGCCCGTAAGCCCAGGAGCCCTGGCGCCGACGCGTGGCGCGCCCTGACGCGCCTGCCGTGCAAATGAAACTCTCGACATCGTTCTCGTCATGCGTTGCCCTGGTCCCCTTTCGTACACCCCTCTCTTCGCCCGATGGGCACAATGGAATGGGTGCAAGTGAGGCGTTTGAGAGTTTGACCCGAGTTTGACCCAGAGACGATATGATGCATGCGACGATCTGTCTCCAGGCGTTTTGAAGGTGTCACCCAGCAACCTCTTTGGGCGCACGAGTGGTCCACTGGACTGGACGGACTCGGCGAGGTCGGAGTAACCTCAAACTTGACACGTGAAGGCACGTCCGGTCGAGTCACATCGCAGCACGGTCTGCACGGCGCACGTACTCCCAGGAGTCGACTCTCCACCGTGCACGCCGTACGTGCGCCCTTGTGCCCTCGTTATGCTTGATGCTATGGCGGTCAGTGCTTCGAGTGCTTCGGTGGTGTGACCGGACCTCCCATTGCCGGTCAAAGTGCCGAGCTGCCGATGATGCTTCTCGAGAGCTCTTTGTTGAGACGCAGCAAGAAGGACGATAGAGCCTTCCCTGTTGATCACCAATGCTCTTAGTGCGAACACGATTGCTGGAACTGCACATCCTTGCTCGTCTCGCTCCCCTTCGCACTCACGTAGATGTTGATTTGCACTGTAGAACATTCTTTCATGATCACATGAAGAGGGTGCAAAGCTTTCGATATCTTCGTGTATCCTGCCCCAGTGGGTGGGGGCGTTTTATGCTTCGCCCCTTCTCCTCTTCGTTTTTGCAGCTACATTAGCAATATGCAGAGGAGAGATTGTCCTGCTCCCGTGTTGTTGAGCGCCGGCTGTCACTGCTCTTCCATTCCAGAATATGAGCCGAGATGAGCTGCGTGGCCTCTGGCGCGCACACTGCCATGTCTACCTCGCACGAGGGAAGAGTGGTCGTGTTCTTGAAGACTTGCCCCGCAGCGGTCCCAATCAATCCCTCACTGCATCAGTCAAGCGCTTCCATTTGTCAGTGCCGTCAGTTGCCTTAGTTGCCAGGAGTGTGCCGGTCGCGGTTTGTAACTTCTTTTTTCATGCTGTATAACTACCGAATGATGAGAGACCTTCAGACGCCTGGGCAGACTCGCTTACTTGCTGTCCTTGCTGTCGCTGTCGTCCTCCTGGCCCATGGCCCATCCCTGCTGGGTCTTGAGGTTCTCCTTGGGGACACCAAGCTCAATGAGGGTCTTGAAGGCCTTGGCGAAGTCCTTGTTGAAGGCGTCCTCGTCGTTGGCGTACTTCTCAACCCAAGGGCGGAAGCCCTTGTCCGAGATGAGGACCATGTCGGTGGGAAGCATCATGAGCTGCTTGTCGTTGTTCTCGAACTGCTGGGGGCCCTTCCACTTCTTGAAGTGCCACTTCTGGCCCTTGTCGAGCATCAGGCGGTAGAGCTCGTTAGACCACGAGGTGGGGGAGTAGGTCCAGGGTCCGTCGTAGCCGGAGCGGTCGGTGTGGCAGCGGCCGAGAGCGTGGGCACCGATGAGGGCGACGGTCTCCTGGTCGTTGAAGCCCATGCGGCCGAAGATGTCACGGATGTGCTGGGCACCCTGCGAGGCGTCGGGGAGACGGCCATCGGGGGTCTGGTTGACCTCAAGACCGTCAACACGTCCAGGGGACCAGGGGATGACGGGGCCACCAGCCTCCTGGATGGCGGCAACACCGGCGAGGGTCCAGAGGTCACCGTACGAAATCCAGGGGTACTTCTGGTGGATCTTCTCGAGGTAGTCACGGGCGACACCCAGACCGGCGTTGGCACCGTGGCCAGACTCAGCGGGGAAACGCATGGTAGCGTAGTTCGAGCCACCGGTCTTGTCGTCCTTGTTGTAGGTGCCCGAAGCGTGCCAGGCAAGACGGAGGACAACGGGGGCAAGGGAGCCGTCTGTATGTTAGCGAGATTCCGTCGCCTGAGCTCACCATCGTAGCCCTCCTTCTCGAGGGAGTCGGCAATGTCCTTGTAGACCTTCTCGTAGTCGGCCTTGGTGTGCTCCTTAACAGCCTGAGCCTTCTCGGCAGGCTTCTTCTCAGCGAAGTAGTAGTAAGCACCACCACCGACAGCGAGAGCGGCGAGGATCAGAGGAAGCTTGGAGCCACCGCCCTGCTTGCCCTGGTTGTGCTGCTGCTGCTGGCCCTGGCCGCCGGCAGCCTGTGTCTACGTCAGCTAGAGTGCGGGGAATTTGTCCAATCCACAGCATCACTTACCGAGGCGTTGCCGCGACGGAGCATGGGGGCGGCGACGCGGGGGGCAGCGAGGCGGAGGGCCGCGGTGCGGAGAGTGGGAGCGATACGGAGAGACATGACTTGGATGGTTAGCGGAATGACGATCGCGGGCGGCGTGATAGGTGGGCAACGTGGGGAAGGGCGACGAGCGGAATGCGGGGTAGGGTGATCGGGGGCTCTTGCGGCAGTGACGACGCTGGCTACGAAGGGCTGCTACAAGCGATGGATGGGCCGACTTACCTGGAAGAGTGGTGAAACTGGCAGTCAAGGAAGATGGAGAAGAGGAGAGAAGTAGTCGCGGTGGGAAGGCGGGTCGTGACGTGCGTGTCGCGAGGACGGACGGTCAGGAGGTCGGCTCGGCCAGGCTGGGCTGTGGGCGGAAGAAGCGGGCTGGAGGATGTGCTTGGTGCTAATGAACGATCCGACGGGGGCAGCCAATCGAAACTCAGATAATACGCACTCTTCGGTTCTCTCAATTCCGGAAGTGACGCTTAAATCATTTACCCATGCATCACACACGTTCAGGCGTCTTATATACTCCTTCGTCTGCCTCCATCCAACGAACAAAAACATGCATGCATGCAACCGTACACAGCACACCCGTAGCCACTCAACGCCTTGTGTGTGCAGGTCATGGCGCTCGGCGCTCCGTGGTGACTCAGCAGCAGTCATGTGCGTGGCCAGCGCGGCGCGGTGACTTGGGCGTTGGCATGCGTTCATACGTGGGGAATGCCTGCCCACATGATCGACAGGCTTCAGGCTGGCCCAAGGCTGGCGCACAGGGTGGGAAGGGCCAATCATGGTTGTCCAAATCCTCAACACGACAGCAGACGTGATTACAAAGCATTACTAAGCAACTATCAGACCATTTCACTCATGCAAGTCGGCAAACTCTGTCCATGTCCTCTCCGACCGTTGTCGGAGCCTCCGAGCCGACCAGTCAAGCTCCGGGCACTTGACGCAGATCGTCTCCGATCTCCGCGCCGCTCATGTACAACTTCTTCTGCGAACCGATGAACTAACCTCGGCAGGGTATGGAGGAGCATACTTTATCTTATCGTAACGCTTGTGTGATGCTGACAGCTGACGGCGGAAGCGTCAACCGCGTTTCACACGGCTTGTACAAGCGCTCCACATTGGCCTATTTCCGGATTGCCTGTTCGTCTACCTCGCCCCGCTATCTGCGGAGGTCGGTGGTCCGCTGAGGGACTCGTTCTCCCTAAGGACTGTTGGCTCGCACTGGTCTCCGATCTCTGCGTCTCTGCTTTCTCTCGACCATCTTGTATTGGACACTGGGTCAGACAGTCCGAACGCCACTGACGCCGAAAGATCGAGGGGCACACTCACCGTGTGACAGTTGAATCGCGTGGCTTCAAGTCAATCACGTGAAACTCCTCCATGCTCAGCTCACGCGATCACATTATGCAGCCCCCTCACTTACACCCAAAGTTCTGCTCTTCAACTTTTGTTTCTGGGCGAAGAGAAACCCCTCCTCACCCCTCAAGCAACACTGATCAAGATGGCGTCCGTGAGCGACATCCAAAAGTCGGGCGACTTCGCCATCAAGTCTGAGGCTGTTACGCCCAAGCTCGACACCAGCGAGTGGCCCCTCCTCCTGAAGAACTACGACAAGCTCCTTGTTCGTTCCAGCCACTTCACCCCTATCCCCACCGGATGCTCGCCTCTCAAGCGTGACCTCAAGACCTACATCGAGTCCGGATGCATCAACCTCGACAAGCCCTCGAATCCCTCGTCGCACGAGGTTGTCGCCTGGATCAAGCGCATCCTCCGCGTCCAGAAGACCGGTCACTCTGGTGAGTTTAGACGGAGCGAACTGTGATGGCCTTCCTTTAGCTAACTTAAGGTACTCTTGACCCCCTTGTTACCGGATGTCTCATCGTCTGTATCGACCGTGCTACTCGTCTTGTCAAGTCTCAGCAGGGTGCTGGTGAGTAGCAGCGCAGATACTCCATCTGCAGCTTACAGCGCACTTGAGTCGTAGCTGACCCTCAGGTAAGAGCTACGTTGTCGTCGCTCGTCTCCACGGCAAGCCCGAGGGCGGCAAGCAGGCTGTTGAGCGCGCCATGGAGACCCTGACTGGTGCTCTCTTCCAGCGTCCCCCTCTCATCTCGGCCGTCAAGCGTCAGCTCCGTGTCCGTACGATTTACAACTCGAAGCTCATCGAGTACGACGAGGACCGCGGACTTGTCGTTGCCCAGCTTGACTGCGAGGCCGGTACCTACGTCCGTACCTGGTCGGTCCACCTTGGTCTTCTTCTCGGTGTCGGCGCCCACATGCAGGAGCTCCGCCGTGTCCGCTCCGGTATCACCGGCGAGGGTGACGACATTGTCACCATGCACGATGTCCTCGACGCCCAGTGGCTCTACGACAACACCCGCGACGAGTCGTACCTCCGCCGTGTCATCAAGCCCCTCGAGGCTCTCCTGACCAACTACAAGCGTATCGTTGTCAAGGACTCAGCCGTCAACGCCGTTTGCTACGGTGCCAAGCTCATGATCCCCGGTCTCCTCCGTTACGAGGCCGACATTGAGGTCGGCGAGGAGGTCGTTCTCATGACCACCAAGGGTGAGGCCATCGCCGTCGGTATCGCCCAGATGTCGACTGCCGACCTCGCCTCGTGCGACCACGGTGTCGTTGCCAAGGTCAAGCGCTGCATCATGAACCGCGACCTCTACCCCCGCCGCTGGGGTCTCGGCCCCAAGGCGCAGGAGAAGAAGAAGATGATCAAGGCCGGTGCCCTCGACAAGCACGGCAAGACCATCGACGGCGTCACCCCCGACTCGTGGAAGAAGAACTACGTCGACTACGGAGAGCAGGAGGCTGCTGCCAACGCGGCGCTGCTCCCCACGCAGCCCGAGGCCGACAAGGCCTGTCCAGAAGGCTATCGACGAGGCTTACGCTGCCGGCTACCTCGGCAAGGACGCCTGCGGCTCCGGCTACCCCTTCGACGTCTACGTCCACCGCGGTGCTGGTGCCTACATCTGTGGTGAGGAAACCGCTCTTATCGAGTCCCTCGAGGGCAAGCAGGGCAAGCCCCGTCTTAAGCCTCCTTTCCCCGCCGACGTCGGTGTCTTCGGCTGCCCGTCGACCGTCGCCAACGTCGAGACCGTCGCCGTCGCCCCCACCATCTGTCGCCGTGGTGGTTCGTGGTTCGCCTCGTTCGGCCGTGAGCGCAACTCTGGCACCAAGCTCTTCTGTGTTTCCGGCCACGTCAATAACCCTTGTGTCGTTGAAGAGGAGATGTCTATCCCCCTCAAAAGACCGAGAAGCGCAAGCGTGACGACGAGGCCGCCGCCACGCCTGCTTCTGAGAAGAAGAAGAAGAGCAAGAAGGTCAAGATGGAGGACGGAACGGAGCGCGACGAGACCCCGGAGGAGCGTGCGGCCCGAAAGGCCCGCAAGGCCGCCAAGAAGGAGAAGGCTTAGAGGGGGTTACCTAGATTTCATTAGCTAGGTTGTATTTGTATGCTACCACATATATCCGCGACGTCGTTGGCTTTGGCTGAGGTCAGACTGGGCGAAATTTGGACAGGCGAAATCAGGCACGTGGCGGGTGCGAACAAAGGTGGCATTTGGTCTATGAGTGGCATTGTCTAAGCGTAATAAAGGAGCTTTCGTTGCGCCAGGTCACCTTCAGTGTAGATTCTGTACGTTCCCTCGCCGACCTGGCGCTCGTACTCCTCGTGTGTGAGGCTAGTAATGTCTGCACAGTGGTCCAGTCGCCGCTCATCCGCGTCACGGAGCCGACACAGAGCTGGCCAGACCTGAGCCCACTGGAAGAGGTTGAAGGCCTCCTCGAGGCCGACAAAGACGACTGGATTCTTCCTCCAGCGGTACGAGATCCAGTCCGCAATCGCCTCGGCAATCTCCTCGCCCGTGGGGCTGATGAAGATCTCGCGTCCATCCTTTCCGCGCACAGCGCGGGGATACTCTTCCTTCAGCCTGACTGCGTCGTGGAAGATGAGCACGACGGCGTCATCTGACGCCGCAAACGTCGCACTCTGCGGCAGGATGCGGAACAGGTCCTGGTCTAACAGGGAGCGGTCGGGCGAGCACCGGATATTGATGATGCCAGAACGGAACTGGCCATTGTCGGCGACACGCTGCCCCAGGTCGGCGGTGTAGACGTGCACCCCGCCAAGCGTGAAGAGCGCGTTCGCGTCGCAGATTCCAAACCTGATACGCGTGATGGCGGGCCGGTGCTCAGTGCGGGTCTTGAGCCACGCCACGAGCCCGGCGTACGCCCACGCGCTCCAGTCGGTGGGAAAGTCGACGATGGACGTTTGGCTGAACACCTCGACGAGTCGCGCGGACAGGGCGTGATTCTCCCTCCCGATCCCGTAGGTAAGGTAGCGCTGCTCGTCCCAGGTTAGTTTGACGAGAGGGCGCCGCGAGCCGTTGCGTCGAGAAAAGACCGTCAGATCACCGTCCACCTCGAGGTGGTACAGCTCCTCCTTGTTCGCGCGGCGGCGCCACCCTCGGGACACGCGCTTTGCGATCTGCAGGCCGTCGTGGTCCAGATAGGCGAAGATCGCGTCGATTAGGTGTGGATAGTAGGCTTGGTCGAAGGCTGGCGCCATCTTGAGGTGGTTGGGGAGCGAAGGGTGGGGATGGAGCACAGCTGCTGTCGACGGCTATTATATTGCTCTCGCTAGCGAGAGATGGGATCGCTACCAGCGCATCTCGATGCATCACTGCTCATTACCGTTTGCTGCGAAATGCAGGTAGTCCGCTGCCTTCAGTGTGACTGGTCAGTGGCGGTGTCGCATCGCTTGGTCGCGTTGTTGTTCTGTGACAATGGAAGTGTCATGGTTGGGTTGTTCGGTGCAAAGAAATCCATTATGCTGGGGCCACTTGCCCGGAGTAGTTCCGCAGAGAGGCTTGTCGCAGCCTTGCCACACGCCAGACGGCGTCGCAAGACAGACATACTTCGTCATCCAGCCGTGTCGACGAGTCGCACGGGAGGGCCGCTGCTTCTTTCAGATACACGGTCTGTCGGGGGCCAGCGTGACCGCAATTAGCATCTCATGCGGAGAACGAAGCTCAACTACGACTTGAGTTCAACTGCGCTGGACATACGAGTGCGCAGGGATACACCCGTGCCCAGGATCAATTGACAGACGTGTGACCTTCTAAGTAGGCGAAAGCGCGAATGCAGAAGAAGGCCCTCGGCAGACTAGCTGAAAGAGCGAATCTGGCTGGCGCTCACAACATCAGCCAATCTCATTAGAGTAACGATGACCGCGAAAAGACTTCGCACTAGAATAGAGAAGGCAGCAGCGAGAACGTACCGCCGCAGATGCAAGGGGCTGCTCACGACGGAGTACCGATGAGCACTTGAGCAACTGGCACGAGCCGATGAGTTCTCAGCCAGTGTGGGGCCCCATTACTACCAGAGGGTTTGGCTTTCTCCGCGCCAGTCAATTCAGGCAGAACAGCACAGACAAGGCGTTCCGGTGCGGCTTGGGAGTGAACTGGGAGCTTCTGCATTGACTCAGCTGTTCGCGAGATGTTGTCGTCTGCTGGGGAGAGCTCGATGACAGATTGGGCGTTGTCAAAAGCCAGTGACGGCATTGGGTCGCTGTGACGGTGGTTGAGTCAACCAGGGGAGGTGTCAGCCAAACCACGTGGCTGGATGCCACGGACATAACGCCGATTTTCCGTCCACTGTGAGCGCCGAGGGGCCAATCCTGGGCGAGGCGTTGCATCTCCGGTAGGGGAGCGGTGGTGCAGGACGCAGGAGCCTGGCTGAACGTTGTCGTCCATACATCCTCTGCCATCTCGAACGGCTTACACACCGTCACACCACTCCGAACTAGCGCCATGCTCTCGTCGCGCCCCGTCTCGCGCTCCGTGCGCCTGGGCGCCTCCGCCGCGCGCATCGCCAAGCCCCTGACCTCGGCCCGTACCTTCGCTTCGTCTTCGGCTTGCAACCTCGCGACTCCTGCCGACTCGACTGCGACCCCTGTCCGTCACTACGGTGGGCTCAAGGACCAGGACCGGTGCGTACACACACGCTAGCGCAGGGCGGGTGGAACAGGCGATCTGGAGGGGCGCAAGGCCCGGACCGTGTGTGGCAGAAACCTCCACTCCGTCCATCTTTACGAGCCACCAACAGATGTTGTCGACCATCTCCCCCTCTTCTGCTCTCTCTTTTGACATCGCTGACAACTAAGCATCTTCACAAATTTGTATCTTCGCGTGCGTCATCTTTCAGTGCTTTCTGGGGGCCGATACGATCAGGAATGAGCTCGCTGCGATCAAAATCGGGCTCACCATCCTTTTCGAGCTCTTTCTTCATCTTCATTTATTAACAACAACAGCACGACCCCGGCATCAAGGGCGCAGAGAAGAGGGGCGACTGGTACCGCACGAAGTCCGTGTTTTAAGAGAAAAACGGCGATGCTAACGAGAACAGGGACATTCTTCTGAAGGGCGACACTTGTGAGTTGAGTGGAGAAGGTTTGACGATGGTTGTCGAGGTGGAGGATCGGTGGCGAGTGGCGGAGAAATTCCGTGGGGCGCAGAGGGATAGATTGGCGTGATTGGTGCCGGCGCAGGGCTACTGGGTACCGAGAGCAGCGCTGACTCTGCAGGGATCATCAACACCATCAAGGAGTCCGGCCTCCGTGGCCGCGGTGGCGCCGGTTTCCCTTCGGGTCTCAAGTGGAGCTTCATGAACAAGCCCGGATGGGAGAAGGACCCCCGCCCCCGTTACCTCGTCGTCAACGCTGACGAGGGTGAGCCCGGAACCTGCAAGGACCGTGAGATCATGCGTGGTGACCCCCACAAGCTCGTCGAGGGCTGTCTCGTCGCCGGCCGCGCCATGAACGCCAACGCCGCCTACATCTACATCCGTGGCGAGTTCATCGAGGAGGCCAACGCTGTCCAGAAGGCTATCGACGAGGCTTACGCTGCCGGCTACCTCGGCAAGGACGCCTGCGGCTCCGGCTACCCCTTCGACGTCTACGTCCACCGCGGTGCTGGTGCCTACATCTGTGGTGAGGAAACCGCTCTTATCGAGTCCCTCGAGGGCAAGCAGGGCAAGCCCCGTCTTAAGCCTCCTTTCCCCGCCGACGTCGGTGTCTTCGGCTGCCCGTCGACCGTCGCCAACGTCGAGACCGTCGCCGTCGCCCCCACCATCTGTCGCCGTGGTGGTTCGTGGTTCGCCTCGTTCGGCCGTGAGCGCAACTCTGGCACCAAGCTCTTCTGTGTTTCCGGCCACGTCAATAACCCTTGTGTCGTTGAAGAGGAGATGTCTATCCCCCTCAAGGAGCTCCTCGAGAAGCACTGTGGCGGTATCCGTGGCGGATGGGACAACCTTAAGGGTATCATCCCCGGTGGTTGCTCCGTCCCCGTCATCAAGCCCGACATCTGCTCGACCGTTCTCATGGACTACGACGACCTCAAGGACAACGGCACCTCGCTCGGAACCGGTGCCGTCATCGTCATGGACCAGTCGACCGACATGATCAACGCGATCGCCCGTTTCTCCAAGTTCTACAAGCACGAGTCCTGCGGCCAGTGCACCCCCTGTCGCGAGGGAACGACCTGGATGCTTAACATGATGGACCGTCTCGTGTCAGGGAGGGCCCAGAATCGAGAGATCGACCAGATTTACGAACTCACGTAAGTTGGAAACCTCAACATCGAGAGGATGTTGGTGTGAAGATGTTGCTGTGGTGTTTCGTGCCTTAACCTCCACCTCCACCTCCACCTCCACCTCCACCTCCACCTCCACCTTCACCGCCACCGCCACACCACCAGCTGACCACCAGAAAACAAGTTGAGGGCCACACTATCTGTGCTCTCGGTGATGCCGCCGCTTGGCCGATTCAAGGTGCGTTTTCCACGTCTTGCTGCTTCGCTGACCACGGTAGGCCTCCTCAAGAATTTTAGACCTGAGGTGGAGCAGCGCATCGCCGAGTACCACGCGAAGAACGGCGGCGTGTTCTTTGGCGGCGAGCTTGAGTCTCAGGGCGACTGGCAGCATGCCATTCCTGACTCTCGGGGCGGCTATGTGACTTCGCAGGCGGACCCTCTCAAGTAAGCGAACAAAAGGCACATGACTTCGCGGAGGATCTGTTGTTGCAGAGTGTACGAGCACGACCGAAATGGCCACAGGTAGTAGATAGAAGCCTTGGTCCCAGCTGAATGAATAGGATTGGATACCTGCTCCGCGCTGGGCCGTGAAGACCCCGGGAGGTGTCTGTGGGTGATCGGGATCAGCACGATTTGATCGGGGGTGCATGTGCACTATGCTCAATGATTCAGTGTCCCGTCTCCAAACTACGGATAAGAATGCACGTTGATTTGTGTTGAGCATTTCATCCAAACTCCCATTGCTTGCATTCTTCACCGTGTAGCGACCTGTGTCTGGAACGCCTGCGCCGTATGCGCGAAACGGTGAATGGCACATGCCCAGATAGAGTGAAAGCAAACTGACCGTCCCCTCGCCGAAACCTATATACCTGCCCTCAGCCCAATCAGCGCGCTATTCACCCAGAGCTACAGGCTCGCTGCCCTTGAGACTTCCTTCGACCTCATCACCAGTGCCGTTCAATCTGTCTGCACATCCGTCAACAGCCCCTTCAGCACCATCGACCCGGCAGACAGTGGCCGTTTCCGAATTTTGTGACAGTTTAGTGCTCTCGGGATCATCTGCTTATCTGCTTGAGGTCCGCGCCACCGAACGAGATAACTGCTTACGGCAGACAATCCGCACATTCGGACCGAAGACGATCCGCATTGTACGTTATGATGGGAACTCGTGGTTGCAGTCGGTGTTGTCTTGGAAGCCGGTTAAGCCAAAGTGGCTTCAACTATGTATGCCCATACACAGTACTGTGAGTTCTCCGCTCGGAGAAGACATCCCATGCATGCAAACACACGCTCGCATGCAACTAGGTTGCGAGACGCTTTGAGGACTGTACTGAGCTACAGTGAGATGCAAGGGCAGTGCTTGATGGAGGAAGATCATGATGCGCGTTGGAGAATCCGAAGTGGACTCACCCAGGACGCTGAAGATGTCGACTGCGACTGCGATCGGCGCATGCGGCAGACTATGGATGCATGAGTGCAGCGAAGCCAGCGTTGCAAGGGTCGCCATGTCGGCAGCGGCACGAGGCGATCGATCGGCGCGAGGCACACGAGGAGGCCAGGTTCATGGGCGGTCCCGGCCTCTCGTGGACCCATCTGGGCGCTGCTGAGGGTATTAGCGCAACACCAGCCGATGCCTTGGTGAGGGCCGTGAGGAAGGTGCTGCAATAGCTGGAGTCAGCCCAGTGTGAACGTCGAGCGGCCCTGGGAGCTTACCGGACCGTCGGACACCGGGACACTCCCTCCTTGTCTCCTTGTCACGTCTTCCTCACCTCTCTTCTTCCAACCGACATCACTTCACGACATGCCCAAGGACACTAAGCCCAAGGCTCACCCCGCGCGGGTTGGTCCTTCCTGGGCAGTCGCCGTACGTTCTGTAAACGCTCCGCGCCTCGCTGACAGCAGCCTCCCTCCTCTTCCTCGCGGCCCCCCGCCTCGCTCATCAACGCGGCCGGCTCCCCGCCTTCCCAGCCGTCCCCGGGTACGGCTCAGCTAGCCCCATCGCCTGCACTCCTCTTGCAACGACTCGCGAACGTTGACCAGACGGTGCTCGCCACTCTTGCGTCCCAGCTCGGCCCCGAATTCTCAGCGGACTCGCTCAAGTCTCTCGCCACCAGCTCCGAAACAAGCCTTCCCTCTCCTCCTCAATCCACCGCTGCAAGCCAGCACCTGCGGTACCCCGACGAGGCTCCCGACGCCCACGCCGACGCCGACCATTCCCATCCTCACTCGTTAGCGACGCAGCATCTCCAGGCGCAGGTCTCCAAGAGTATGCATGCAGGCAACAGGCCGTCATGACACAGCTGACGCCTTAGTTGCCGCCGCGCCAGGAGGTCCTCCAAGCGGGCCGCCGTACGGTATCAACAGATGGATCTCGACGCCGGAGCGCACTCCGCCCAGTATGGAGGACGAAATTGCCGAACTCGTCGTCGCGGACATGCTCCGTGAGCTGGATAACAAGGACCCAAGCACGTACGTTGTCACCGTCCGCTCTGGGAGCGCAGAAGAGGAATTCGCAAAGTGGAAACAACAACCCCGCGTTAGGAGGCGTCTACCGTCGGGCGCGACTTTCATTGACCCCCGATCATTCGTTCTGGACCTGGTTAGCGGGAAGACCGACCATCTAGTTCTCGACGAGGCCATTGCTCTGAGTGTGAACCCGAGCATTATGATGCCCATTGTCGCCAGCGTCGGTCGTCGACCGAACGGTACAGTTACGATCCTCAGGGAGGGCTGCTACCAAGCTGCTACATTGTCAATCATTCAGAACCACTTCCACCAGTGGGTGGTAGCGTCGCTCATGTGGTGTGGTCCGGGCGGACTTCAGCGCAGCGACAGCGACAGGCGCCGTCGCCAGGAGCTCGCCCTCGTCCACGCCCGGTACGATCTGTTGGAAATTGACTTCTCGAACTGCTCCTCGGAGGCACGTCTCGTTCAGCGGTGGCACGCTGCCCTGTTCTGGCGCCGCGCGAACTCCCAGGTGCGCCAGTATGCGCTTGCCCCCGGCCTGAGCGATGTAGGCTGCACCGACGGGTCACGGTGGCCAAAACCCCGGCCCACGCGTAAGTTTGGTCTGTCTATTAGCAGGGTTAATGCTCATCGTTGTCAGTCCGTGGCATGCGTGTCCGACACAACATCCCTGAGGGCGCCGCCGAGGCCACCGGCTCGGGTGACGAACTTCTGGACGACGCTCTCGGTGACGACGACGCTGGCGGCGACAACAACACTGGCGACAACGACGACACTGGCGGCGACGCGCGGCGTCTGCTTGTGCCAGTCGACTGGGTGTACATGCACTCAGTCGGCTGGTGCGAGTTTGACAACTGCCCCGCTACCGAGCCGCAGGAGTGTAAGGTGATGATGGTCAATGGCAAGATTGTCGAAGTGTGCCACCGCTGTGCCGACATAATTCGCAACCCAGAGCGCTACAAGTAAGCTGAAAACAATCATTCATACTTACACAGCATAGCCGCGGCGGCGCGAAAGCGACCGATCAGCCGAACAACTATACCAACTTCAGCGCCAAACTGCGTCCGACCGGACTTTGCGATAATCTCGCCTGCGCGGCCGTTGTTAGTACGATTCGTGAAGCCGTTATGCTGACATCAGAACACCAAGCCGACCGCACTGACGCTTGGTGAGGATGGAAAGAGCCGCTGTTACCAATGTGCCCCGATCTACGCCAAATTCAAGAAAGACCGCCCTCGCGTCGCAGCCCGTCCGTAGTTGTACTCATGTCCTCTCACCGTAGATCAGGATGGATGTTCATAACATTTTCAGGTCGCAGATGACTGTGTTCCGGCCTTGGTGAGGGGCGAACGTGGGGACCTGGAAGGGGACTGGTGCAGGTGGAAGAGCCTGGTCGACTGTTGGCGAGGGCGGAAGAGATGACAGATGGAGGGAGGCGGGATCGCATGAGGTATGGATCGGGAATGTAAGGCGATGAGTGAGAGTCATGCACTGCAAAGTGCCAGGACCACGCGTGCGCCGCATGCACGCGTTCTCCTGGTAAGAAATACCAGTTGCGACTTGCTGACCCAAATTGTGCGAAGTGCGGCCATGTCACAACTGGTGGGTGCTGCCCACCCACATGATCTGGAGTCGATCGATTGATTACGTAATTTTTCGGTATGGACCGATGGCTTCGCCTCTCCTTTTGTCCGAGAGAAATTGCGAGCACCAGGAGGTGGTATTAGTGCACCTATCTCGTCCTACCCAGTTCATTCTCGCTGAGGGGCATTGATGTACAGAAAATGGCTTCATCATCGTACTCACTCATGAGAGCGGGATACATGCAACGAAGAGATGAAGAGATCCCCGAGGCTTTCAGCGCGCGCGTTTCTTTCGTGCGGGCGCGCTGTGACCGTGCGTTCGCTCTGTAACAATCGCTGCCCGTCATGTCTCGCTGTATGTCGCTTTCTATAGCTTTTTAGGGCCTGGATGGCCCTCTGCGGGTGGTTGGCTCGCTCTGGGTCGAGCCGAGGAGTCGACAGGTCCAGGGATTAGTGAGTCGACGTTCCTATGGGCGGCGCCTCACATCGACCTACACTTGAAACCAGAGACATTATGTACAATCAATGCTACATGCGAATCTACCTAATTATGCTGGCGTGCTTACTTGCTATCTACATTGCTTGTTATCTACATTGCTTGCTATCTACATTGCTTGATATCAACTTTAACAGTGGCAGTGATCTCGAAGGGGCGTAGTGCCCTCGCCATGGCTACCGTTCCGGTTCGGCTGGCTGTGAAAGCGAGTCCAGTTACTCGAGCTATTGGTGAGCATTGACTCAAGGGGTCATCCCCATTAGCTAGACGTCGAGCTCATCGTCGAGCTCCACGTCGAGCTCATCGTCGAGCTCCACGTCGAGCTCATCGTCGAGCTCCTCCTCGACTCCTCCTCGAGCTCCTCCTCGGACTCCTCCTCGGACTCGTCCTGGACACAAGACTCCTCCTCAGTCTCGGAGCACTCCTCGAACTCCTTCTCGAGCTCATCCTCGTGCTCTTGCACATGCTCGTCGTCGGACTTGTAGTCGACATGCTCGTCGTAATTGCGGCGTCGAGAAACCACGCGCTTCTTCTTGGGGTGCTTCGTGGTGCTGGGTGTGTCGCCCTTGCGCTTGGCATTAAACTTAGCGCTGTACCCGCGCTGCTTGGCTTGACGTTCTTCGCGCTGGGCGGCCGTCTCAAGCTCGCGCTCCGTTTCTCGGCGCAAGCGGCGCACTGTCAGGTCTCTCGCCTTACCAGCCGCACCTCGATTGGCGGTGGTACGCTCATGGGACGCCCTGCGGCGCGCCTGGGCGTCCTCGAGGGCGACTGCTGCAGCCGAGCCCGTGACCAAGGGGACAAAAACGGGTCCATTGTAGCTCGCTGGCACGCCCTGGGCACGACGTGCTTGGGCGAACGTGACACCGTGATCAATCGCGTGGTGACTGTTGAGCTCGTGCTCCTTCTCGAACCAGAGGAAGTCCTTGTCGATGTTCTTCGGGAGCTGGCGAGCCTTGGGACGGCGGCCGGGTTGATCGGTCAGACGATCGCTCTCCTTGCAACCCAACCTGCATCTCCAAGCGTACCCGGTACGGTGTCCATGGATGTGGGAGTCGAGAAGCCACTGGTACTGAAAATGTGCCCCGCACTCGGGACACACGCCACAGCAACGCGCCTCGTGAGCATTGCGCTGGGTCCAGTTGTCGAAAATTCTGTTGCAGCCGTCGGTGCGACACTGAAACGGACCGAGAGAAGGATGATCGTCCATGATGAGGTTGTCCAAGCGGGCCAGGCGGGGCGGAGTGAGTGCCGATCTACGGGGAAGACGTCCGGCAGTGGCGGAGGCGAGGTGTAGACGGTGTTGAGCGAACGGAGTGAGTCACGGGCCACGGGGAAGAGGCCGTCCGGCAGTGGCGGAGGCGAGGTGTAGACGGTGTTGAGCGAACGGAGTGAGTCACGGGCCACGGGGAAGAGGCCGTCCGACAGTGGCGGGGGCGTGGTGTAGACGGTTGTCGAGCGAACGGAGTAACAGGCGGCTCTCGAGGAAGGCGAAGCTGATAGCAGCGGCGGCGGCGGCGGCGCAGACGCCGTTGAATGTAGAATCGCTGTACGACCGTTAGAATGCTATTCCTGTGCGAGGAAGACGGGAAGCAGGAGAAGAACTCGTTGGGAAAGAGGCGCGCGGGGAAGGGGATGTGGTTAGCCAAGAGGTACGCACTTTGGAAGGTGAAGACGGGGCTCGCCGAAGTCGAGTGACTTGGGCCGGTGGGCAGGGCTGGGAAAGAGTAGATGAGGATAGGTGAGAAGTGAGAGAAGAAGAGGTAGATAGATGGCAACGGGGCAACCTACCCCACCGTCGTCACACTCAAGCGTCCGTCAACATCTGATGCGACGGCCCACCAACGTACCAACGGGCCGCCGTCCAGGATCTTCGTTATCTGCTGTTCCGGCTAGCTCAGCCAGTCGAGGGTACCGAGTACCAGCGCGGACAGAGCCTGCGCCCCGAAGCCTTGCGTAAGTGCTCACGTGCGCGGCAAGTTTAGGATGAGGGGCACAGCGGCACAGGGCACTGAGGTCCTGGCCATTGTCGCTCACAGCGGACCTGGCTCAGACTGGCCGGGCCCAGATCTATGCCGCCCGGGCAGGTTGAAACGCGAGCCTGCGCGATATTCGGAGCTGGTGTTAGACACAATCGAAGCGTCCCAGCTCCTGACCTAACTTTGCATGCAGTGCATTGGATTGCGATCGATGCGTTTAGGCAATGATTGAGCTCGGACGTACCCAACATCAGTCACGGCCGCGCTTCACATACAGTGGGACCAAACCAGGTTGCAGCATCGTCAGGGGCGAGGCAAGACCCACCTCGACACCACTCATTGTGTCCCAGCCGTATAGCCTCCCCCCCTCCCGTGCATCAATGTCTCGGTAAACGCTGAGGATGTGAAGGTGTGCCACCGTAACAGAACATGTAGCAATGCGGCTTGCATGCCTCGCCACAGGCGAGAGCCTCCTGGTGGGGCCTCATATCGTCATCAACGTTTCAGGCACCCACATCTGCCGGCGGTAATGGCAGCATTCCCCACGGGGTCAGTGTCCTGTCGTGAAGCGGTCGGTATTGGTACAAAAGCAGCGGACGAGACATAGGGATTGGAGTCCACCCTAGGTCTAGCCTTCCCAGCACGACCGATGAAAATCCCTTGTGGTCTGTGCGCGACGTGTGAAAGCGCTAACCTGAATGAACGTCGTGCGGCTTGGTTGTCGTACTGCGACAGGCAGCTTTGCGCTGAAGTACGCGTAGTGAGGTTGAGTTGACCGTCGTCCTCGGACCTGCTGGCGGAGTCCATGAGACCATCCCTTCTAATCTCCAGTTGAGAAGCCAAACGGGATGAGCGACTGTCTCGTCTGAAACAAGTGTCCAGCTACCTCGGCAGCTCTCAACTATCCCCCTGTTGTCGCGGCCGACACGCATTAACAACAGGCGTTGATGATGGGAACAGGCGTTGACGATGCCTCGACCATGACTTGAGAACGGCGCCATTGAGTACGCGCCTGTCGTAATCGGCACCTACTTCCGCCAACACCTGCCTGCGTAGCGTGCAAGAGGACCTTCTATGCAACTTGACTCAAAACATCTAGAGGATGATTTCTTATAGTCAACCATCAGCGTAAGTCAACAACCTCCGCGAATGGATGTGGAGGAAAGGCCGTAAACAGAACTGACTCCAGGAATTGAGTCCGCTTCCAAGTCAACTGCCTCCCTTCCCCGACACCTGCACGCAAGCTGAGATGCACCCATCCTTCGTAACGTTCGGAACGGAAACGGATGCTCCCCACCCTCTGTACAACGGGGGGAAAGCGGCGGCGGTTAGTCAAAGTCTACCACCGATTGACAGAATGTGAAGGTGAGCAACAGTGTCGCCGCAGTCGACGCTCTCGTGAGACGCCCACGACAGTGTCGTCGATGTGTTCGGCCTCGCCCTCGCATTCGCTCTCTCTTTGAGCCGAGAAGCTCCGGTTATGGGACAAAGGACAACGGTCAACTTGTGTGCAATGCAGGTCGGTTTTCTGTACGAGTCAAATTGGTCATTGTTCATTAGCTACGATCTCTATTGAATGACTATGGGTGGGATACTTCTGACTACTTTTGCTGACTACAGACCCCACCTGAGGGCAAGGGAGGAGAGGATGACAGAGACCGAGCTCGCGGCCATAAGGATGGCGCTCCAGACAGGGCTGAGACGGATGCCGGCGGGATAGAGGATGCCAGCAGCAATGGGGAGACAGACGACGTTGAACACCATGGCCCAGCAGAGGTTGATCCACTGCCTGTTGACGACCTTGCGGCTGAGTTTGAGGAGATCGGGAATGGACGCCAGGTCGGAGGAGAGAAGGACGAAGTCGGCACTGGCGAGGGTGCTCTGCGATCCATGGCCCATTGCCACCGAGCACGCCGCGGTCGACAGCGCAATCGAGTCGTTGATACCGTCGCCAACGAAGAGGACGCGATTCGGCACATCCTTGGTTCCCCGCCATGTCTTCCTCGGCACCGACTCGGCCTGCAGCTTGCCAATTACGTCCGCCTTGTCCTGCGGCCCGAGACCGGCGTGCACGTCCTCGGGCTTGAGGCCGAGTTCCTTACCGATTGCGTTGGCTGTGCGCTCGTTGTCACCGGTGAGCATGACGACGCGGAAGCCGCGCTTCTGCAGCTGCGCCAGGATCGGGGCGGTGCTCGGGCGAAGCGGGTCGGAGAGGCCGTACGCAGCGGCAAGAGCCCAGGGCGCCTCACCGCGGCGCGCAGCGACGAGGACAACCGAGCGGGCGGCCGCACCCCAGTCCTCCAGCATCGGCGTGACATCGGCCAGGTCGACGTCGTGGTCCGCCATCAGCTTGTCGTTACCGATTGCGAGCTCGAGCCCAGTGCCAGTTTTGGCGGTCAGACCGCGGCCGGCAATCTCCTCGGACGACGCGATCTCGACGCTTCCCTCGAGGGAAGACAGGTGCTCGGTGAGTCCGACGGCGAGGGGGTGCGTGCTGGTCGCTTCGAGCGCGCGCGTGGCGAGGGGCACCTCCTTGTCCTCGGCGAGGAGCAGTTCAGCGACAACGGCCGGTTTGCCCTGCGTCAGGGTGCCGGTCTTGTCGAGGGCGACGGTCGTAACCTTGGTGATGCCCGTGAACGCCTCCCCGCCTCCAGCAAGAATACCAACCTTGGCTGCAAGACCCGTACCGACTGCGTTGGCGCAGGGAACCGCAAGTCCGATACCGCAGGGACAGGCGACGACAAGAACAGCGACGCAGAACTCGATCGCGAAGAAGGCCCGTCCAGCCTGGTTGTGCGGGTCAACCACGCCGCCGTACGTGAGTCCGAGCCAGAGCGCGAGAACGAAGATGGAGAAGTAACAGATGACAGGGACAAAGACGCCGGTGAGCGTCTCGGCCGCCTTCTCGAGGGGTGCTTTCGACGCACGGCTCACGGCCGCGATGATTCGGTCCAGCATCGTGTCGCCACCGAGACCGGTGACGGAGATCTGCACGGCTGAGCTCAGGTTTGTCGTGCCCGTGTACACCTCATCGCCCTCTGCCTTGGCCACCGGGACAGCCTCGCCGGTCAGACTCGACTCGTCAAAGGAGCTCGTGCCGTGGACGACGACGCCGTCGGCGGGCGGGAGCGCGCCGGGGTGAACCAGCAGAATGTCGCCGCGCTCGACCAGGTCGACGGGGATCTCGCGCGCCTCGGCCTTTTCGTCCTCGACCAGCCAAGCAGTCGCCGGCCTCAACGCACCAAGGAGCGCCACCGCATCCGTCGTTTTGGCCTTGGCGTACGCCTCGAGTGTGCGTCCAAGCAGAATAAACATGATGACGAACACCGACGCGTCAAAGTACGACCCGATGCTCATGCGGCCGGGGTGCCGAACGTCGATGGCGAGCATGGCCACGCTGGCAAAGTAGCTCACCGTCGTGCTGAGCGCGACGAGGAGGTCCATGCTTCCAAAGCTGACCATGCTGCGCCACGTCCAGGGCCGGGGCGAGGAGCAGAGGTGGAACTTGGCCAGCAGGGAGCGCACATGCGGCGCGAGGCCATGGTATGCGCGCACATAGAAGAAGCGGCCGATACCAAACTGTACCACCGTGGCGAGCGCCCATAGCACGATTGTGCCCCGGTTCGCGCCTCCCCACACTGCCGTGTCCCAGAAACGCCGGAAGGGATGGTCCATCTTGAGCATGACCATGGAGACAATGGCGATGATGAAGGTCGGGATGGCGAGGATGACGGCGGCAACGAGGTGCGCTGCGAGCACCTTGACCTCTCTCCGCTGGATCGCCTGGCTGCGCTCACTGACCGAGGCGGGACGGACGACCTCGGCGTCAAACTCGGGCGCGACGCCGGCGAGCCCGCGCACGAGCTCGCGCACAGTGTAGGGCTCGCGGGGGGTGTAGGTGATGGTCGTCTGGGGGTTCTTCATCGTGAAGGCAGTGTAGCGCACATCCTTGAGCGTCGCGAGGTGCGCGTTCAGCTGCGTGATGCAGTTTCCGCAAAACACGCCATCGACACGGATCGTGACGGAGCGCTCGCCGTCCTCTGCGTCCTGGGTGCGCACGACCTCGGCGCCGAAGCCAATGTCCTCGATGAGTTCCTTGATTGACACGTCGGAGAGGCTCGCGCGGTGCGTCACGGTGCCCTGCGAGTTGAGCAGGTTGATGTCGACCTTTTCGATGCCGTCGACGTCTTTCAGCCCCGCTTCAATGCTGGACGTGCACGACGCGCAGGTCATGCCCTCGATCGAGTAGGTGGTCGTGACGAGCTTGTCTCCGCCAGCTGGCGCCTCGGGGACGCTCTCGATGACCTTGGCGCCATAGCCCAGTTCCTCGACGAGATCGACGAGCTCGTCGCCTGTAATCCCCGCTTTATGAGTGATCACACCGGACGAGGTGAGTACGCTAATGTTGCCGTCAAGAACGAGGGGGTTTGCCTCGAGCGCACTCGCGATGCCGGCGCTGCAACTGCCGCACGTCATGCCCTCGATCGACAGTGTCGTTTTCAGTGTGCCCGCGTCCTTCTTTTCGCTGACACCGAGGGCTTCCGCGCGGCACTGCTCGCAGTGCTCGAGGTGCTGTCGCCGCCGGGCCTCTTCGCGCTTCTCGGCGCGCACTTCACGCCGCTTCCCCACCAGCCGGCCCAGGAACCCGGTCGGGAGCTCGTCGCTCTCTGGCTCCTCTGGCTCATCTGGCGTCGCGACGCTGAAGCCCTCGGTGCGCAGGATGCGCTTGACGTGCTCGATGACGGAGGCTGAGCGCTTCGAGTCGACGTTGAAGGTTATCCGGTGGAGGAGGAGGGAGACGGTGAGGTTGTGCACGGAGGGGACATTGGTGAGGGCGGCGCGGATGGTGTCGATGCACGACGGGCAGTGCATGTTGTTGACGAGCAGGGATGCCGTCAGGAGATGTGTTGGGATGTCGGCCATCTTTGTGAGTGTGTGAGGGAGGGATGTGGATGAGGATGCATGTTGAGGCTGGCCATCTTATAGATGGCGAAGAGTGGATGAGGGCTTTTCGCGATGGATGACAAGATGGAAATACGATGCGGGGCCCTGAGTTGAGCGGATGTGAGGCTTGGCAGGCGGGTGGGTGGGTGATCACACGAGACTCACCCAGGGCTGGTGGGTGGCAAAGTGTCCCGTGTCCCGCCCGGTGACTGGAATAAACTCGCCGATAGCTCGGGCCGCGATAATCTCGCAGATGACTCATGCCTCCACCGCCAATCCACCGCAACTCGTGCTCCACTTTGGTGTCCCATCGCCTCACTATCGCCCCTTATCTGGGATGGTTGCCGATGTCACAGCACGGCGCCACAGCGATATCCACGCGATAGTCTAGTCTCTCAGCACAAGCTCCTCATGATGACTAACAGATCACGCGCTCACTGAGGCATTAGCGCTAACCCGCGACGTAGCGCAGCGCAGCTCGGACCCGAGCCCTAAGCCCGTCGCCACCGCTCCGATGTCCGCTTCCATTCCATCAGCCCATCGATCCAGTCTCAGTTGCCCACTACCCCGTGCTCCAAAGCGATAAGCGCCATGAGGCTGCTCACACACGCACCGCGATCCAGATCACTGCGCCCATCCGCGCGTGCCGTCCGGCATACCTCGACCGCCGCGCTCAACTCCGACACAGTCCTGCTGCGCCTGCCCGACCGCCATATCGCGTATTCGATCTTCACTCCGGCGCGTCCAGTCGCAACGCTCTTCTTCCTGCACGGCTACCCCTCTTCGCGTCTCGAGGCGGCTGGACTCGCCCCACTGGCCCTTGAGAGGGGTCTGAGGCTCGTGTCCCCCGACCGGCCCGGATTCGGCCAGTCCAGCTTCCATCCCTACACCATCAACAACTACACGCGCGACGTGCTCGCGGTCGCGGACGCAGTGGGCGCGGAGAACTTCTCGGTCCTGGGCGCGAGTGGCGGGGGGCCATTCGCCCTCGCCTTAGCGCGCGAGCGACGCGTGGATAAGGTAGGGCTGCTAGCGACCGCGCCGCCGTGGGACGGACCGGTCAACGACTCCTCGAGCGTGCGGCGCGTGGCGGCTCTCCTGGCGCAAACGCCCCTGTTCGCGCCGCTCGCTGCGGCGTCCCTCGCCAGCGCACGGTGGGCAGTGACGCGCCCATGGGCGCAGAGACGGATCGACGCGTGGATCGCGTCCATGTCCCCCGATACGCAGCTGGACTCAGAGTTGGCCACGGCGCAGCGCGACGCCGTGCTCCGCACGCTGCTCGAGCCGTTCGCGCATGGTGTGCAGGGATTGACGCACGAGACGCGTCTCCTCACCCAGCCTTGGGGCATAGACTATGAGGAAGTGGAGAGGGAGGTGCGGTTCTGGCATGCCGCTGGCGATAAGGCCGCGCCGATATCCATGGTGCGGCCTATGGTTGGGCGGATGCCCTGCGCGCAGCTCACGGCGTTCGAGGGCGGACACGGGGACGTCGCGACGATATTGCCTGAGGTGCTGGATTACTTCCTGCCGCAGAGCGCGCAGAGCGCGCAGAGCGGGGACGCGGGCAAGGTGTAGCGCGCACGTGCACCAGCCTGCGCTCAGCGTGCAATTCGCAGGCAATCGCGTACACAGGCTGGAGCATGGAGCATGCCATGACCCAGCGGATCGGCGTGATGGCAGCGTGCAATGCGCGTGGCCGAACCCGCGGGGCGAAAATAACGCGCGACATTGGGATTCGGGGCTTGACCAGCACCCTCCTCCGAGTGTACGGCGGCGCGTAGTCCTGGGTTCTCGTCGTGGAGACGGTTGGGAAAGTTGTAACGAAAGTTGAATAGTCACGCCCCCTTAGGGTGGATGTAACGGTGATCGCCGTGACGTGAGCCGCCCTGCTCTTCTACACGCTGCAGACGCTGCGGTGGTCCCGCAGACACGGACGTGACGCTGGCATGACAGCAGGAGTAGGGAGCAAACATGCATAAGCAATGTGAGGAGATGGGACGGGCGTACCACTCCCCTGGACCTGCGAAGGACCTGCGGGCTGCTCCTGGCCCTGGACCGAGGATGCTCCGGGTGCGTTTCGTGCGTTTCGCGCTTGTGCACGCGCACGCACGCGTAATGTGTGTGCGTTGTGGTGCTGACGTTAATCGCGTGCTCGTGTGTGCGCGTGTGCGCGTGTGCTGAGCACGTTGCTACTGATCAGGCGAGGAAAGGTTGAGCAAGGACACGAGCTCGACGCGTCCAGAGGCATGCCGCCGACGCGCCGACGCGCCGTCCACATACGGAGGATAGCTGCGAGGTACACCGGCCACTGGATGCCGGCTGCATACTCGTCTTTGCAGCTGCTGTGCAAACCGTGCGGAATGAACGAGTAGCACAGCACAGCTACGCGGGCAACGATGGCCAGCTGGTGCCCGTTCAGCCGTCCATCCGGCCGACCTTCAAGTCCACCTAGTCCCCAGTTGCTGACCCATTACGTTTCCATTACACCTAGCGCTGATCCAAAGGCAGGCTACAGCGTAACTGCAACAAATGGCGCGCCTCCAGTACAATACACTGTACCCTTTCCGGCCGTCTAGACCCAGACTCTTGCGCATTCCGTTCTCTGCGCAGCGGCCACTGCACCGCGGGCTATCACTCCCCATGCATGCCACATGCCACGGACGCGACCGAACTGGCCGGCGTCGGACTTGTATCGGCCATCGGGCGTAGGGCGTGGTGGGAGCCGAATAGCGAACAGCCGTGGCGTCTTTGCTGAGCGCGGGCCGAAACAATTGTATAGCAGCCCAGTATAGTGACAATTTAGCATGCTGCTTTTCTGGGTTGCTCTGTTGGCTCACCTTAGTGTGGGCTATCCTCGGCCATGCCAAGTCGTCCGTTCCGTCATCGCCCAGTGCTCGGCGCCCAACAACTCAGTGTCCAGCGTCCAGCGCTCAGCGCCGCAGAACAGTGGAGCGCAGTGCCTCCCAGTGCTTCCCAGTGCTTCCCAGTGCAGTGGTGGGTCCGCACCGCCATCTCCACGACCATGGTCTCCATTCCAGCCGTGACGTTTCAATCCTTCTGTGCATTCTGTGACCCCGAGCAGACCATTAAGTATGGCGCATTCCGAGTCACACTGGAAATGGAGAATGACGCTCGGTCGCCGCGGAGAGTCCAATTGAGCACAGGTGTCGGAAAAGCAAGAAAGCAGTCGCGTTGAGGGTTGGTGTTTGGCCGGCTCGCTCTACGCCCGACCGCCTCGCTAGGCCTGTGCTTGCGCCCTCGGTCTGGAAACAAGTCTGAACGTCCATGTACTGTGCTGGCTGAAGCAAAGGGGCGTAGGTCTGGAAAGGAAGTGCGTACATGACCGTCCTTTGCCAGCCTTCATGTCAACCCTGTATTTGACATGTTCCGCCGAGTCTTGGGCCACTTGGGTTCGTTTCGTTGCTTCGGTTGAAGTTGGGATCTGGACCTGTCTGTCGTCGTTATGCTGAACCGTAGCTCGGTTGATGAGTTGTCCTGGGGCGTGTTGCGACGTGTTGCGACTTGTTGCGGCTTGTTGCGGCGGGGCGGCGTACGAAGTGGAAAGCAAGCGTATGCATGTTTACGGCCCGAGGTTGTTACTCCGTGTGTTTGTTTACAGAGAACTCTGTTTTTCTCAAGCATGCGTCGGCCAAGCCGCAGTACGCACCCGGCTCCACATCTTACCGAGGCGTACAACAGGCTCTGGTCTCGCTCCAGAGGATGTTCCAGTACCGCTAAGCATAGTCCGCAATGATGGACCAGTGTACCCGCTGGCCCCGCCGATTCATGACACATATGCACTGATCCGACCATTCATTGCCGCGTAAGTGGTCGTAAACACATGAGGGGAGTACGAAGGCGACGATCGCGCGGGAAGCCTGGGCGGTAATCGAGCAAGTGTCTCACGGAGGCAAGCTGGAGGCTGCAGGGAAGGCACATAGCATGCTGTAATCTCATAATCGACTGGGCCGAGTCTGGCCGAGATGCGCAGGTGCGGCAACTGCGGCAGAAGTGTGAAGTGTGGGCTCGCACACCTGTTTCCTGTATTGTGGGTGTGGGTGCCGTACGTGCCGTTGTTGGCTGTATTGCATCAGAGACGCGGAAACGTCAGCCGGCCGTAAGCAACACAAAAGCATTAGTCTAGGTTCCAGGATTGTGCTCTGCCAGGTAGGTAGACTGTGCAGACTGTGCGTTCACATTGGAGCCATGGAGCTGGAAGGTCTCCCGTCCCCGACCTCCCCTCGGCGCCGCCGGCGCGCCAGCTGGCGCCGTGATGATGCTTGAAGGCTGGCACATGTGCCGAAATCCTGGTACGGTCCTGAGCCCCGATCCTGGCACACGACAGCACAACTGTGCACTGGGCGCCGCACACTGTGCTCTGCAACTGCTGCAGCAGCAATGGCGCGCAGGGCGCCGAGGCTGCCCGAACGTCTCCAGGACATCAGGACAGGCGTACGCCTAAACCCACAGCCGTTGCTGCGATGCATCCTCTATTTTCGACAGCAAGCAGATAAGGACATGATATCATGTACCTGCAACGACAAGAGGGGCTGGCTGGCTGGCTTTGCTGCCTGCAGGGTCGTTGACATGACGGCTACATGAGGGATTTGGGCATATGGGCATCTGAGGGGCTGGTGAGGGGTGTGGTGCAATGAAAATCAATCGCGAAGTCATGTGTCGTGCGACTTTGTCTTTGGGTGGTTGCCAGGGGGACGGTCGCGTATGGGTGTCGCGTGTAGCGTGTCTTGACTGTGTGTGCGGGTGTGCAGAGTGGAAGGAGGGCTCAGGAGGAGAGGCGCAGGGGTCGAGTGCGAGCTGGCAGAGCGTGATTATTACGTTAGCTGCAAGTGGCGGCTGCACTGCAAGGCATGAGAGCAGAGGGATGCCAGACAGTGCGCGGAGGCAGATTCGGCGGGGTGAGTGAAAAGGCCTGAAACCAACTGGCAGTTTAGGGTTGCAACGCCAGACAAGCTCGCACACGCTCGCACGCCTTGGGCCCTCTGCCTGCAGCCAGGAACGCCGGGACGAGACGAGAATGGTGCGAGGGCAGGCAGGACGGGGAAGGGGCGCTAGACTCGACGCGTCCGGCTGGCGCCAGGGTCCCCGCGGTCCTAATGAGGACACTGCACAAGCCATCTGTGCGCCCTTCTGCTGCCTACACGCGTGTCTGGCAGTCACTCAACCCTCCCCCCTCGCGACCCTGAGACTGTCGCTGTGCCCGGGTTGAACCCATGCTAGCCATGCTTCCGCCAAAGAAATGCATCGCGCTCTCCTGGGTGGGACCGTACACCCCCCTACGATAGGCTTACGACACTTTGCCTTACTCTCATCACTCCTTCTCCTCCTTACGCTTCTAGCTCTACCAGCAGGCTGCTCTCGCTGCTGTGTCTCTCTCAGACCAGAAACAGCACGACAAGCCCACTACTCTCCCCAAACGTAGTAGTCGTTACCTTCCACTCTCTTTACGAACACTTTCTCTTTCGCCCATATCCTCAACCACCCCCGTTTGCTGGCCAGACGGTGAGGCTCAAATCGACTCCCAACCCCCACCCACCAGCACAGGTATACCTCCTACGCTCGCCGTCACTCTCCGACGTTACATCCCCCATCGCCCCTCGCCATCCTACTCGGCACACACGCACCCGTAGGACACACCTACACACCGTTACTTACACACGCACACCCGTTTTAATCAGCCTACGAACCAGCCCTCGCCGCCAGCTGCGTCTGCCGTCCATCGTTCGACCCGCAACACAACCTGCACGCCTTAGACGTTTCTTGTGTTGCTCCGTCTACTCTCCTCTTTGCCCAACTTCTCTTCGTTCGCTTTTACTCCTACCTTTCTTATTCGTTGCCGCCAGTCTAGGCCACCCCCAGCCAACCTCGTCTCATAGCCTTCCGCCCTCGACAAAGAGTTGGCGCCTACCCTCCCGAAGAACAAGATCGCTCAACCCGGTTCCTTCATCCGCAGCCCTCGGCGCTTCTGACCTGAACCGACTTGCGCTTCGCGGTAAGCCACCACCCCCTTGTTGCGCCCCGACGATTCCAAAAGTCCATGACAAAGCACGCGTGTCTTGAACGACGACCGTAAGTGCCGGCTTTTTCTTTCGACCCGTTTTCAAGATATCGAGGAGACTCTTGTCCTTTTGTTAGTCTTTCACCTTGTGAGTGTCAATTCAGTGATGAGCAAGCGAGTGATGAAGGAAGAAGGAAGTGATGAATAGGGGAACGGGCCCGACGATGAACAAGGACGCGCGCCTCACTGCCCGGCGTCCTGGCTGTGCCGTGCCAAGTTTGGGTGGGGTCTGTGCATCTGATACAACCTCCTTGTTGCACGAACCCCCTCGGCGTCTTCCCCCGGCGTCGCGACGTCGCTCGCGCGCACGCAGCCAACCCGCTTTTGTGTACAGTCACTCGACAAGCCTTCGTCAGGTCATGTCGGACTGTCATTGGAGCCTACGACGACGCTTGGGGCGCCGAGAAAGAAGCACGGAGCCTCTGACATTGCGTCGCTCCTTCAAAGGCTGGAACACTTTCCTTGCGAGAACCAAGCTCGCGCGAGGGCGAAGCTGCACGTTCAGCGCAGTTATATCTGCACCAAACTCACCGTTCCGCTTTGTTCTCCCCTTCTCTATTTCCCGTTCTCCTCCTTCTCCGCCTTCCCCTCACAGTCACCCCCTGTTCCCGCCACTCCACTACTTGTCATACCCATAACATCATCCCCCATGAGAACTCTCAGACTAACGACACCCTTAGCATAAAGACGACAAAGAGACATCCCCTCTTTTTCTACCTTCAAGAAGACCGACACTTCCCTTCAATCGGTTTGCCGCTGTCTGCGACAACGGACTCGTACCTACACCAAGTCTACCACCTAGCGTTTCAACAAGGTTCTGGTAACCTCGCCTCGACGGCAACATCAAAAACAGCACTTTCATCAACGAGCCGGCCTCGTCACCTCTTTACCTCTTTAAAGCCCGATCACCTTTTGCCTCTCTCAGCCCTCTTCTTCGCCATCCGCAAAAGAACGATAACCATGGCCGCCGTTTACATGCCTCACTCGCACATGGATCAGGTTCACGTCGCACCGCGTGACCATCATAACCAGATGTGCTCGTCGGTCGCGTACTCTGTTGCCGAAGCCGCGCTGGAGCCCAGCCCCACGTCGCCGTCGTACAACCAGCGCCCCGCGCTGCCGACGATGCGCGGAAGCGCTCCCCTCCGTGACGTGCTTGTCGATCACAATATGTCTCACAACACGCTGGCCAGCGGCTGGCACCAGCCCCAAAAGGAGCGTCGCGCCTCCAGTTTCGGTGGCGACCGCAGTCGCCCTCTGTGGGAGGTCGTGGAGCACGCGCGCGAACGCCGTGAGCGCCAGCAGACCATGCCTGAGCTTCCCGTTCGCTCGTCCACGACCCCGCCCGTCCTCCGTCGCATCCTGTCCCAGCAGAACGTCCTGGCCGACCCCGAGTTCATCCAGGAGCTCATGTTGACGACTCGCTCCGCTGACCCTTCCCCGACCGAGTCCGCGTTTCTGCTGCAGGACACCAACAACAACCTTCCCCGCCTCTCGGCTCGCGACTTTGCCATGAACGCGGAGAAGACTGCGGCCACGACGGCGCACACCCGCACGCAGTCTGACATTCATCAGACCCCTTCCCAAGTCCTTCGCTCGCAGGCTTCTGCTCGCTTCCGCCCGCGCCTCCCGAGTCTGGCCCAGATTCACGCAAAGGTGTCTCGCGATCAGCTTCGAAGTGATTCGCTCGATTCGCAAGACTCCGAGGGACCGTCGACCCCTACCGAGGAAGCCGGCGGTTTCGACATCTATCACCGCCAGCCCTGCACGCCCCCCAGCCCCTTGCGTGATTCCCGACTCGCGCCCTTCCTCCGCGAGCGCACCCACGGGCGCCTGAACGGACGCCCCAAGTCGGTGCCTACGATGAGCAGCGATCTGATGGAGGAGCTTGATGAGCAAATCCAGACGCCCCCGATGTTCACTACCCCTCCCCGCCTCAACACCACCAACCTGTCGCGTCGTCTGGCCGCGGCTGCGTTGCGTCGCGGAAGCGACGTGCAGCTCGTCGTCACGCCGCCCAAGGCTATGAAGACGGACACGCCTTGTTCGCCGACGGAGAGTGTGCTCTCGACCGCCTCGTCTGTGCCGTTGCTTCCGATCATCACGTGCACTCCTGCCGCCGAGCCCGACTCGGACGAGGAGTCTGAGGGCGATGTCATTGTGTTCAACGGCGAGGTCGAGGCTATCGAGGACGAGGAGGAGGAGGAGCGCAAGGAGCGTGAGATGCGAGGAAGGGAGATGCTTAGCCGCTTGCTCCGCCGCAAGCCTTAATCTAATGGACAATCGGAGGATACGGTATCCGACAAGACAGCACTGAGAACATCACCACCCCCACACCCCACCACCATCCCCCCCCACACACAATCAACATCCAACACCACGCCACTACCAAATGTCCATATGTACATCACCAAACCACGCTTGAACTCAATCAGCTCCCGTCACCGGACAATTTTACCTTCTTAACCGACAATTATTTTTGTTCGTTCAAGTCAACCCCCCATTTCCTTTCATACCAGATCCATACCGAGTAGAACGTTGGGCCTTATGCAGATGCAAAAAAGTAGTCTGAGCAGTGGTGTGTGGCACAGATGGAAGCAGCTTCTAGCAGGTCGCGGAACTGATTGGATGGGTTAGTAATCTTATCCCGGCCACACTCCTGAATATGAGATTTGGTGGTCACGTGATAGTCGTTCTCGGCTCGGCCGTGGTCGGTCCTTGCATCTTGCGCCGTACCGAGACCGACGAGTCAGAGGTGGAGGACCCAGGAAGGAGCGTAATGGGAGCAACGCTTGCTCAGCATTGCAGCCTTTCTCCATTCAACTATTCCTGGTTTCGTCTCGACTGTAACTGCCTAGACTTCATCTCATCGTTGTGTTCGCATTCCGGTACTCTACACGCTCGCATTTCATACGACAAGCATCGATTTCGACCCACACACGACAGGCCATGTTGCCTTTCCGCACAGCCGCTCGGACATCCGTCCACAGGCGCGCCGCCAGCTCGGTGTCGTCCCCGCTGCGCGCCACCCTCTCCACTCCGGTTGCTGGACCCTCAAGGACAGCGAGGGAGTACATTGCTCGCCACCAGCGCTCCTCCGTCGTTTCCCGATCCCTGCACACGACTCCGGTATGGGCCAAGGACAACAAGCGCTGGGTCAACTCCACGCTGAAGGAAGGCGAGGAGGAGCCCAAGGACGACAAGGAAGGCAAGGAGGTCAAGGAGGACGAGGCCAAAAAGGAGGTTGAGGAGGTCGTCGAGGAAGTGAAGGAGTCGGAGAAACGCGGGGACGAGTCCACGGCCAAGTCCACCACCGCCGCTCCAACTGACTCATCCTCGAAGGACGCCGCCTCCGGCTCTTCCGGATCGTCCTCTGGACCTTCCTCGCCCGGTCCCAAGGGCAAGGAGATTGCCAAGCCCTCCATCCCCGAAAGCTACCCCCAGGTCCTCGCCCTCCCCATCACCCGCCGTCCCCTCTTCCCCGGCTTCTACAAGGCCGTCACCATCACCTCCCCGCCCGTGATCAAGGCTATCCGCGAGCTGATCGCGCACGGCCAGCCGTACATCGGAGCCTTCCTGCTGAAGGACTCCGAGTCCGACTCGGACGTCATCACCGACCTCGACCAGGTGCACCCTGTCGGAGTTTTCGCCCAGATCACCAGCGTCTTCTCGTCGGCCGACCAGAAGCACCAGCAGCCCGCCGAGGGCGAGGAGGGCGAGCCCCGACCCGAGACCCTCACTGCTGTCCTGTACCCCCACCGCCGCATTCGCATCGATGAGCTTGTGTCGCCCATGACCGATCAGCCTCCCGCGCCGGAGCCTGCCGTCGCCCCCGAGACCGCCACCGAGACTGCCGCCGAGGAGAAGAAGGACGAGCCCTCCGCCGCCGAGACGATCGAGCCCTCAAAGTCCGAGGACGACGTCGCCAGCTTTGAGAAGGAGATTCCGTCTGTGGAGGAGACTCGCGAGGCTCTCGCCGACGCCAAGGAGACCAAGGAGACCAAGGAGGACGAGACCGAGACCGTGGAGGCTGAGAAGCCTTCCGGCTCTCAGATTGGATTCCTCCACCCTCTCCTTCCCGAGATTTCGCTCACCAACGTCTCGAATCTCAACCTTCAGCCCTTTAAGAAGGACTCGCAGGTTGTCCGCGCCATCATGGGCGAGATCCTCGCCGTGTTCAAGGAGATCGCCCAGCTGCAGCCCATCTTTAGGGAGCAAAGTGAGTTACTGAGGACGTCGCACGCTAACTCTCAGTCGCCTCGTTCACCATGTCCAACTCGGCCGCCAACGTCTTTGACGAGCCCGACAAGCTTGCCGACTTTGCTGCGGCCGTGTCGACTGGCGACGTCGAGGATCTCCAGGCCGTCTTGGAGTCGCTCTCGCTCGAGGACCGCCTGCAGAAGGCCCTGCTGATCCTCAAGAAGGAGCTCATCAACGCCCAGCTTCAGAGCAAGATCTCGCGCGACGTCGAGAGCAAGATTCAGAAGCGCCAGCGCGAGTACTACCTCATGGAGCAGCTCAAGGGTATCAAGAAGGAGCTTGGCATGGAGAGCGACGGCAAGGACAAGCTCGTTGAGCGCTTCAAGGAGAAGGCCGGCAAGCTCGCCATGCCCGACGGCGTCAAGAAGGTCTTTGACGAGGAGCTGAACAAGCTCATGCACCTGGAGCCTGCGGCGAGCGAGTTCAACGTCACACGCAACTACCTCGACTGGCTGACGGCGATTCCCTGGGGTGTCCACTCGCCCGAAAACTTTAACATCGCACACGCGTCCAAGGTCCTGGACGAGGACCACTACGGACTTAAGGACGTTAAGGACCGGATTCTCGAGTTCCTGGCTGTCGGCAAGCTCCGTGGCACGGTCGAGGGCAAGATCATCTGCCTCGCAGGTCCTCCCGGAGTCGGTAAGACTTCCATCGGAAAGTCGATCGCCCGTGCGCTTGGCCGCCAGTTCTTCCGCTTCTCGGTCGGAGGTCTCACCGACGTCGCCGAGATCAAGGGTCATCGCCGTACCTACATTGGTGCCATGCCCGGAAAACCCATTCAGGCCCTGAAGAAGGTCGCCGTCGAGAACCCGCTCATCCTCATCGACGAGGTCGACAAGATTGGACGTGGCCACAACGGTGACCCGGCCAGTGCGCTGCTCGAGATGCTCGACCCTGAGCAGAACAAGTCGTTCCTCGACCACTATATGGACGTTCCTGTCGATCTGTCCCGTGTCTTATTCGTGTGCACGGCCAACGTGCTCGACACGATCCCCGCGCCGCTGCTCGACCGCATGGAGGTGCTCGAGGTCAACGGCTACGTCGCCGCCGAGAAGATGAACATTGCCGAGAAGTACCTCTCGCCGCAGGCCAAGGAGGCTTCCGGTTTGAAGGACGTTGACATTGAGCTTGACCCCGAGGCGATCGAGTCGCTGATCAGGTGGTACTGCCGCGAGTCGGGAGTGCGTAACCTGAAGAAGCACATTGACAAGATCTACCGCAAGGCAGCGTTCAAGATTGTCGACGACCTTGGCGAGACTGCTCTCCCCGAGCCGGATGCCAAGGAGACGGCCAACTCGGTTGAGACACAGGAGGCGGATGTCAAGCCCGCGTCCGAGCGCCTGCCTGGTGACGAGCACGGAACCGAGCCGGACCGTGTCAACGTTACGACCGCCGTTCGCGAGCCCCTCAAGATTCCGGACAGCGTTCAGATCCGCGTCAACAAGGAGAACCTGAAGGACTACGTCGGTCCGCCCGTCTACCACAAGGACAGGCTGTACTCGAAGACGCCGCCCATCGGTGTCTCCACTGGTCTTGGCTACCTTGGCAACGGCTCGGGAAGCGTCATGCCGATCGAGGTCACGTCGATGCCGGGTAAGGGTGCGCTTCAGCTGACCGGCAAGCTTGGCGAGGTCATTCGGGAAAGTGCGCAGATTGCGCTGTCGTGGGTCAAGGCGAACGCGTTCCTGCTCGGCATCACCAAGTCGGAGGCGGACCTGACGATGAACGACCGCGACATCCACCTGCACATGCCCGAGGGCGCGATCGGCAAGGAGGGGCCGTCGGCGGGCACTGCGATTCTGACGGCGTTCGTGTCTCTGTTCACCAGGACACCAGTGGACCCGGACATTGCGATGACGGGCGAGGTCACGCTGAACGGCAAGGTGCTCCCCGTCGGCGGGCTGAAGGAGAAGATCCTCGCCGCGCACCGATCAGGTATCAAGAAGCTTCTGCTCCCGATAGCGTGCAAGTCTGACGTGGACGAGAATGTGCCCAAGAGCGTCAAGGACGGCATCGAGTTTGTCTTTGTCGACGATGTCACGCAGGTGTTACACGAGGTGTTCCACAACTCGAAGATTGAGCAGGACAGGTGGCGCGAGACGCTGCCCGTCGAAGAGGAGGCCGTCCGTGAGAAGTACTAGATATAGAAGCAATGCATCACTCATCTTGACCGCGGGCGAGCGATGCGAGCGAAGCGAGCATGCACGCTGGTGTTATGCTTGCAGTCGCCACCCGAACTGGATGAAAGGTTTTGCCACTGACGTCGGTGGTTTGTTACGTAATAACATCCAATGACGTGGATGCAGTATCAAAGTCAACGGGTCGTACCGCGCCTGACTTCGCAGATCCCGGGGGCCAAACAACAACAACGCAGCACCTACGTTTCCTGTAACTCTCGACCATCGGCAACCAGTACACGACGACAGACGACAATTCCCAGCGCAGTCGACACCCCAACCCTCCCATCCACATCCCCATCCCCCTCCTCCACCACCACCCTTACCCCCTCCCACGAGCCAGCCGCCAGCCGCCCGGCATCCCGTCGCCATGTCGCAGCTCCCGCAAATGATGGACTCGCTGAGTCTCTCCTCCTCGTCCCAGCTGCAGCCGCCCCTATCGCCAAACTCGGCAAAGGCCAACCGCCTCCCGCCCCTGATGAAGAAGTACATGAACCCCGGGCTGGTGCGGCCACCCAACACGGGTCTGGCGCAGCACCAGTCCGCCGCTTTGCTGAGCATGGCGAGCGCGAGCGTTGCTGCTACGCCGAGCGGCATCCCCAAGCCGTCGCCTAAGAAGGCTGGGTCTGCATCCGTCACGTCCTCGCCCGCTCGGCCGCGACAGTTCACCGCCAACACGGGCAGCATCAAGGTCGTCAAGCCGCTGCGGCCTTCGCATACTGTGGCGTCGAACTATGCGAAGGACGGGAGGGTCGAGCGAGAGCGTGAGCGGGATGGCAAGGAGCACAAGGAGCACAAGGAGCCCAAGGGAGACAAGGGTGACAAGGAGAAGGAGCGAGAGAAGGAGCGCGACGCGATCGGGACGTATGACGGCGGGCTGGAGCGCGACGCCGCGCAAAAGGGCGAAGTGACAGGCGAGGCCGCGTCCCTGCTCGCCATGTCGTCGACGTCGCCCTCGTCCTCTGTCCATTTGTCACTGCACAGTTTCCAAATCGGCCGGCCGCTGGGCAAGGGCAAATTCGGGCGCGTGTACATGGCACGCACAAAGGCGGCGCCGCACTTCATCGTCGCGCTCAAGTGTCTGCACAAATCCGAAATCGTCGCCGGCCGCGTGGAGAAACAGGTCCGGCGTGAGATTGAGATCCAGCAGAATCTCCGGCATCCCAACATCCTCCGGCTGTACGGGTACTTCCACGACAGCAAGCGCATCTTCCTCGTGCTCGAGTATGCGGCCCATGGCGAGCTGTATCGCCAACTGTCCAAGTGTGGGCGGTTCGATGAGAAGCGGAGCTCAAGGTACATTGCCCAGATGGCCGATGCGCTGCAGTACCTCCACCGCAAGCATGTGATCCACCGCGACATCAAGCCCGAGAACCTCCTCATTGGCCTCAAGGGGGAGCTCAAGATTGCCGATTTCGGGTGGAGCGTGCATGCCCCCAGCGATCGCAGGCATACGCTCTGCGGCACGCTCGATTACCTGCCCCCCGAGATGGTGGAGGGCAAAGAGCACAATGCCAAGGTCGACCTGTGGGCGCTCGGCGTGCTTGCTTACGAGTTTTTGGTCGGCTCCCCGCCCTTTGAGGACTTAAGTGGCCCGCAGGCGACGTACCGCCGCATTAGGAAGGTGGACCTCAAGATCCCGCCGCACGTCAGCGAGGACGCGGCGGACCTCATCCGCGGCCTCCTCAAGTACAATCCGCAGGACCGCATGCTGCTGTCCGACGTGCTGGAGCATCCCTGGATCAAACGGTACGAGAAGCGGAGCCGCGCGAGCCGCCCCGATCGCGAGCAGTAGAAAAGCGTTGTGGCATCCCGAGTGTAGAGAGAACCCTTATGTTTGTTTATGTATTAGGATATAATAATAAGAGGGAGTAAGAGAAGAGGAAAAAGCGTGCAGATGGGGAGGGTAACGGTGTGCAGGGGAATATAAGAAGGAAGTGTCGTGCGTGGACCCGGGGGGTATATCAATAAGAGAATGTCGTACTAAGTAGAAGCAAAGTGTTGTTTTTAAGGCTCGGGCTCCTCGGGCAGTACCTTTGTCGTGTGCACGGGGGAGCCAAGCCACGCCGCCTCGGACATGGCCTCGCTCTCATTCATGGACACGCGCTTCCTGCGCATCTCCTCGGAGAGGTGCTCCATGTTGTTGTGGGTGCCGCCAAACGTCGACGTAGACGCCATGCCGCCGCGCCCAAACTGGGGCTGCTGCGCCGCAAACTCGTCCTGGTCCAGCTGCGGCGTGTCGGGCGCCGTGTCAAACCCGCGGTGGTCGACGCTCGAGACGACAGACGCAGTCTCGAACGCGTTGCCGTCAAACGACACGCGGCTCACGCGCCGGCTTCCCGGTGTTCCGTCGGGAAGCGGGGGCAGCTCGGTCAGGCTGTACCGCTTCACGTCCTCGGATTTGGGCAGGGGGCTCGCACGCAGAGGCGACGTGCCGAGCTCAATCTCGGGCGTCGTCGGCATCGGGATCGTGGCAATGGGGACGGGAATGTCCCGGCTCGAGCTGGCGACGCTCTGCGCAATGCTGGGGATCGTGACCGGGGTCGAGGCGCTCGTCGGAGAGGGAGCGTCGGAGCGGCGGCCGCGGTCAGAGTCCTCGACGGGCGTGATCAGCGCCGGGGGGCTCGGCATCTCGGCAACGCCAGGCGTCAGGGGCGAGTTGTCCGTGGCGGCGGGCGAGAGGAGGGGCTCAGGCACCTTGACAGTGGGAGGGATAGCCTTGGCCTTGGGCGTCTCGGGAACGTCCTCCTTCTCCTCCGTCTCCTTCTCCCAGGTGCGCTCAATGCTCGCCGGCTTGTTCACGCGGCGCTCAGGCTCGGCGTGACTGTCTTCGGCAGACGCAATGACGGGGTCGGTCGTCTCGCCGGCCGGCGTGGCGATCGGCTCATCGGGCGCCGTCTCGGTCGACAGGGAAGTGTCAGGAGAGGGACCCGTAGACGTGGACGAGACAAGCGCGGGCTCCTCGAACAGGCTCTTCCTCCTGGCAAGGTCGACACTAACGCTCCTGTCACGGACGAACTCGCGCGAGGCCCGGCGCTCAGACTCGGCCTTGAGCTCCTCCGCCACCTTCTTGGCCTTGTTCTCATAAACAGCAATGCCAGCGGCGACGGTCCCCATGCCGGCGGCGGCACCAGCAGCAGCCTTCTTGTTGATCCGGGTGGGAGAGGCGGGCTGCTCCTGGTCGACGCTAATTGCCTTCTTGGTCTCAGCCTGCTTCGGGGAAGTGGCGGCGGCAGCCTTCTTGGCCGCCTTGTCCTTGTCGTCAAACTTGCTGCTGATCTTGGTCTTGAGCGACGTGAACACCGGCGACTTCTTGCGCGCGACCTTAGCGGGCGACTGGGTCGGGGTAGCCAGCTGCGACTCGGACTTGGAGGGCGTGTTGGGCTTGGCGGGAGTGGTAGCAGCCGTTGGAGTGACCGGCGTGGCAGGAGCGACAGGTGCCTTCTCCTCAGCAGCAGGAGCCGTGACCTCGACAGCAGGGGTCGGCTCCGCGACCTTGGGCGGCGACGCGTTGCCGTTGGTGGGAGTTTCAGTAGGCTTGGCCGTCGCGTCGCTCTCAGGGCTCTCGATGGGGACAGCCTCGGAGGTCTCAGCCTTGGCCACAGGCGCCTCCTCCGTCTTGGTCTCGACAGGCAGGGCGGCAGGCTCAGCGACAGGAGTCTTCTCCATGATGGAAGGAGCCTTCACGGAAGGAGCCTTGACAGAGGATGCCTTGGTGGAAGCAGCCCTGGACGAGCTCCTGGCAACAGGAGGCGCAGGAGCAGGGGTGAAAACAGGAGCCGGGCCCTTGGTGTCGACCGGAGCGACATCGCCGGGGGCGTCGGCGAAGGCGTCACTGGCTTCCGCCTTGGGCTCAGCGGGCTGCTCAACGGCCGCGACAACCGGAGCAGCCACGGGCTCGACAGCAGCGGGAGCTACTTCGGGCTCCTCAGCCGGCTGCTCCTTACGCGTAGGAGGCATCTGGAGAGGGGCGGGCATGACAGCCGCCGAAGGCGTGACCGGGGAGAAGTTGCTGTTACTGTCATCCTGAGTCATGCGCGCGAGCTCCTCGTTGGCAGAGTCGACGTTAGGGATGGAGCGAGCTGGCGAGGGAGGGGTTTCGAGCGGCAGCTCAGAGGCGCCAGGGCCAAAGGTCTTGTCGCGAACAATGCCACTGCCACCACCGACGGCGAGGAACTGGCCAGACGACGTCGAGGCAGCACCCTTGGTCTCGTCCCAGTAGCGCCAGAGCTTGTCGTCGAGCTCGGCCCAGTGCAAGAGCTTGAGGGGCTTCAGGTCCAAATCGATCAGCTTGACGGAGGACTTGGCCTCGTCGAGCTTCCAGCCATCGCCCTCGGGAGCGAGAACGGAGCGAACGATAATGGAGCAGTCCTTGAAGATGGCACCGAGACCGTAGGCAATCTCGCGCTCACGCAGGGTCCAGTTGGCCCCATCGGGATTAGCCTTGTACTTGGCGACAAAGCTCTCGAGCTCATCAGCGGTAGGCTCAGGGACGAGGTCGGGCGTGAACGGCTCAGCACCAGGGTGCTCGGCGGCGAAGCGCTCCTTCAGATCCGAGATGTCGCTAACATCGAGCGTGGACTGGAGGGTCGCGAGCTGCGTCAGCACACCCGAAGACTTGAGCAGGGGCGCGACAAAGTCAAAGGTGCCCTCCGCGAGGTCCTTGCCGTTTGTGGGAATGGCGTCGGCCTGAAATGTCAGCTTCGTGAGCGCTGAAAAGCTTACGTTGGAGGGGAGAACAGCCTTGCCGTCAACGTTGACACGGAGGTTGTTCTTCTTGCCGTCGGTCTTGCTCCAGGCGTTCCAGAGACCGGCGAGAGCTTTACGGACACGGGTCTCGTCGTCAGAGTAGAGGTCAATGGGGCAGTAGCCAGCCTCCTCGTCGAGCTCGCCACGGAAGTGCTGGTGCAAGCAGTAGCGGCAGTTCTTCGACTTGATGGCGGCGGCCTCAGTCGGCTTGACATCCGTCTCAGAGGGGAGGAAGCCCCACTTCGGCTTGATCTCGAGGGCAATGACCTTCTCGCCCTGGATGGGCGCGGTCAGGTCCTCCATAATCTGAGCGGGGAGGGCGTAGTCGACAAGCTCGGCGAGCGTGCCGTCCGTGCGACGCTCAGAGTCGCGGACCATCTCGTTAGGGGTGACCACCGAGCGGGCCCACTCCTCGTTGACGCGCGAGGTTGTTACAGAGATCATTAGGTCAGAGTCGACAAGCTGCGGGAGCAGAGTGTGCGACCAAACCTCTCCAGGACCGGTAGCGGCTTCGACTTTCTTAAGGCGGATAGCATGGCCTTGGAGTTCGGGCTCCTCACCCTGGTAGCGGAAGACGACGTGGGCGCCGCCCTCGCCAAGGTAGACCCAATCGGAGGCGGCGGTCTGCGTGAGCTTGGAAGGCTCCTCATCCTCCAGGACCTGAGTCAGGCGCTTGATGCCACCGGCGACACCAGCTCCGGCAACCGTAGCAGCGCCGGCGGCGGCAGCAACGCCAGCCTTGCTGGTGGCCGAGATGCTGGAGCTCCGGGGCAGGGGCACCTTGACCATCTCGCCCATCTCGGTGATGGTGTACTCGGTGGGAGCCTCAGAGCTCGTCGACAGCTTATTCTTGTCGCCTTCGTTCACGACCGGGAGAGTAGAGACGTTGTTCGTCGAGCCGTCGTAGTGGGACGAAGAGCGGATCGACTCGTTGCCGCGGATAGAGTCCCCGCCGCGAGAAGACCTGGTTGAGCCAAGAAACGACTTGCGAGACGACTTTGAGTGAAACATGCCGCTGCTGCGCCAGTTGGTGGCAAAGTCCTTGAGACCAAAGGTGGAGCTGAGACGCGAGACGGAGCTTTCACGGCCGGGCGAAACTGAGCGGTCGAGGGCGGTGGTGTTGATGTCGAAAGGGTCGTCGTCAGGAGCGGTGACGCGAGGGATGCGCTTCTGGACAGTGACAAGGACCCAGTTGATGGGCTCCTCCGCGGTCGACGAGTTTGTCGGCTTCTTAAGCTGGAGCAAGGCGAACCGCGGCCAGGTGCTCGAGGCAGACAGATCGAGCTGTCCGTCCTCCACAAACTGGATGAAGGCGTCATCGAGCTCAATAATCTCCTCCGCAGCAATGAGGTATGTGATCTTGGGCTCGGTCGATGTCGTAACAGTACGCTTGGGCTTGGGACGGGGCGTCGAGGTGGAGGCGGTGGGCTGAACGAGACTGAGCGAGATGCCCTTGACGTTATCAGAGGTGTCACTGAATCCCATCTTTTCAAAGTCCGACCAGCCCGTCGGGCCGGCGTTGCCGGGAGAGAGTTTTGTAGGCGATCCGGGCGAAGAAGAAGACGCAGAGCCTAGGCGAGGGATGTCGCCGTGAGACTGGGAGCGGCGGCGCGAGGCGTGATCAGGCTCGGGAGAAAGGCGGGGGCTAGTCGGAGGCGAGAGAATGTCAATGTTCTTCGTCTGAAGGAACTCCTCAATGAACGCGCGCGAACCCTCGGCGAGAATGTCGTCGAGGGTGACGGTCTTGCTGTCGGGCTTGCTGACGACCTCCCACTCCGGAGCCGTCACCTCGTCGTCAGCCTTGGCGACGAGCGCCTCGTTCGCGACACGTTCCGGGTCGGAACCGCGCGGGACAGAGGCGTCGGTGCCAAGGGCGACATGCAGGACCTTGCGCGAGAACGTCGAGGCAGGCGGAAGCGGCAGGTGCTCGGAAGACGCCGAGGATTCGCCGAAGGGGTAGTTGATGATGAGCTGAACGAGGCGGCGGGGCATCTTCTGCTGCTTCGTCTGCCATCGGAGGTGTGCGTAGAACAAGTGCTCGGCCCGCTGACCGGCGAGTTTGTAGCCGTCGTAAAGGTCGCTCCAGTTCGTAACCCCGTCGGGCTTCTCGCCAAGTAACCACCACCCGAACAGGTGGCACAGTCGGCCGGCAGTCATCGCGTTCGTCTCGGCGTACAGAGCGATCGAGTTGCACACCTCGAAAACGGCGTGCAGCACCTCGCCCGTCTCCTCCGACAGCTTGGGCAGGAGCATGTCGGCATACGCTCGTCTCGGGTACGAAGCGGCATGCTCGCTCTGCACAAACTTGACGTAGACGTCGGGGTCGATGATCGGGCGCTCCTGAGGCGCCAGACGACGGAGAACAAGCTTCAAGACCTCGGCGAGGTCCACAGGGTCCGAATCCCTCGCGTAGGCGATCAGACGCGCCTTCCAGTCGTCGCCGTTGTCCGTCTTAGGGACGTACGAGGTAACGCTCGGGAACTTGTCGGCGAGCTCGGGGCGGCGCGCGAGGACGAAAAGAGTCGTGAGGTGGCGCTGACGGTCCTTGTTGGCGTTCCAGCGACGCGGCAGCATGATTCCGGTAGTCTCGGCACCTGCGATAGTGTCAGCCAGGACGAAATCAGCGAGCGCTCGGGCCCCCATGTTCTAGCCCGTCCACTCTCTTCCGCGTTCCGATTGCCCGCGCATCCTGGTCATTCTCCGAAGACGCAGCTCGTGATCGCCGCGATTCACGGGGGCACAGAGACCATGCACTTAAACAGTCTCACGCCTGGCATTCTGGTCGAGTGCGTTGATTCATGAGAGGGCGCAGCAACTTGCACAGCGTCCGGCTAAACTCGCCGCACACTCAGGTACTCACCACGCGCAGCCAGTTCGGGCCCGATCCACTCCCAGGCGCTCTTGAGGTCGGTCGGGGTGTATCGCTGGGCGTCGAGCGCCTTGCGTTCGGTGCTGTTCAGCTTTGGGTTTTTGACGACGCCTTCGAGGCCAAAGTCGTGCTCGAGCTCAGACGCACGAGCCTCGAACGGCAGAGGAATGTCGAGCCGCGGCGGCGCGACGGTGGAGGCTGCGATGCCGTTCGCTCCCTTGCGCCGGCCTCCGCCGGCGGCGCCCTCGGTGCTGGATCGTCCCCGGCCGGTCGGGGAAGACTTGGGCTTGCGCTGAGACGCCTTCCGGGACGGCGAGACGGGGCGGCCGGGGGCGTCCTCGGTCTTTGGGCGCTTTTTGTTGAAGAAGGACAGAATAGAGACCATGGTGTAGTGTAAAGTTGAGAGAAAGGAGTGTGAGTGTGCTGGGTTGTACTTTCAGCTTTTGAGGTCTGTGACGCTGAAGGAGGACTGCAGGTTGGGATACAGGGTGGTGGCTCGAGGGTTCTCTGGGTGCAGTCGAGTGAAAGTCGGCAGTCGAGCAAAAGGTGAGAGAATCGAATCAATGCGGAAAGTGCGTGTAGCGTGTGAGCGTGCGTGTCGCGCGGTGAGAGAGAGGGTCGAAGTCGAAGCGGGCGAGGGCGGTCGATCTCGACAGTCGTGAAAGGTCGTGTTCGTAACGCTTGGCTGGGACTGCAGCAGTAGCAGCAGCAGCCTTGTGAAGGGGTGGGTGGGTGGAATTAAAGAAGAGAGAGTGTTGTAAGTAGGGATAAGAGAGTAGTGATAAGGGAGGAAGATGGAGAAGAGCAAGCAAGGCAATAGTGAAACGCGGAGGCGCCGTGACTACTTTGGATCTGGGTGGTAGTACTAGTAGGGCGGTGTGTCGTTGCAGAATCGTGGGGCGGGTGCGTGCGTGTGGTGGTGGTGGAAGCAAAGGAAGAGCACAAGCAGCAGTGCTAGCGTTATTCAGTAGCAGCTAGCAGCAAGGTGGCAGCAGGGCCGCCTGTCCGTATGGATTCAAGGCGATGGACGCTATCAGGACTCAACTCGATGCCTGATCCGGTCACTGTCGCCGCTGAAGCCTGTCAGGCCTGTCAGGCACTGAACCAGCGAGCGCACCGCTGCATGTTTCTTCCCCACACGCCCTTGGCCGGCCGGACGACTCCCAGGGCATAAGGGCCAGGCACAAGAGGCGCCGGCCCGTGCGGGGAACCTCTTGCTTTCATCCGGCGCGTGGCCACCACGACGCGCCTGTGCGCCTGTCCTGTGCTCAACTCGACCTCCCGCATCCATGCATCTTAACTCTCTCTCTCTGGGACGGGGCAACTCTATCCTTCTCGTCTCCAGTCCCGTTCCACATCAAGGATGCATACTCACTGCTGCACACCTACGTCGCTGATTGCCGTCTTGGCGTCAGAGGAGCCATCCAACAAGCGGTGAGATCTCTCCCACATCTGGCATGTTTCCCTACTGTCCTTCCTTCCTTCTACTCGCCAGCCCAGTAGTCTTCTCGGAATGGCGCAGCACGCACTCTCGACACTCTCCGCATCCAACGGGTCCAACGGGTCCAGAGATTTGTACAGCGACCTAAGCCCGGGTCCCTTCCGACAGACCCATTCCAGGACCACTCCAGGACCACATCGGGTGGACGAACGAACGGGCGAGCGCGGACGTTCGGGGCGTTCGGGGCGTTCGGGGCGTTCGGGGCGTTTTGCTTGTCACGCTCCTGTGATCCTGTACGAATCCCTAACATTGTCTCAACTGACCTGGACCTTGTGCTGGCTGAGAGTCAGTCGAGCTAGTCGAGAGGCAAACTGGAGTGTACATAGGTCGACTTACGCAATGAGCAACGAGTTAGTGCAAGTTGGACCCGTTTAAGCATCAGGGCTGACGACTCTGATCCTGCGGGCCCTGCCGCACGCGCCGTCTGGCCGGCCGATGCCCTGATCATAGGGCTGATCGAATCCTGCCCGAGCCGAACACAGACTGCATCGCTGCATGCTGCATGGCAGAACTTACATGCTTTCGATGCTTCTGATCTTCATTGCATGATGCTATGGATGTGGCTCGTGTCTAATGCGTGTCTAATGTCTTGTCTGCTCTTGTCTAACCTCCCCCACTCACGACTCCTCCTCACAGTTCGCTCTGTGCATGACCCTCTGACAGCTCTTCTGAGGCACCTTCTGTCTCGGAGGGTGACTACTCCGTCTCTGCCTTCCAATATCGCACCAGTCTCAGACTTCACTCCTCCCCACCCTCCCTCCTCCACCGTTCATAGTCGAAATCCCCGCTGTTGCCCGTCAATCGCGCCCACTCCAAAAGGAGTCGGAACATGTACGCCTGCACGTCTCTGCGTCTGTACATGCGCTCTGCGAAACAGCGCCCGTTGTGCGCCAGCGTCCGGGCCGTGTCGTCGAATGCCACTTCTGTGCCATTAGGCCCACCGGGGCCCGCAAAAAAGGCCATGATGCTGGGCAGATCGGCATAGTCGAGCTTGCTGGGGATGTAGTGGTGCCACCTGGTGGTCAGCTGCTGCTACAAGAGGAGGGGTAACGTACGGGACGAGCCAGTCCTGCCACCATTCCGCGAACATGCCCGCCTTGATCACCAGCGAATTCGTGCCCATCAGCCGTCTGAACCGCCCACTCCACCCATTCCCATCCACATCGAGCAGGAACCGATTCCCATGCAGATCCTCTGGACTCTGGTACGGCGCAAAACCAAGCTGGGCGAGACGCGCACACGTCCCGTCCTCTTCTTCGCACTGGATCGGCTTCTGCGCCAGCTTCACGTCGTACCGTTCCTGCAGTACTCGGGCGGGTCTCGTCGTGGTATTATACCCTACGAAACCCCCCATGGTCGTCTCGAGCAACGTCACGGGTGAGGAGGAGTTACTGTTCGCCCAGCGGTGCAGACGCACGCGGTGCGAGTTCTCCCAGTCCACGCTCGCGCTCATATTCGCCATGCCCGTGTTGCTTCCGCGCCAGGCCAGCTTCCCCTCCTTGAGGTGCCAGGCCGTGTCGTTTGGCCGGCGCTCGTTGAACTGGTCCAGCGGGATGGCGCGGATATCGCTGTTCACGCGTGTCTTGGCTAGGCTGAAGAGGGGCAGCAATCGGCCATGCGGGGCCGGTTTCGAGGTCCGTGTGTGCGGCTCCAGGGCCAGGCCGTGCAGACCTAGCAGAGCGGGGTTGGAGCAGATATTCCCCGCCTCGCGCGGGTCGTACACGAATGCGGCAGACTCGCGCTGTTCCGCCCCATAGGGGCTGTAGGGGGAGCAGATCGTGTCCCACTCCACTTCTCCGCTCGTGGACTCGGCGGCAGCGAGCACCTCGGGCGACAGCGTGCGGCCCTCCCTCGCTGCGTCTGAGAGCGCGTCCCGCGCCCCGTAGGGGAGATACAGTGCCGGCTGGTCGAAGATTGAGAACGTGGCCGTCAGATCTGGCAGATCCTTCGCAACGACACTAATGATCGATGCCTGGTCGCCGGCGCGCGGCATCGAGCCGCCCCACTTCAGCGCACCATGATGCAGGTCCACGTCCATGCTTCCGTTCCGGATGCGGATGTTGAACACCTCGTCCCAGCCCTCGACCTCGGCCTGCCTCTTCCTCAGTTCGGAGAGAGGCAGCGCGTGGAACGGCGCCAGGTCGGACTCGATCCCGTCATACTCGTCCGGAAGGAGGATGCCGTGTTTCTTCGCGAATGCCCACCATTTCTCAAACCCCGCAGGCGGGGGGCGGCCGTACCGCCTCCTATACTCTGCGACGGCCTCGCCGAGCGTCTGGCTCTGCGAGGAGAGGAGTTCGTTCCATCTCCGCTCGCCTAGAGCCAACAGTTGCGGGATCGGGTGCTGCCCCGACGGGCCGAGGACGAGGTGTCCTGTCGCACTGAGGGTGTGGCCGGCGTCGCTGGCCGACCAGCGCAATCTGCGCGCCTGTTTCCTCGACCCAGTGATGCGCGCCAGGTCCCGCTCATACGCGTCCATGACGGATTTGAACTCGCATTCCTCGGCCTCTTGCTCTCGAGTCAGCGCGCCGTGCTGCAGCCACAGTAGCGTCAGAAGCGCAGCGGCCAGGAGGGCGAAGAGGACCCTTCGTCGTCGAAGGAGGCGTGGTCGGCCGAACATCGTGCCCCGCCGTGATCGGGGAAGAGAGGGCGCGTTAGGCGGAGGCGGGGAGGATTTCCCGTTCGCTCTTCGGTCAGAGGATCGTTGGGATGTTGAGGAGGTCGAAGACTGGCCGAGCGCCCCCCGGCCCACGTTCGCCGGCACCGACGCCGAAAGCTCGATCAGCTCCTCCTCTTCGCTGTCCGGGTCCAGGTCCGAGTCGGCCCTTGGCCGCGGCGTGCGTGTTCTCGTGTCATCGCCCAGGGCGCGGATACGCGAAGCGCCCGTCGCCGTGCTCCGCTGGGCGGCCATCGTCGTTGTGTTCGGAGTATCAGTTGGGGAGTGTGTGGAGCAATGATGGGTTGATGGGTGTCGTCAGTCATTGAAGTGGAGGTCCCGGACAGGTCGCGCCAAGGGTCCGCTCATCGTCGCAAATCGCCGATCATACCCTTGGCACTTGTGCCCCGGTGCTCTGTGCTTGCCTTGCTCGGTCAATTCAGCGGTCGATCAAGGAGCAAGCAAGCTTCAGGCTTTCTGTGCATTCCCATGGCCTCTCGCTTGCTTCCCGCTGCATTTTGCTCGCAACCACAACGGCAATATGACCATCGTGCATGCCAAACGGGAGGTGGGCGCAGCAGGACCCACCTTTCTGGAGTCTGCAATGCATTACGACATCTCCCCTCTCTGGTCATTGGATCTGGGGTCCAGGTGTCGCACGCTGAAACTTCCCCTATGCGCTCATGCCAATCACATGCATTGTGATCTCCTACCAAGATATATCTACACCCACACGCCGATCGGCGCCGCCTTCCATTCCGCAACGTGCTCCCAGCCGGGCACGGAGCTGCCGTCCGCTGACGTCTGCAGCGTGTGTTTCGGCTGAGCCAGCTGCTAGTTAGCTGCCGTTGCGAGTCTGGTAGCTTACCTTCTCGTTCAGCGCGGCCAGGTTGGCTTCCATGGCCGCCAGCTGCGCGTCGACGTCCCGCGGCGCCTGATCCGGCTTCTCGGCTCCGTCGTCAATCTCGAGACCCTCGAGCTCTTCCTCGTCAGACTCGCTCTCCGCCTCTGACTCGTGCAGGAGCAGCTCGTCCAGCTCGTCGAGAGCCGGGGCGTCCGTGTCCTCGGCGAGTTCGGCATAGACTCGGCGCAGTCTGGAGTTAGCTTGCACTATCCTACCCCCAGCTGCGATGACTTACACATCGTCACCATGCACGAGCTCGCGCGCGATGCGGCGCAGCACGCCCGTCCGCTCCTCCTCCGGGACAGTCAGACCTCCCTCTCCAGCCCAGAGCCAGAGGAGCCACGTCCCCAGCGTCCAACGGTACGACGCCATCTCCTTCCTGTGGTCCTCGGCCGCATCGGGGGCAGCAGGAGGCGGGTTCAGGCGCGGCGCCGTGTCGAGCAGCGCTCCGACGAGGCACTCTGTCAGAGCCGCGGATACCGGCGCAGTCGCATCCAGATGAGCAAGGAGGGGACGCCAGATAGCAAGTCCTTCCTTTGGCGGTCGGTTGGCACGGCGGTGCGACCGTTTTCTGATGTCAGCTGCATGGCTCTAGCGAAGCAATCGATATAGCGTGATAACTCACTTCCTAGCAACGGGCACCAGGCCAGTCCTGACAACGGCGTCCAGGACATCATCTGCGTCCTCGGCATCAATAGCCCGCTTCAGCCGACGCAGCGCCAGACCGCTTTCGCTCTCGTTCGTGACGTCGTGCGTGCGGACACGAGCCTTCACAATCTTCTTCCACTCGGTAACAAGACCCTCGAGCTTTGCACGCCTGTCCCATCCTGCAGCACTCGAGGAAGCGAGCAGCGGGAGGAAGCTCTGGCGGTGCAGATAGTCGAGCGCCTGTTCGACTGCGCGGCGGAGCATCGGCAGCGGGGGAAGGTCCTCGTGCGTAGCGCGGTGACGCAGTGCGACGAGAGAGGAAGGAATGCCGAGACTCGCGGCGAGGTGCGAGATCGGACGAGCATAAGGACCTGAGGATCAGCTACCGGTCGCGCGCAGACAGCATATTCAGCCTGTGGGGGAAGACTTACCAGTCTGCAGCGGGTCGACCATGCCGTTCACGAAACGCACGACCGCCATCGCATACGACATGCGCGTAGCTGACGCAGCCTCAGCGCTCGTAGGTGGGTACGGCAGGAGGAGCGCCGCAACGAGCGCATGCAGAAGGTGGAGGAAGGCGGGACACGAGGGGCATGAGACATATACGCTCATCTGTTGTCAGTTCACATGGCAGCCAACGAAACTCACGCGGGACAGCGCAGCCTGACGACTCGCATCGTTGGCTCCGGGGGCGAAGAGAAGGTCGTACAGCTCGGCGAGCTCGGCCTTGCTCGCCCAGGGGACGCGGCGGGGGACTCGCATGCTTGTTAGTGTGGTGGAGTGAGCGATCGGGACGGCCTCCACTTTGCTCGTCAACAAAATTCCTGGGTGGTCGTCATGTCCGTGTGGAATTGCTTCCGCTATAAACGGATTCCTAATGCGCTACATCTGAATTTTATACAGCTTGAAATCTATTATCATATACGACAGCCGTACAGCCGGCCTGCGGCTGTGGCGAATGACAGGTCAGACGAGGCGGCGGGAACGCTCCTTGTCGTCTGCTGTCAGCGTTGAGAACGATGGGAGCAACTCACAATGGTGCGCCTGTTCAGGTGCGCTTGGAGCACTGACGTCAATGTGCGTCGGAGCACCCTTCAGCACGTTGCTGTAGGGGTTGTCGCTCGGAGCGTCCTGGGAGTAGGAGCTGTCGGGAGACTCAGTGTTGCGTGGAGCGGCCTTGCGCTCCTCGCACGGGGTCTTCCAGTGCTGCACCGTGTTCCAGGTCTCAGCGGCGAGCTTGGTCTGGGGTGTACTGCAGTGAGCTAAGTGGCGGGGGTTATAAGCTCACAGACTGGCAATGTTCTCCCAGCTGAAGAGGGCACGCTTGGTCTTGGCCTCCTGTCGCCAGATGATACCCTGGAATGTTAGTGAGGTCTGACATGAATAAACTTACAGCAAGCATGTTCAGACATCCGATGGTGAACAGCATCCAGCTAGAGACCTGCGGGAACAGGTCGCTGTAGTGTGACAGAACGCTGCACGCGATACTTCCCCGTCAGCTATGATCCCCAGTAGTTCCACCTACAGAGTCTGGAAGGCACCGAGGCAGCCGAGCCCATGCTCAGGTCCGAGCATAGGAAGGAAGGTCTCGAACAGCTTGCGCGGGAAGCCAATCTCGGCAGCAATGAGCAACATGGTCTCCATGACTTCCCGTCAGTTTGTTTCACATCATCAGAAAGCTCACGGATGAAGACGCGGTTCAGGACAGACCAGAAAGCACCGCCGGCCTGGTCAGGAATTGTCGAGTTGAAGATGTAGTCACACTTGTACTCTGTCGTCGAGTTGCCGGCCGTTGAGTTGCCCTTGGCGGTGAAGGGGACAGCGGCGGTGCGGTCCTCGCGGATCGCCTCACCGTCTCCAACTAGCGTCACTATGTTCGCGATGAAGACTAAGAGCAGGCCAATCATGCTCAGTGCGCGGAGCACGTTGAGACCGATGAAGATGGGGCCCTGGGCGGCGGACTTGAGCGCGGACATGGCCTGGTTGGGGGGGGGCTGGACTTGTTGTTAAGGGGGATGTGGGGTACTGCGGCCGTCGTTGTCAGTTCCAGTGAGTTTTATACTGCTCGCTGCCTCATCGCAAACAATGCTGTCGACAGCGACGTGAGGCTTCTCGATGCGCTGCCTGAGATTCAGAGGCGGTCCTGCTCATGAAGGATCGCCACTTGTAAGCAACTGGTTGTGCCATTGTTGTGAAAGCGTCCACCTGGTCAACCTGTGTAGCCAGCTGTGTGTATACTGCGTGCTGTGTGCGGACCTGGACTGACCCAGTCAAGTGGCAACTGGCCGGCTGGAACGCACAATAGCGAGCGAGTAGCCACAGTTGGGCGTAGCGACCTGCAGGGGGAGGATGGCCATTGTTCTGCAAGCAGCGGACCACCCATCGCCCATAATCCATAATCGCCACCAGGGCTAGCACTAGGGAACGGCATCAAAGACCGGCATGGCGTCACGAGGCGCAACATGTTATGGTCGCATGGCGCTCATGCAAATGACAATCAATTCGCTCATTAACAAGGGCGAGTGATCGCAGCAATTACCGATCCACCGAGAAAGAGGCTAGGCTGGTTCAGAGTGCGAATGGAGATGAGTAGAGATAATCGAATTTAGAGTCCGGGTCACGTTATTAGGGTTACGGCAGACCCGAAACCTGGGCTAACGCGTCGCGTGCGGTGAGAGAGCGGACAGAGGGCAACGCTCGATCGGGTGTTGGAGGTCGAGTGAAGAGGATGGAGAAGTACGTGAGTGTGAGTCCCGGCGCAGTTTGAGTGCCGGAATTCCGGAGCGAAGTGGGACCCAGAGTGCGGCACTGTGACATGCAGATCAGGGGGTGGAAGTGGGAGATGGAAAGAGGAAGGAGTGTGACAATGGAAGGAAGCGAGGAGGAGGGTGGGATGACTTGGGACCGGGAGAGGTACCAGGACAAGCCTTGGAATGGGCCAGGGTCGGATCGGAAAGGCACGCCTGCGCGGCACCAGAGCAGAGGGAAGGATGCCGGCTTGGGCTGCTCGATCCGGAGCAACCCTTAACACGGTCGACGGCGTCGCTCCGGTCCCCGTCCCACTGTGCAATGCTGGGCGTGTTCTTGGTGCTCGTGAACGTGAAGGGGGGGGGCATGGAGATGTCGAGGGCCCAATCTGGACCAGGTCTGCGGTGGTCCTTCTGGCGCACCCTGACGCCTGAGCGAGAACTGAAATGTTCCATCGCTGCATCCACAAACCCTCAGTGCACCGTGCGCAGCCACCCCTTTTCTCACCCTTCATGCGGTCGTCGTCGTCGCTGCTGCTGTGATAGCCCAACAACTGCGCACTTTGATCAGCGCCTGACACCCGCATGCTACACACGCACGCACGCACTCTTCTGCATCCTCCCCCTTCTCTTTCACTTCCATTACTCACGCAACTCTTCTAGCTCTTCTAACCCACGAGACTCTCCTTCTGACCCATCCTCCACACTCCTTTGTACGCCTAACTCGACCCACACTCCCTTGTACCCGACTTCCGAAGTCCCACACCAGTCTCGCCGCCGACTTTCAACGAGCGCACGCTTCCTCCCGGTCTCTGCGCAACGCCCCTCTCACTCCCCCCTGGCCAAGCACAGACCTCTACGTCCTCATTCCTCCCAACGCGATCACATTCACCCGTCTCTGCGACTTGACCCCACGCTCTTGGGTCTCTCTGTCTCTGACACATCCTTCATCTCCTCACGACTTCACTCATCCTCCTTCAATCGTACCGTGCTGCGCGCGTTCGCTCCCTCATCGTCCTCGACCCATTTCCTCGACATCGGGCCTCGACACTTCGGTATCTTGACCTGGCACAGACGCTCTCTCCTTCTTACGTTCATTTCAGCACCACCGCACCACTACCTAGAGAACCATGCGTCTCTCTACGCTCATCCTGCCTGTGGCAGTGGCTCACGTTGCCATGGCAGCTCACGTCCATGTCCCTCAGCGACGACCGGCGCACATGTACCGTGCCATGGAGAGGAGGCAGCACGGCAGCTCGGAGGACGACTTTGGAGTTCTGCCAAGCCCGTCTTCAGGCGCAGGGGCGTCCTCGTCTTCCGCAGAGCCGTCTTCTAAGGCTGAGCCTTCGTCTAGCTCCACTCCCACGAAGCCTCAACAATCGTCCTCTAAGGACACTGACACGGCGCCGACAAGCTCCGCTGCGCCTACCACCAGCAACGCCAGCCCTGCTCCCACCTCATCCTCGACGTCTGACAAGGACAAGACAACCTCGACTAAACCTTCGGTTGCGCCCTCTTCTGATGTTTCATCAGACGATCCCACTTCCTCAGAAAGCTCCACCAGCAGCCCGTCCGCTAAGCCCAGTAGGTTGCGTTTCGATCCTTAGGCTAACCTGTTTCAGGCTCCTCGTCCGAGGCCGTGACGTCTGAGTCTTCCGTCGCCCCCTCATCATCATCCTCTGCTGCCGTTGAGAGCTCAGAGACTGTCGTTACCTCAACGACTGCCTCGGCGTCCCCGACCGCCCTTACCTCTGCTCGAACGCTTACCCGCTCTGCTTCCGATACGGAGACTGACACCTCCATCGCCCCCTCTCTCGCTACCAGGACCAGGACCGCCACCAAGAGTGCCACCGCTAGTTCTGACGAGTCCAACAAGGATGACAAGGAATCGGGCGGTTTGAGCACGGGTGCTATCGTCGCCATCGTCGTCTGTGCCGTTGTTGCTGGTGCCGCTTTCCTCGCCTGGACGCTCTTCCGCAAGCTCAAGCTCAAGAACAACCGCTTCAACGACCGCAGCCAGCCCGTCGACTTCTCGCCGGACAACGGCCCCATGGGCGGCGACGACCTGTTCGAAAAGAGCCTGCAGCGTTCGGCGTCTGTTGCTTCCGCCGACCGGCAGCGCCGCGAGCTCGTCGCCGAGCTGGACCACGACAACAGCCTCACCGCGGGCATTCCCGAGCACGACTTCACTGCCGGCGCTGCTCAGCCGTACGGCTACGGCGCGGACCCTTACAACAACGGCTACGACTTCTCCTCTCCCCGCAACGAGGGCTACGACCCCAACTACGGCTACCCTGCGCATCCCGATCAGGCTGCGATGTACCCCGAGCACGGCTACGCCGGCGAGTACCCGACGCAGGACACGTACCACGGCGACGGGTACCAGCAGAACGGCTACCAGCAGCAAGCCGGGTACGCCGGCGACGGCTACAGTCCGACGGAGCGCGGCGGCCCCACGTCCCCGCTGTCGCCGCACGGCCACGGGGCGCAGCCGCAGTTCGACGCCTTCTCCGGCTCCGACTTTGAGATCACGGCGCGTCCGACCGGCGGCGCTATGGGCGACGCCGGGCCATACGCCCAGGCCGCATCGTACAGGTACTAAGCCGGCCTTGTGCTTTCCATGTAACTCCTACGTCTCTCCGCTATATTCCCCGTTCGCTCCGCTTCTCATATCCTCATACTCTCATGATCCTCCCTTTTTTTCGGACGTTTTCACAGTGAATAATTGGGCACTGTATGCATTGATCGAGCAAACGTCGTATCGATACCGGCATCCGTCCCCCGCGCGCACAGGAGTGCAGGAACTCGCAGGAATCTTCCCGCGATGCGTTGATTCTATTTGCCACCCGTTGCCGCTGTCAGGCACAGCCGTGCAGAACGGGAGCGGGGCAGTGCGGGGTAATCCGTTGTTGTTCGCTACAACGAGAAACACGGCGCCCACATGGAGTTTGACGTTGCACACTCCCCCCAAACCCAGATGGCGACTCCGAAAGTGCGCGCGGCGTGTGCGGCGAGTGTGGGCGTGCTCGCGCCCGAGTTGCCGTGCACGCTGGATCTGGGGGCTGGGAATCCGTTACCGACTGCGAGTGCGGACAGTAGTCCCACCTCCACCGCGACCACCGCGATCTCGCCGCACATCACATCTCGACCGCTCGAAGACGGCAAGGACGCGCGGCCAAGTTCCGCCGGATCCGCCGGATCAACGGTCTCGGCGGTCTCGGCGGCATCAGCGGGCTCGACAGCGGCAGGACCAGGATCAAGTAAAGCAAAGGCGAATGGAGGCAGCCCCAGTGGAGTTGGGGTGACGAAAGGTCTGAAGCGGGCGCGTATGACGCTCAAGACGGCCACTGAGCTGAGCCAAAGCGAGAAGGAGGACCTGTTCTCCCTCTGGAAGGCGAACATGGGCCACTACGCGCATCTCGACTACACGGACGCGGGCAAGTGGGAGGAGATGTACGACGCGGACGCGCGATACTTGGTGCTCCGGCGGTCGACCTCCACTTCGCCTTCCAGCTCGCCCCTGTCTCGCACACTGAAGCTGGCCTCTGTCTCTAGCAGGAGCGGGGGGAAGGAGAAGGACAAGGAGAAGGACAAGGACAAGGAGAATGGAGGTGGGGACGGGAAGGAGAAGGAGAGAAGAGACGAGGGAGCAGGCGAGGGCAGGAAGAGACGAAGAATGCGACGCCGGTCCAAGGACCAGGATCATGGCGAGTTACTCGGCTTCGCCAGCTTTCGCTTCGATACCGAGGAAACCATGTCGCCCCAGGACGCAGAGGTCGTGTACTGGTAAGCCCCATCTCGCCAGCTTGGGGAGGTGTGAACGAGCTGACCCCAGCTACGAATTGCAGCTCTCGCCGTGCGCGAGGGGGTTGGGGCTCGCGCGCCGGCTCATGGGCGCGCTGGAGGGGATTGGCCGCAGAAGGGGCATGGCGAAGAGCATGCTGACGTGTCTTGTCGGTAAGTCATCCATTGGGAATGCTGTGGTAATGGTAATGCCGGAGCTGACAACGCAGCCAACACGTCCGCTCTCGGGTTCTACGAGCGCCAAGGGTATACACCCGACGAGATCGATCCGACGCGCTGTGCTGAGAAAGAGGGCGAGGAGGCTGAGTACACGTACCGTATCCTCAGCAAGGAGCTGTAGAGCTGTAGCATCTATACATACATACTGCACAATGTACCCATCATGTTCTATCTGCGTATCTGCCTATGCCGCCTCCTCGGCACTCATGCGCGCCCTCCATGCCTCGAGCACGATCTCATCGACGGTCTTGGCCGGTCCGTCGACCGGCTCGACATTCTCAAACGGACGCAGGATCTCCTCCAGCTCAGCCCTGCGCCGCTTGTGCGCCTCGCCTTCTGGGTCAAAAGATGCCCACACCGTCTCGCGGAACGTCCAGTCCATTCTTACACGGGTACGTTTCCGCGTGGGCCGGGGCTGGAGTTCGTCCACGAGCCGACGGACAGGGGAGCGACGACGCGGCGTCAGGTCGTCTTCCCCCTCCTCGTCCGTGACCTGGATCGACGGAACATCGGACGCCCCAGGGCGTAGGGCGAGGAAGGCGGCCTTGCCGTCCTTCTCCTTCTGGTCGCGCGCCTTTTGACGCGCGCTGCGTGGACTCCGAGGCGCGGTAGTAGTCGCAGCGGCAGGCGTGCGTCGTTTCGTCGGCGTAGCCTCAACCTCGTTGTCGGAGTCCGAGACGTCGACGATCTCCCGCTTCTCCCGCCGCTTGCTCGGCGTCACGCTCTGCTTCAGCGGACTGCCCTTGCTCGGCGAGTGCGCATGCACGAGGCCGGTCAGGTCCAGGCCGGAGGTGTACTTGAACTTCTTGCGGGGTGTTTGGAACGGACTCATCGCGTCGGCCGTAGTCACTTTTGTGGGTGAGGTGGTCGGGGAGCTTGTCGCTGGTCGCTTTCGGCGTCCACTCGGCGAGGACGCCTCTGCGCTCTCGAGCAGGCGGCGCGAGGTCGCGAGCGCACTCTTGAATCGCGCGGGGGAGACGGAGGACAAGCGCTGCAGCGAGCTCTCGGCGAGGTCGTGCGATTGCATCCTGGAGTCAGTTTAAAGATGAGCGCATAACTTACCGCTCGCATCCCAGCAGAGCCGCAATGCCGACCAACGCTGGCCGCTCCTCAGGCTTGAGCTCATTGCCCTTCCCCGGCGCAGTCAGGTGGCGGAGCGTGCTGAGGATTTGTGTCGCGACGGGGAGCGCAGGGTGTGTCGCCGAGGGGAATAGCGGCGCCAGCTCGTTGGACGACATGGCCAGTGGTGGTGGCGGAGGGAAGGTGACGAAAACAAAGACGCCGTTGGACGCGTCGAAAGTCAACAAATCCAGGACGACTCTCGGTGGCAAATTCCGCACTCACCCCAGCCTCCCTGGAGCCAGCCGGTTGTGTTTGATAGCGCAGCGAACAGAGCAGTGGTGATAGCAAGACCTGTTGATGCATACAACTAGACTGTAATGACTGATAACTACGACAAAACCCTAATGCTCCTGCGGTCGCTTAGATCTACCCTCTGGGGACTGAGTACCTCTACCGAATCGCACATACGTTCGCCCCTCCTGCTGGAACTCTGCGCTTCCGGATCACTGGCGCGCGACAGGGGAAGAAGGACATGCTGATAGAAATTAGGCGGCGAGCGCCACTCGCTCTTCCTTGGCCGCTGAGGGTCAGCTTCGTTGTATGCGGAGTTGGCAGCTCACCTTCTGCGGGCGCCTTCTGTGCCGGCTCCGCTGGCTCCTCGACAGGCGCATCCGGGAGATGCACAGGCTCCGTCTCTGGTACATCTGGAATCTTGGGCTGAAAGTGTCAATTGAAAAGTTGCCCATGAACTCACCATCTGCTCCGCCTGGAGCGCCTCGAGCTCGCGCTGCACGGCCTCCTCGTCCTCGGCACTCATGCTGGACTGGAGCTCGTTGTCAATCTCCTTCTGGTACTCGATGCCGTCTCGCGTCTCGTCCATCAGCTTCTCGACGCGCTCCAGCGACATCTCCTTCTGCAGCTGCTTCAACACGCTGTTGCCCTGCTCGAGTCCATGAACGACCGTTGCCTGGATCTGCGTGAACTCGATCGTCGTTACGAGCTCTTGCAGCGTCTGGAGCTGTTCGTCTGTCCGGCTCAGAAGCTGCGTCTGAAACTTTCGTTGCCGCAGCGCGGTCAACGCTCGTCGCTGGCGTCAGCTCGCTGGACACGAATTCAGCTCACCTTGTCACCCTTCGCCAAGGCTTCCTTCGCTATCTCCTGCTCTCGGTCGAGGACGACTTGAATCTGTTGTCAGCTCAAATCACTCATGCGGCTGCGTAGCTGTGACTTACCCGCTTCTGATACTGTTTCAGCTTGTCGCGCTGGTTCTTCAGACTGCCGCGTCAGTTGATTGCCGAGGGCGGCCAATGACTGGTTGGAAGGCTCCGGGCGGTCGAACTCCGAACCCGGGTCAAACTCACTCAAGTACGGCGCGGTCGTGAGCAGTGATCTTGGGGCCGGGCTGGGCCATGCCCATTTTGACGAGTGCGGCCTGCCATACGCCCATGGTGGATGATGTTGACACAAGTTGAAGCACTGGAGATCGGTCATGACCGGGGCGCCAGACGGCCGGGACTTTATCCAGCCAAGCTTCGGCACGTCACTTCCAATCTCGATCTTGGATGTCCTGGAATCGCCATCACCCAGACGTCAGCACTTGACCATCCTCCATCGCCCAACCGACCATGTTCTCCGGCGTGAGCCTGTCTGACAGGCTCAAGGCGGCCGTCAACCAGCTCGAAGCGACGGGAAGCTCGCTGCAACAGCGTGCCCTGACCGCTGCTCAGCAGGCGCAGACACCGCCTCTCGACCGGAAGCCCAGCAACCCGCCGCTCGATCGCAAAGCCAGCAACCCCGCCACCGCTGCCAAGGCAGACGATCGACCACAATCGCCTCGCTCCCCACCACCGACAGGAAGCGCCTCTCATCTCGCGGACTCGGCAGTCAGCGGATTAAACGAGCTCCGAAGAAGCTTCAGCAGCTTCCGAAATTCCCAGGAGGGTTCCCGTCCAAGCAGCGCCGACATCGAAGCGGCTGGCAGGGCACAGAAACGCAGCTCCAGTCCGCTGAAGAAGACAGAGGCTGAAAGGGCCGAGGAGAACAAGAAGGAGCCGGAGGAAGAGAGCAAGCCCGACGAATGTGCGACGAAAGCCGATGCCAAAGATTCAAAGGACAAGCCCGAGCTCCTCGCGCCTCAGTTCGACCTCGGCACACCCAACACTTCGACTGCCGTCAGCGGTCAAGCGACTCCTGCGCCCGCAGAAGCATCTGAAACGGCTAAGACCTCGCCTCCGAAGTCTCCGGCACCCGAAAAGAATGAAGAGGCGGAACCGGCGCCCGATACTGAGGTCAAGGAGGCTGAGGCGAAGGCTGACGCAGCCTCCGACGCCCCGGAGGTCAAGGTGGACTCTGAATCCAAGGCGGCTCAGTCAACACCTGCTGCTGAGCCAGCTCCCTTTGGCGGGGGCAAGAAGAAGAAGAACAAGAAGGGAAAGAAGGGTGGCAACGCTGGCGCCGAGAAGGCGGAAGACCCGAAACCGGCCGAGGATGCGAAGACCGCCGTTGAGCCCTCAGTAGAGTCCGCCGTTAAGGACGAGACTCCGGCCTCTGTTGAACCAACGGAACCCGAGAAGGTGAAGAAGGACGCCGCCGAGGAGAAGCCAGCTGCCAAGGTCGAGGATGAGGTGCCCGCGCCAATACGGCTGCCAACACCTACGGAGGACGATCCGGCCAAGACGCTGGCGGACACTGAACGTCGATTCGAAGGTAGGACTTGTGACGTAGACCGGGGAGCTGACGTCTAGATCTGTCCAAGCGGTATACTGAACTCCTGTCTCAGTCATACGCGGCCAACAAGGTGCTCAAGGAGCTGACCCCCGTGGACGGTGGCATTGCCGACTCTGACGCCCTCGAGGGATGGGTCCGTATGGTCACTGGCAAGGTGGACATGATCACCACGGAGCTGACCAGATTGCAAGACAAGATGAAGCGTAAGTTCTGGTAGAGTTGGTTCGAACTGACATCCAGTGCAAGAATCGCGCATGCAGGAAATGCGGGAAACGCACAAGCTCGAGTCCAAATCGCAATCCGAGCTCGTTGATCAGCTCCGCTCTCAGCTTTCTTCTGCTGAGTCAACCCTCTCGAAGGGTGCCGACGATGCTGTGACCGTTGGTCAGCTTCGGGCCGATCTCGCCAAGGCGCAGACCACGATCAAGGAGGAAGAGGAAAAGCGTTCAAAGGCCATCAGCCTGCTCAAGACCGTGCGCCAGAAGCTAGTCAAAATCGAGAAGGAGAAGGAGGAGATCGAGAAGGACCGAGCAGCTGAGCGCGCGGAGCGCAGCAAGGCCAACGAGGAGCTTGAGAAGTCCAAAGCCGCGCGTGAGCGTGAGGTCAACCAGCTGCGAAAAGGCTTCGAGAGGGAACTCGCCAGCGCCAAGGAGCGTGCCGAGAAGGATCTCGCTGCCAAGAAGGCTGCATGGGAGCTCGAGATGATCACCACGAAGGTAGGTTGCGAAGGTCGGTCATTTGGCTGACTTCAGGCTGCGCACTCGAAGGAGATCACTGCGAAGAACGCCAAGATCACCGGTCTCGAGACGATAGTGAAGGAAATGCACGCTAAGAACGCGGAGCAATTCGGCACGATCGAGTCGCGGCAAGCCGACGCCGAGTCAGCACGAGCTGAAATGGAACTAGCGCAGACGCGGACGAAGGAGCTCGAGTTCGAGCTGCGTGAGGCGAACGAGCGCATTGCTCTGCTAGAGGATGCCTCGCGGCATGAGGCGGCGCCGGTCGTCGCGCGAGAGGAGACTGCGCCCGGCACGAGCGCGGCGGAGGTGCAGCGTCTGCTCGCTGAGGCCGAGGCGCGGTCCGAGACCAAGCTCAGCGACCTCCGTGCGAAGATCCGCTCGCTTGAACGGGAACGCAACGAGCTCGAGGAGGACTGGGCCCAGAAGCTGGGGCAGCGCGTCCGCGAACTGGAGGCCGTGAGGCGCACGCTAGCCGAAAGGGATGCCGACGCTGCGACAGCCGCTGCCGCACGGAAGGAACGGGATGCGCAGATCGACGCGCAGGACGCGGCGAAGCGTGACCTCGAGCGGCAGATCGTGGAGCTGCGGGCGGCCGTCGACGAGGCTCGCGCAGATGTTGCTGTAGCTCTCGAGGCAGAGCGTGCGGCGCGGGAAGAGCTCGAGACCGCGCAGAGCGGCACGGGTGCACTCCAGCAGCAGCTCGACGAGAGCCGGCAGCAGGTCACCCAGCTCCGTGCCACAAACAAGACCATCCGCGATGAGATGCGCAAGATCCAGAGCTCGGTGCAGCTGATGGAGCGCCAGCGCAACCCGGGTGTCGGATACTGGGCTCAGGGCTCGAACGCTCCCACCCCTACTTCTGCTGCCAGTGACAAGCAGACGAGCGGTACTGCCTCGCCTACTCCAAGCGGGGACAGCAACAAGGACGAAGAGGTCAACCTGGAGTACCTCCGCAACGTCATCCTGCAGTTCCTCGAGCACCGCGAGATGCGACCGAACCTCGTCCGTGTCCTCAGTGTCATCCTCCGCTTCACCCCGCAAGAACTGAGGCGGCTCGAGGCTAAGCTCAACTCGTAACCATTGTATCGTGCCATGTATAGATAGACTAGAGACAACTTGCTGCTGGAATCTTGAATGTTGCTTGACAACCTGGTCGCTTATCAGGGCCAACGGGCAAGTCCGATGACTCACTACGGAAACGCATGTGGGCGGGTACGAGTGGAGGTGGAGGTCCCAGTTGAGTCGATCACGATGGAGCCTGATATTTGAGTCGGAGCCTCGGAATGCTTCTCCTTTGTCAACTTTCATTCCCATCTCACGGAATCCAGGATGGCAGCGACGCAGACAGAGTTCAAGAACACCTGGCAGCCGCCAAAGACTGAGCGCATCCCGAATGTGAACCTCGACACTGAGCCCGAGGACTATGACTTCAACTTCATGTTCGAGCCCAAGGTCCTGACGGGGCACAGGGTCCAGCTCCGGCCGTTTGTCGTGAGTTGCGCACCGTCTCTCTTGGAATTAACGCTCAGCCCAAACTTCACGCCAAGCTGCTGTATGAGGGTACGAAGGCGCACCCTGAGGTCTTGACGTACATCCCGAGTAACGTGAACACGAGCGTCGACGAGGCGTGTCAGTTCCTGGAGGCCGGGCGACGGAACCCTGTAGGTCTTGCTTCCGTGGACTAGAGAGAAGCTGACAGCAGGCCGACCTTCGCCACGCCATCTATGCCGCGCCGCTGGACAATCAGACGACTGCCCCGGAGGACTATGTGTTTGCCGGCACGGTGACGCTGATGGAATGCAGCCGCGCGCACATGATGGGCGAGATCGGGTGGCTCATCGTGCTTTCGCCGTTCCATGTGAGTTTACTCGGCTGTTGTCTGAAACTGACGGCAGCGCACATACGTCACGACGGAGACGGTGGGCCTGCTGATGCACCGCATCCTCGATGCTCCGGAGGATGGTGGCCTGGGCCTTCGCCGTTGCCAGTGGAAGGCCAACTCGATCAACGCTCAGAGCGCTAAGACGGCCGCCCGCATGGGTTTCACGAAGGAAGGCGTGCTCCGTGCTCTCATCGTGCTTCCCGAGGGCAAGATCGGCGTCAGGGGTGGGTACGACAGCTGGGATGGGGAATGCTTCAAAGCTGACAGAACAGAGGGCCGGCAGGGCGTCGAGAACGCACAGTGCATGGTTCGCGACACGTTCATGGCGAGCGTCACCTGGTATGAGTGGGAGGAGGGCGTCAGGGAGCACGTCGACAAGCTCATGGCCCGTGGCCTCGAGAAGTGAACTGCAACTGTTTTCCTCAGCACTTCTGAAAGATAGATAGAATACTAGACGCATAGAACATGTGTCTATAGCTTCCTTGAACCGTCTCTTGCTGTCATGCATGTATTACGGAGGGATCAGTGGCAAAAGGAGCGCCATAGGGAGGGGAAAGGGAAGACACTCCACCCTGGATTGTTTGTCTCCAGGCACGGTCATGATACGCGCCCAATTTGATGCCGCCAGTTGACGCGACCAGACTTCGGGCGAGGAAGGTCATGTAATGTCCTCGACACTCTATACTCCACCAGCACTCGCATTGTCTTCCTTCCCTCGCGGGATCTCGTCAACATGGCAAGAAGCTTGTCGCGCAGCCCTAGGCGGCGTGACAGCACGGAAAGCGAAGATGAGGGAGACCGCTCCGTAAGTTACAGTCTGGCTGTGGTGCACTAACTTCGCGTCAGATTAAACGCGTGAAACTCGAGAGGACAGCGGCGACCGAGGATCCGGAGGACGACGCAATGGACTACGATCCTTCCGATCTCGATGACGACGAGAAGAATGAGCAGGCTTTCAATGCAGCGCGCGCTAGGAGGGGCCGCTACATGGGCGTGAGTGCAGTGGAGCCAGCTTCATAGGTGACGCCCCTAGCTGACCAATAACAGACTGTGTCGGAAGCTGGAGTTCTCAAGAGTATCAATCTCGTGAACTTTATGTGTCACAAGAACTTGACAGTGCAGTTCGCGCCGCGCTTGAACTTCCTCGTCGGTCACAACGGCAGCGGCAAGAGTGCCGTCCTCACCGCCGTCGCAGTGGCCCTTGGAGCCAAGGCGGCAATCACTGGTCGTGGCCAGGGGATAAAGGACTTGATCATGCACGGTGCAGAGTAAGTGATTCTGTGCGGTTAGAGACTGACACTCAGCCGCGCGATCATCACTCTCACGATCGCCAACAAGGGCCCAGATGCGTTCGAACCCGACAGGTACACCGACGACATCATCATTGAGCGTATCATTGATCGCAATGGTACTTCGCAGTACAAGTTCCGTACGGTTCGTGGCGGCAACATCATCGAGAAGAAGTCGATCGAGCTCAAGAACATCATGAACCACTTCAATCTCGACATTGACTCTCCGCTCACGCTCCTGACGCAGGACGCCGCAAAGTCGTTCCTCGCTACCACGGATGAGCGCAAGCTGTACTCGTTCTTCCTCCGAGGTACGAACCTCCAGTTTCTGGCCGACTCGTACAGCGCTACCCAGTCTACGGTGCTGAAGATGGAGCGTGAAGTTGCTGCTGCCAAGGAAGCCGAGCCTGGTCTGGAAGCCAGGGTGAGGCGCCTGGGGGCGCAGATCCAGGTGGCGAGAAGAGTGGCTGATATTCGTCTCGAGCACGACCGATGCCGGAGAGAGCTCGCGTGGTCCTATGTCATCCAGAAGGAGAAGGATGTCGAGGACATGACGGAACGACTCGACCAGGAGAAGGAGAAGCTGAAGCAAGTTGAGGAGGAGATTAACAAGCACAAGGTACGCCATGCCAACTTCCCAGGATACTGACGACAAGTCCAAAATTGCAAAGCTCACCGAGGATATCAGCGAGCTCGAGACCGAGGCTCAGGAGGATCTTAACGAGATTGTGCCTCTGAAACTGGAGAAAAAGGACGCGAAGAAGGAATTGGCGAAGGCGGAGTCGGAGGTAGAGATGGTCAACGTAAGTCTCCGCGCCCTCAATGATCTGACCCGCAGGAATCAATCGAGGAACTCAGGAGCGAGATCAAAAGGAAGAAGGCCGAGGTCGCCGATCTTGACAAGAAGATTGCTGCCAAAGCCCGTGATCAGGGCTCTGCAGTGGACCCTCAGATGGAAGCGCTCCGCGATAAGATCAAGCACCACCAGGGCCTTCTTCAGAACATGACCCGAGCTCAGCCCACGAAAGAGAAGGAAGCGAGCGATGCAGAAGCTGCTTGTCAGGTGGCTGAGCAAGTTCAGCAGGCCAAGGCGGCTTTGAGAGACGAAGCTGCCCAAGCTCTGGATCAAGCGCGGAGGAATCTGCAGCCGTTTCAGAGAGCATCCCGCGACGGTCTCGAGAAGTTTGGTAACAACATCAGACTGGTCATGGATCGTATCCAGAAAGCGACCTGGCGAGCTGGGACCCCGCTCGGACCGCTGGGTCGATACGTCCAGCTCGAAGATGAAAGCTACCGTGGCGTGCTCGAATCCTTCCTCGGAGGTCTGATGAACTCCTTCGCTGTTCGATGCGATGAGGACCGCTTGACGCTTCTGAAGATCCTTACCGAGTGTAGTCGTGGTACCAACGGGTACGCTGTCGCGGGGATTGCAAGCAAGTTCCCGCCCGTACTGCAGTGGCGAGGTGACATGTTCGACTACTCGCGAGGTGACCTCTCATCGAGAGGAGAGACTATCCTTAGCAAACTCAAATTCTCCAACGAAGAGGTGCTCCGCATCTTCATCAACCAAGCTCGCATTGAAAGGGTGTTTGTCGCGAGAACAGCGCATGCGGGCAAGGACCTGATCGATCGGCTACTAGGTTCGAACGTGAGCGACCAGATTACGGTGCTCAGTGCGGATATGAAGAACCAGACGGGTCGAGCCAAGTGAGTACAGGTCCGCAGTCCACGGCTAACGGAGCAGCATGACGCAGTTGAACCCCCTGCCCAACTGGAGGGGCCCGGGCCTGTTTGTCAGGGACACGGAGGCCGAGCGCCGCAACCTCGAGGGAAGAGTTCAGGTTGCCGAGCAGGAACGCGACAGAGCTCTCGCCGAGATGGATGCTGCTGTCCGAGCTAAGCGGGATGCGGACGGCAAACTTCGGGCTGCAAACGTGAGTCTTTCAAGTTGAATGCGCTGACCAGCAGCAATCTTTGCAGCGTCTCCAGGAGGGTCGCCTCAAGATGGAACGATCACTCCGGCAGTTCGATGATGAGCTGGAGAAGCTTCAGCCGACGACTGGAGACGCTCTGATCTCGACACGCTCTGAAGTGGAAGCCGAGATCACTGATTGTGAGAAGCAGTTGGCCCTGCAGGAGGGTGCTCTCAAGCGCGTCATGCGAGCTCAGCGGGAAGCTGAGGACAAGATCAAGGAGCTCGATGAGAAGCTTAACAGCGGAACTTATCGGCAGAAGAAGGTAAGCTCGCAATTGCCATTGAAGCTGACGTTGTCAGGAAGCCATTAACGAGATGATGGTGCAGCGAACTGAGCTTCAGCAAACCATCAATATTCGCAAGGAAGGTCAGAAGCGTTATGAAGGGCGCATCACTGTGATGACGGCTGAGCTTGAGAAAGTTCAACGGATGGCTATCGAGTGGTCCGTCAAGGCGGAAGGCTTCGGTGATCGCGTCGAGACCACGAGGACTTCCGAGGCCATTAAGAAGAACAACGACTCGCTGGAGAGGCAGCTGAAGGAGGCGGAGAAGCAGTGAGTAACTACAGCCGGTTTCCAACTGCCTTCACCCGATAACTAACGCTCAGGACAAACATCAACCTCGACGACCTCACTGCCAACTACGAGGAGGCCCTGCAAAAGCTAAACGAGTCTCGCACGAAGATCCACGGCGTGGAGACGCTGGCTGCGGAACTGAAGAAGAATGTCATTCAGCGCCAGACCAAGTGGCAGGAGCTCCGTCACCACGTCGCGGTGCGAGCTCGCACAGCCTTCATTGCCAACATTCACAAGCGTGGGTTCGATGGCCGTCTCGTTTTCAACCACGACAATGAAACTCTGTCTCTCCGTGTGCAGACGAACAATGTCGGCAAGGAGACCCAGGGAGGCGCGAGCCAGTACACCAAGGCGCCCATCAATCTCTCCGGTGGTGAGCGGTCGTACTCGACCGTATCCTTCCTGGCGGCGCTGTGGGACACGTCCGGTAATACAATCCGCTGCCTCGATGAGTGGGATGTGTTCCTGGACATGGTCAACCGCAAGATTGCGTCTAACCTTCTCATTGAAAGCGCGCGTGAGAGTGATAACAAGCAGTACATCTTCATCACGCCCCAGGACATGGCGGGCATGACGACCAAGGCGAACGAGAAGGTGATCCGTATGTCGGATCCTGTGCGCGGACAGCAGACGCTCCCCTTCGCGCCACAATAGCAATGTGCGTGAAATGAGGAGTGAGCGCGGCGGAGGACAAATGTACGATAGGCAGACTTTGTATTTGGCATGTATGCATTGGGCGAATAGCGTCCCGCTGTGAGTAAAGAAGCTCTAGTGCAGGAGTGCGGAGTGGTGTTGGACCGCGGGTGCATGTTGATGAGGGGATGAACGTTTGTTGATTAGCCTTTTGGGTGAATGGGTTTCTGGGTAGGAACAATTCAGGCTGACACAAGCCCTGCAGACGTGTGCCCTGCGTAATCCCTGCGCCCCTGATGTCATATCCTGCTAGCTCTGCTAGCTCGTCGCGTCTCGTCAGCCGCCGACGTGGTTGGCTGCATCTGTTAGCCCATAGATAAGACCACATGGAGCGGCCAGCTTGCTTCCTGAACGTTGGCGCGCGATACGTCCGAGCGGACTGCCGAACGGACAGTGCGCGGCTGCGGCGCGGTTTGATGGATCTTGGAAAGTTCCTGATATAGCGACTGGGCAGTGCGAGTTGGGAAGTTGGGAATGCGGCGACTTGCGCATTCACTGTTTCTTGAAGTTCGAGCCTGTGGCTTCTGGAATGTCACAGTCATCGACTGCGATGGCTGTAGCGAGTTGCACGCGATACGTAGGCATCTCTACGAGGGACCTAGCCGGAAAGGGAGTTAGGATCCGGAAGCGATGGCAACGGTCGCTGCGTCTGAATCAGAAACACGGAGCCGCGATTCTTTTGCACTGCTATCAGGAGCGGTGGAGGAGCTTACGTCAATCCAAGACTACCTCTGTGGGCTCAGTGGGACAAAGTTGGCCTGAACATTGACTACGGGGTGAGCCTGAGCATGCATTCCCGCAGCCATCACATGCCGCACCGAAGCCCCTTCGGCCCCTTGTTGCCCTTGTTCCCATACCCTCCATCCGAGTTCTACTCCGTCCTGCCTTTCTCACTAGCTGGTATCTGGAGAAAGCTACGGGAGTCGCAGGAATCACAGGAGGCACGGCATACCCCTGTCGTCGCAGCTCCGAGAGATGAGATCGTCTCCGTTCCTCGTTCCTCTCTCCCTCCACCTCTGCTCTCTCATGCTTTACGCTCTGACTTGACGCCTGAGCTGACCATGCCCATCTTGGCGGGTTTCGAATGCACCCCGCCGACTCTCATAAGCCTGACTTGCTCGGCAGTTAGGTTTCTGATGTCGATGTCTTTCGTTTCCTTCTTGACCACTCACCATTACCTGCCGGCCAGCGGCACAGCCAGCGCACGCGTGCACGCCCCGTCGCGCTAGCCTTATCTATCGACAGCGGAGGTGCGAGGTAAAAGTCCAAAGCAAGAACGGAACCCCTCTTCGGCCGTTTTCTCGGCGACAGGCGCAAGAAGGTGACAGACTGCCCTAACGCCATCAAGGAATAGCTCGGGTTGAGCGCAGCAGCAGCACGACATTCAGACCATTTATTTCGGCGACCGCAGCGCGCAGCCCGCCGATCGGCACTTGGGTCGTATTTTTACGCGTGCGCGCCCTTCTTCGCGGCCCTCGCACCGCTGCACCTGCAACCTGCTGCAGCTCACAGCGTGCAGCCTTAGTCTGCGTCGTCTGAGTGTCTCTTCGCTCCGTCCATTCTACCACCACTTTGCTGTTTGGCGACCTCGCCGCTGAGTGTGCTGTCGGTTGAGCGCACAACGCTCCTTCCACCTCTCTTCCCTACCTCCTTGCTGTCTCGTCGCCCTCTCAAAACAGACATCGACCACTCTAACAGCTGCGACTTCCGCAGCAGTGTCAACACCAACACGACCCAAGAGCTCCAGCGATCAGACGCTCCGCAATGTTGCAGCACAAGTACGAGCTGCTCCCTGGCGGCGGGACGCAGAGCGAGCGCTGGGTGTACTCGCGCCAGAAGCAGCTGTTCGGAATGATGGCTCTGGGCACAGTCCTCATGATCCTTGGCTTCGGCTTTGCATTCAAGGAGTGGCTGTGGCAGTCGGTTCCGACCCCGCTTGCAGAGGCGAAGCTGGGCGACTGGGTCGGAACCGACGGGCTCGGGCGGAAATTCTACGAGCTTGGACCCAAGGCGGACGAGAGCTACCATATTGGCTTCGTCGAGGGATATGAGGGCACGACGGAGTGAGTAGTTGATCTTGCAGGGCAATCTACGTGAGCGATAGTGTAGAGCTGACGGCCAGATTCTTTGTCAACCTGTGGCAATTCACGTCGACGCTCATTCCCGATTCGCTCCGTGGCAGGTTCCAGGCTGGGATTCATGCGCACCTCCCGCCGTCGCACAAGTCGATGTATCTGGCCCCGTCGGGGCAGGACATGGAGGCGCCGCTGAAGCCGATGTGGGACTTCAAGACGATCTTCCAGACGGACAAGAACGAGACGAAGACGGGCGCCAAGTGGGTCGAGGACAATCCCGGATGGACGCTCGACTTCTACAGCGACGACGCTGCCGAGCGATTCGTGCGCGAGACATTCCCTCCCGCCGAGCCACCAAAGGATCACAACGACCGTGACATCCAGGACGTCTCATGGACGTGGCACACGCTGAACCGGGGCGTGCTCAAAGCCGATTTCCTGCGCTACCTTCTGCCACTGGTGAAGGGAGGCGTATACGTCGACACGGACACGACGCCGACCGAGCCCATCTCCGAATGGGGCCGGCACGAGGTGCACTGGCTAAACGTGAACCGGACCGACGGGCCGGGGTGGCGGCAAAAGTTCGAGGGGCGGGACGCGGCGATTGTACTCGGCATCGACGTCGATGTGCACTCTGACCTGAACTGGCAGCGCAACTGGCCCCGACCCCTGGGTATCTGCCAGTGGGCGCTGGCGAGCGCGCCCTCGCACCCCGTCATGCTCGAGGCGGTGCGTCGCGTCGTGCGCAACACGGCCTACGTCTCTGCCATGCACGAGTACGAGGAGCAGAAGAAGCAGCTCGAGGACGTCGAGAAGAGCTTCCGCGCCGCGAAAGCGAAGCTGGAAGAAGAGGGCCGGACGGCACTCCAGATCGATCGCCCTCTCGTACAGCACGACAGTCCCCATGAGGAGACCTTTGACCACCTCTCCGTCATCAACTGGACTGGCCCCGGAGTCTTCACGGACGCGGTCATGGCGTACCTCCTCGCCCGATATCGAGTTAGTTGGAAGGACCTCCGCGGCATCACGCGCCCAACGCGGATCGGCGAGGTCCTCATCCTCCCTATCACGGCGTTCAGCCCCGGCGGCCACAAGGACTTTGGCGCCGGACGCGTGGGGAACCCGCAAAACGCCCTCGTTCACGGGTTCAAGGGAAGTTGGAAGAAGGAGGGCTGGTAGCCCGGTCAGTAGCCAGCAGTAGTGTATTAGTCTTACAACCTCACCCGGCCCATGTCTGCTGCCGCTGCTCGTAGATATGCTGTGCTGTAATGGAAATATGCATCTATGGAAACACCTGAAGACCAGAAAACACCCCTCTGTCTACTTCTTGCCCTTCTTGGGCCCCTTCTTGCCCTTCTTGTCGAGGTTGACGCGGACCTTCTTGGCGCGCATACCCTCGTGGTCGAACGCCGACTTGGACTTTTTGGCGCTCGGGGCCGTCTTCTTGCCTCCATCGGCGGCGGGCGCGGCCTTCTTGCTCTTGCCCTTCTTCTTGGGCTGGAGCTTGGGCTGGTTCTCCGTAATCTTCTGGGGCCTAGAGGCCTTCTTCGCATTACGAATCGCCATGGCGGTGGCCTTGCTCGCGGCGCGGTCTGCCTCGTCCTCCTCGCGGGCCATCTTTTTGCGCTTCTCGCGACGAGAGAGGCCGTCATACTTGCCGTGCTTCTCCTTCTTCTTCTCGGCCTGCTGCTGCTGCTGCTCGAGCGCCTTGCGCTCGCGGCGCGACAGCAGCTGCTCCGTCGCGCCCTGGTGCGCAGACTTGCCCGCCTCTTTCGCGGCCGCCTTCTCCTTCTCGCTCTGGAACCATGTGCGCGCCGGGCGAGAGTAGATCTCGGCCTCGTGCTCGACCATGTTCTGGCCCTTGCGCAGCTCCATGTCCGCCTGCCGGAGGAGCTTCTCCTCGCGCTCCTCGGCGAGAACGGCGGAGATCTCCTCCTTCAGCTCATCGAGCTTGGCAGACATTGCCTGCACCGCCTCGGGCGGGATGATGCGGTGGCGGATCTGGTCCTTGTCGCTGCGCTTCATGACGGCCTTGAGCATCTTGCGGTCCGGCTCGCCGACTAGCGAGATCGACCGTCCCTTGCGTCCGGCACGCGCCGTTCGTCCGACACGGTGCACGTACTGCGCCAGCTGGCCCGGCATGTCGTAGTTGATAACGGTCTCGACACCCTTGATGTCGAGACCACGCGAGGCGAGGTCGGTGGCGAGGAGGTAGTCAACGCGGCCGGCCTTGAAGTCGTTGAGGGCGACGAGACGCTGCTCCTGCGTCAGGTTACCGTGCAGCTCGGCGGCGACGAGGCCGCAGAGACCAAACACGACACGCATCTGGTGCGCGAGCGCCTTGGAGCGGAAGAAGATGATCGCCTTCTCGTGAACAGTACGCTTGCAAAGCGTGAGAAGCGCCGGAGAGCGCGTCTCCTCGGAACGCACACGGACAAACTCCTGCGTCAGGCCAGCCGCCGTGTTGCGCTCCTTGTCGACGAACACGCGCACGGGGCGGTCGAGCGAGAGCTTGACGAGCTCGTCGACACTGTCCGTCATCGTGGCGGAGAACAGCATTGTCTGTCTTCCGCGCGGGCACTGGCGCACAATCTCCTCCAGCTCGTCCGTGAATCCAGCCTCGAGCATTCGGTCCGCCTCGTCAATGACGAGAATGTCGAGCGCGCCGAGGGTAAACGAGGGCGTGTTCGTCAGGTGGTCGATGAGACGACCCGGGGTCGCAATGAGAATGTCGGGAAGCGTGCGGAGGGCGTGCGCCTGCGCGTTCAGGGAGAGACCACCGACGAGAAGAGCGAATCGAACATCGAGGCCTCCACGCTCGGCGAGCGCCTTGCCGACCTGCTCGCACTGCACAGCCAGCTCACGCGTCGGACACAGCACGAGCACACGGCACGCGGCACCTCCCTTCCCTCGGTCGCGGTACTGCAGACGCTCGAGAATCGGGATCATGAACGCCGCAGTCTTACCCGAACCCGTCACGGCGGATCCGAGAATGTCACGGCCAAGAAGAGCGAGCGGGACGGCGCGGGACTGAATCGGCGTAGGGGCGTTGAAACCGAGGCTGCTGAGAGCGCGGAGGAGAGGGCGGGAGAGGTTCATCGAGGCGAAAGTGGTAGGGAGATCAGACTTCTCCTTGTCGGCTGTCGGGTCGGCGCTGAAGAAGGCGTTCTTGCGCGCAATCTCAGCCTCGTCCTCCACGGACTCGGCGTCAGAGTCGGAGTCGACATCCTCGTCCATCGCCTCATCATCGTCTTCCTCGTCCTCCTCGTCGTCCTCCTCGTCACCCTCGGAACCGATATCGATGTCGCCAGAGACGTCCATCTCCTCGTCCTCCTCCTCTCCGCTCTCTCCATTTTCCTCCTCGTCCTCATCGCTCTCCTCGTCCCCCTCGTCCTCATCGTCCTCATCGTCCTCATCGTCCTCATCGCTGCCCTCGGCCTCCTCCGCCCGTCTCCGCTTGCGTTCCCGGAACGGGGCGAGGGGCTTTCCAGTCCTTCGTGCGATGATGTCGTCAACGCTAATCGCCTCATTTCCGCCCTTCACCGTATCCGTGCCGTTTCCCCAGAGGTCGAGAGTACCGGGTCCAGCACCGCCGAGGTCGAAAACAAAGTCAGTGTTGAGCTCGTCACTGGGTCCGCCCTGGTTCTGGGCCGATCCGCCCTTCTTGGACGACTCAACCTCGAGAATCGGTCCCTCGTCGTCCGAGTCGATCGTCCCGATGAAGTCGAGAGGCATTCTGGTGTCGCTGTTGTTGTTGGGTGTGCAACACGGCTGATGGCGGCGAGAGCGTCATGAGGGTGGACTTCTGCTCGCAGGAAATTCTGGAGTCACGTGAGCCCCGGGAGGCGGCGATGGAGGATGTGTCCGCCGCTGCCGTCACCGCCCTCGACCTCCACCGAGATAAGCAAGTGACGCTGCAAGTCAGCAACGGCCACCTCGACAACGCCTAGACCTCTTCGACGAGCTTGAAAATCTTCATTTGAGAATCTTCATCAGTTCATCTCGGATCGGCAATACCAAGACAACCTTCGCACCTGCGGATCGGCCCACCCGAGCTTGCAACCTGGGTTGTTGGACATTCGAATGTTGTTTAGCTGCCCGTCTTTCGCAGTGTTTCAACTGCACGCACTTTCGCCCCCTTCCTCCTTCTGTGATGGTCACGTATCATTGTCCATCGAGCGAAATCACCATCAAACATCCAGTTCTGAGCCGGGCTCCGCGATTAAGCTTACAGAACATGACTCACAGCTCCTGATCCAAGCTTATTGTCAGTGCGGCTTCCGGTCGGCCAGCCTTGGCTGGGAGGCAGGCAGACAGAGCGCCACGGCACACCGTTATGGGAAACCCATCGCACGGACCGGCGCACGTCGCCTCGTCCCTAAAGCTTTGCGATCACGATCGCATTTCCGTCGTCGACGCACCTGGCTACGGCGGCCCCAGCGGCGTCATCCGCTGCCGCTATGCCGACCTGAAGATCGGAGCACACCAGGGCGCTTGGACGCCAGAATGCCAGGCGCTCCAAGGCATCAGTGCTCCAAGCTCTTTCCCCAGCTCCCAAGCTTCTAGACCATGTCCTTCAAGCCAGACCTCCCACGCCCAACGACAGCAACAGGTCGGCGTGATAGCGTCAGGCATACGGTCCAGGACCCACGAGATAGCGACCCTCGGAACGTGAAGCAGTCTGAAGCGACCGAGGCCTGTCATGCGCATTGTTCACTGGTTCTCTAGCCCCTTGAAACCACCGGGGTTATCTTGCCTAGCCCTCGGCTGGCTCGCTCTATCTGCACTCCCTTCTCGCTTCCCTCTGGGCGCTCTGGCGCTCTCCGGCGCCTCTGCATCAACAGTCTCACAGGACGCCAGCGCACTCACGCATGACTGACCACTTTGCCTCTCCCACTAAGTGTCCACACGCAGGAACAAAGCAACCATCAAGCTAGCTCCGAAACATCAGCGTCGAGGACAAAGGTACACCACGCTTGCCTCACCCTAAGCTCCCGCTGAAATCGTGATCGCTCCGACGCCATCCCCTACACGCATGTCCTTTCCGTCCTGATATCTTTTCCTGAGGTGCTTGGCCTTACCAAGCCTGCGGCTCGCGCGTCTCGCCTGTTCTTTGCTGAGCCCACTACTGAGCAGAGCGCTTTGACCCTTCCAGTGTTCACGACATTACCTCCTCAGCTGTTACATTGTCGCTCCTTCGGTACAACAACAACACTGCGCCAACCAACCTTAGTCACTCTTTTGTCCAGTTGTGTCAGCCTTCAAAAGGCTCATTATAATAGCGACGATGTCTTCTTCGACGTCGTCGAGTCCGCCTAGCTCCCCGTCATCGCCGTTGACGTTGGAAGGTTTCCAGCTGCTGACCGCCCAAACGATCTCTGCCCCAGCACACGGTCCTGGAAAGGGTCCAGAAGATATCGAAAGCTTCACCAGCAATCGACCGAACCCTGTCCGTTCCCTCTCTCAAGATTCACAAGGATCCTTTGGCTCTCGAGGACATCGCATCGCGGGACGGGCGAGTGTGACACTCTTGCGGGTGTCCGATATCAAGCTCAGCAACCGATCTTCTTGGAGTTCGGCGACATCCTCGCCCCCGCCTTCGGCTCGTAGCATCATGCCGGATAGCTCGCCACCTAGACTGCCGCAGACGCAAACACAGACCTCTCCGTCTCAGGACACGTACACGCGAACTCGCAGCATTGCTCGAGCCAGCCGACCACCAGCGTTGCCGTTGGCTTCTAGTTCGCACGATGGGCTGGGCGGTGCTTCTGGTTCGCCACCTGACCGACTCTTGGTGAGGGCCCCGACGCCTCCCAAGTCCCGGCGGCAACGCACGTTCACCGTTCCTCCAGATGCAACAGAGCCTCGAGGCGCTTCCACTGCGGCTCCCGCCACCCCTACTGCACCTGAGCCGACATCGGCGCACTCGCACCGTAGCTTTGCAACGTTTGGAGGGGACCGCGAGGCAGAGTCTCCCAGAACTAAGGATCCGCCTCTGCCAGCGCCTCCATCGGTTCCTCACCGAGCGCCATCCCCGCGGGCGAGGCACCAGTCACTCGACACCCGCCAAGCACCGATTCCACACCCTCCACGGCTCAGTTCCATCAGCCATTCGGGTGTCCCCGATCTGCCCAAACTTCACGTTCCAACTCGGACCTCCTCGCTTGCGACGACGGGATCAGGGGTGGCCGCTGGCAACACAGCACACGTCCAGATTTCGAGCCGGCATCAGACTCGCCCCAGCAAAGCGCAGCACACCAGAGACGACAGCGACACGCTGGGTCCTTCTCCCTGGGCCAATCGGCGCGCTCGGGGCAGCAGCGTCTACGACAACGCAGGAGGGTCAAAGAGCTGCATAGAGCTCGTCAGGGCGCTCGAGTGAGTTGATCGCCGCAGGTTGTAACTGACCCACAGCAACCCTCTCGGACATCAGCTCGAGCCCGCCGACGAGCACGATGCGCTGACCGAGTCTCCCTCTGTCGATCATAACATGATGTCAGAAAGTGGGCTCAGCATCGCCCCATTGCTCCCCCGTGCATCAGCAGACTCATCGCTGCGCCCATCAGTGTCAAGCGACAGCGGACATACGCGGCCCATTCTCCTCCCGAACCCGCAAGACGTGGTGCGCCTCCCGCCAGTTCAGAGCCTTCCCCAGCGCTCCAAGCCGCGCGTGCGTATCTCACAGTCGGTCGACGGTCACTCCCTCAGCACTGCGACGCTCGAACAACAACAAAAGGCGCTCCTGATCCGCCGCAACCGCAAGCTCGGGCAGGTGCTGGGTGTGTCGCTCCCCGAGTCCGACGTGGGGCAGTACGTCGTCGAGCCTTCCGTCGCAAGCACGACTGTGCTCACGAAGGTCGAGGCGTCGTGGCCGGAGAACCGCGGACCAGAGTGGTCTCGCGACGACTGTGTGCCACATCTCGCGGACGAGGAGGACCACGAAGACCGCATGCCGCGCCGCACGAAGAGCAAGCTGAGGCGACCGATCGAGGCGGTGAAGGTGCCGGAAAACCTGCAAGTGTACGTCAGTCGCGAGACGAGTGTGACGGAGACTGTGGCGCCTGCCACTCACAATCCGCTTGACAGTGCGCCGAGCAGCCCGCCATCGACACCCCCTCAGACACGCGAGGAGGCTATCCGGGCCCGCCGCCGTGCCCAGCTCGCAAAGCTGCAGCGCATCCTGGGCTCGCCTATCAGTCCGCGTTTGGTTCTCGCGCCCGACGACGATGTCCCCACCTGTGGTCCGGTGCGGTCGCCCTCCGAGACTTCTCTCGGCAGTCCCCGCCTCCCCCTCCGCGAGCGCGTCAAGAGCTTCGTAATCCCCAGCCCGATCTACGCTATGAGCGAGACGGAGCGGCGGCTCGCGCGCAAGCGCGCCTCGAAGCTCGAGCACCTGTTCGGCGACGCGCCGCCGACCGAGATGATCTTCCCGCCCGTCAAGCACGAGGCGGCGCACAAGCACGCCCTCGACAAGATCCGGGAGGGAGCGCCCACCGTCGGCGTGGCAATGGGCGTGCCCGGCATCGAGGAGAATAGGATGTTCATCAGCACCTCGCCCGCAGCGGCTGTCTACCACACCCCCGAAGAGACGTTTGAGGGGTATCGCCACTCGCTCCTCGGCCTCATGAACCTCATTGAGCACGACCAGGTCCGCCTCGCTGCCATTGTGGACCAGCTCGAGCCGCAGCTCTACACTCTCCACATCCAGAGCTCGCTCGCGCTGCAGATGGGTCGCCACCCACGTCCAGGACTGGGACATCCGGGACAGCAACAACGACCCGCTCGCACTAACCAGGCGAGCGGCCCCCGGCAGTCGCACCACGGCGACGTCGTGCTCAACCCCGGCCCCACCACTCTGCAGAGGAGGAGTAGTGCTCCGCCCCTCCCCAGCTTTTCTCGTGCGAACGGAGCCCCAGACGCCAAGGGCACGCCTGCCAACGGCGCTGCCAGCTCGCATGGCCACGGTCCCCGAGCCAGCGTGCACACCCACGACCCAGGCCACGGCCGGCAGGGCAAGGGGCACACGCCTCACGCCTCCGTCTCATCCACACACGAGCGGCACGAGCGACCCTCGCTGCAGTCTCAGCGCGGCCACGCAGACCCGTTCAGCGAGTATCTGCGCTCGCAGTCGGCCGAGTCGCGCTTAGATATCTCAGCCCCCCACGAACGTGAGGCGTCTTCGGCCACCAACTCGACTGTCCGCGCCGCTCCTTCTTCTCTCGGTCACGGAGGACACGAGAAGGACAAGGAGGTTCTGAAAGACAACCCGAGGGAGAAGAAGGGCCCGTACGGGACACACGCGACCTCGCCGCGCATGCTGAGCGGGTTCTTTGGCAAGCCAAAGCAGGCAAAGGGGCATATGCCCCACGGCTCTGTGTCTGTTATGAACCTGTCGCGGATCCCGCAGCAGGCCCACCCCGCTCATGCTGCCCACCCACCCCACGCACCGCACCACCCCCATCAGCACCACCCTCAACACCCGCAGCACCCTCAGCACCCGCAGCCGCAACACCAGCGCGAGACCACGCAAGAGAAGGAGAAGGACGACTCGCCGCCCGCGGCAGCGCGCGCAAAACGGGGCCGCAAGTTCTCAAAGCTCTTCAGCAGTCATCCTAAACCACCCCCGCAGCCCATGATCCTTCGCCCGAATCCGTTCTACATCCGCCGGCAGACGCTGGACGGTGTGCTCGCCGAACTGAGGCGCAGCTTCCTCCTCGATCTCGACCATGGGCGGCTTAGACCGCACGACGCGCATATCCTGCACGACATGCTTGAGCTTTTGAACCACATGCGCGCGGGCTCGCCTTGGGCCGAACTCGAGGATTCTGAGTGGTAAACATTGGGGCGTATCGACATTCCTTTTCATCATCATCATCATCAAGCAGCTGTAGTTCTATCTTTTGACAGAATTCTATATTTTTCCGTGTGTTCGAACGAGTCCCCGAGGAGAGCGCGAGAGAGAGGAGGAAAGCCATGACTACCGTATACATCGTGTGTAATCCTACATTTTATGCAATATGCTGCTGTGTTTTGCGTATAGTTTTACAAATGAATCGCGCTGTCGCGCGCGAGATGCTGATCGTGCACGTGCACGTCCTCCTCCATGCCGACAAAGAGGTCCTCAAAGTCGCGCACGGTCGACTGAGAAATGACACCGAACGCGTCCTGCAGCAGCCCGCCGAGGTAGTCGAGCTCGGCGATGACCTCCTGCATCGCGAGCGCATAAGCGAAAAAGAGCAGGTGCCGACCGCCACCACGGACGGACCGGCGCTTCACGACGTCGAGCGAGCGGATCGCATCGACTAGACGCTCGCGCGAGGCTTCGGCCGGCGGCAGGTACGGCGGCATCGGGGTGCGGAGATCGAAGCCGGCTGATAGGGTATAGAACTGCCGTTAGTTGTTCAGAGCGCCATGATAACTTACGTAGAGGATGACATTACCGGCCATTTCTCGTTGCTCGCGATTTACGGGAATGATGAACGCCTGTCGCACGCTCTGTCTGTCAGCTTCTCGGCTTGCGACGTTAAGCCCACCTGGTCCCACTCATGTCTCGTCGTCACGCAGCGCATGCTGTGCAGCTTATCGAGCATTCGCTCACAGCTGAGCAAAACCTCATGATAGAAGTCGAATGGGAACGGACCCTTGAGACGCGGCTCGTTTGCCGCATGCTGCAGAAGCCCGCGCAGGTTTGCGAGATGACCTTGCAGGTGCAGCTCCATCGCCATGAATTGCCGAACCCCGCGACCCAGGTGGTGGCGTTCTGCCACGGTCGGCAGGATCGGGGACGTCTCCGAGGGCGTGTCGTCCGAGTCAGGCTCATCGAGCTCCTCCGTCCCACGGCTGTAGGCCGTCACCAGCTTGGAGTAAAGATAAGAGAGGTCGAGACAGAATCTGCATGTCAGCTAGTCACGATTGCATTAGAGCTTACTCGGAGAGACCCGTCCGCAGCTCTCTACGCGCGGTGTAGGGCCACCAATAGCGAGATACTATTCCAGCCCAGATGACGCCGGCAGTCACACCAGTGACTCGACGGAAAGCGATCGTCGACGGCTCCAGATCCTTCTCACGCAGGTTGTAGGCGTAGAGGCACGTGAGGTTCTGTCGTCAGCTTCATGGCGTCGGCGAGCTCACGTATGTAAGAAGAACGAATCGTCCTGCCTGCGCATAGTTGGGGTATTGCGTGATGATGTAGAAGCAAGGGAGCGAGAACAGGAAGCCGAAGATGGGCAAAGCGACGGCGTTCTCCGGGAAAAGCGTGCAAGCAATGACGGCGACGACACCTCCGGCGCTGATGGTTAGCTATCTCAGAGCCTCGGAGCTTACATCGTGCCAACCACTCGGAAGAAAGACAGGAAGTTGGTCTGGCCAACGGTTAGACTCATGCTGGCGAAGAACGCAATCAGCGCCCACTCGCCCCGGAACTTGAGAAAGGTGCCGCGGGTGGACTCGATGAACGCAGGCGCAGCGAGCATGGCTCCGGCCACGCCAGTCTTGATCGCGTATCGCATGTCAGGCTCGCTGAGACGTGCGCCAAACTCCCACACCCCCTGGTACAGCTTGGACAGACCCCTCAGGTTGGACCGGCGCGGCGTCAGGAGTGTACCACGCTCGTCACGCTTGTTGCGGGGGAAGAGCGCCGGCTGGAGCTTGCTCGGGTCGATAGGCACCAGTTTCTCTGTGGCAGGTTAGCCGGAGTATCGTCGCTTACTCACGGAATTGCTTGTAAATGAAGTTCTGCTTCTGGTGTCTGCGACGCCACGGGTTGACGTAGGACCGTACTTGCTCCATGGCTGTGAGACGCGGAGCCTCCAGGATCTGTCTGTCAGCTGGAACGCACTGTAGAAAGCTCACATCATTGACGGTGTCGAGAAGAAACAGCAGTTCTCTGGCAAACTCTTCCAGAGTGAACAGGTAGCTGGGGTTAGTTCAGGATGCTCCCTCGTCACTCACAAGTAGACCAAGAAGACAACTTCGTTCGGGCCATCATTAGCGTCGTGTTCTGCATCTGGAGCTCGCCCCCCGCTTCCGCCGTCCGTGTCGGTATCGCTGTGATCGGAGTCGTAGATGCCTAAGCGGCGGCGAGGACCCGCATAGATGCTCTTGATTGCACGACTGCTAGATCGACTGAAGTTGGACAGAGCGGTCGCCACATTGGCTCTCAGCTCTGGAATGTTGGTCGACTTTGCTGCATCGGGGTTCTCCGTGATGACAGCCTCCACAGCATCCAGTCCGTAGTCGCAGCGTTCCTGTATGTTAGTTGAGATTCGGGCCGCCACAACTCACGACCAGCGTGTCGAGATCATCTCCAGTGATGCGCTGCAGCTGGAGGAACAGGTCAACGCTCTGCGTTACATCTGCCTCGCGTTCGACCGTGACTGCCGGCAAGTTGTTGAGGTCGCCGACGACTGATGGCGATACCTTCTGACGCTTCTCGGACTGGTCGATCGATATACGTCCATCGATGTGTGCTCTGAGAAGCGCCTCCTGAACTCGAGTACTGCTTCGCATGGCGGCGAGATGCTGCGCCAAACGAGCCATACTACCAATGGCAGCTTCGTACAGGTCAATCTTGATACCACGCATGCGCGGGTCGATGAGGCGCTCGTGCTTGGCGTCGGCAAGGTTTGCCTTTAGAGACTTGAATGCAGCACCGTGCGACTTGACGGCGTCCGCAAGAGGCATGCGATTCTCCTTGATGACCGTCTTCTCCAGGAGGAAGGTCGACCCGAGGAGGTCCAGGAGGGTTGAGAACGAGTTCAAAGACTTGGACATGGAGTTCTGCAAACGTGTCGTCGCTGACCTTGGGTAGATCAGGAAGCAAACCACGTTTGTGATGCAGGCTCCGATGAACACGATCAGGAGCACCTCCTTCAGCTTGATCCAGCCACCTTCCTTCACGATGACAGTGAACACTGTTACAGCGGCCATCGAACAGCCTGATGTCAGTTAGGCCCGAGCATTGTTAACTCACCTGTGTTGAAGGCTGGGTTACCGACCCAGAGCTTGGCCCAAGCAAGTCCTCCCATCGCACCGCCGACGCAGAGAATGCAGACAAGCCAATCGCCGAGCTCACTAACCCAGTCCCATCGGCTGCCGTGAGATGGCGAATAGTAGTCGAAAAGCGCTACGATCCCGAAGGATATGAGCGACACGACTGCAGATAAACTGGCCAAAATGGCGCAATACCGCGTAGAAAGGATCATGTTGCCGAGAGTTCGGGCTGGGTTGAACTACGCTGTCAGCTGCGATAGAGGTCTAGCAGCTCACGTATACGACAATGGTGGCCACCATGTGCGCCGAGTATGCCGGGCGAGGATGAGGTCTGCCGTGCACGTCTGTTTCTGTTCGCATGCTAAGCAAGTTTGACAGCGCTGGGACGAAAGTGAACAGGGACGCGATGAAGTATGCCAAGCCACACTTGAGAACGTCTGTCAGCCATGGTGGCTGCTTCCATCGCTCCTTCCATTGCGGTGGTCCCTCTGCCACGTTAGTGCAACAATAAGATAGGTGATACACACGTTTCGTTGGCGTAGTCGGTGGCAACTGCGGAGGGCCAGAAGGCAGCCGAATGTGCTGCTGCTCAGTCGCCCCATAGCGGATCGAGATCGGCGAGCGACCTGCTGACGGTGCCTGGGGCTCCTGCGTGTCTCCCATGGCGGTCGCAAAGCTTTCCATGACACTGTCCATAGTCGGGGGCGAGGTCGATAAGATGCCCGACATGGAGGGTTCTGACATTGCGGCGTCTGCCAGATCTGCCGAGGACAGGATGGGGCTCTGTCTGAGCGTCGATCGCGAAGCTGTTGCTGATGTTCGCAAGGCCGCGGCCGGTGACGAGCCGTCTCGCTTCCGTGCGTTTGACGGCCCGTCTTGGGGCGATGGGATCATGAGGTCAGCCAAAGTCTCCCAGTTGGCGAGGTAGTCGTTTTGGGGCTGGACTCGGCTGCGCGATGAGGGGACGTAGATGGAGCCGGGTAAGCTCTGGCCTAAGCCAGCGCCGGGTGACGGTGGTGGTGCACCGGCTGATATGTGCCGTCTAAGGACGGGTCGTGACACTGGTGTGGACAACCAGCTGCCGTCCGCTGCTGAGCCAGGGGCGGGGAAGGTGGCAGTCGTCGGGGTGCGAGGAAGGCCAGCCCTGCTGGAGCCAGCTGCGGGCTGGCCGTCCTCGTCGAACTCGAACATGGACGAGTTGAGGCTCGGAGGGAGCCTGCGGGCCCTCGCTATCGGCGAGCGGGACGGACTTCGTGAGCGTTGCGGCATGACTAGTGTACAGAGCGATGAGTTGACATGTGACGGCCAAGTGATGCACCTTTTGTCACGCGGGTGCTTCCGCGGACTACCTCCACCAGGACCACACAAACACCTCTGCGACCATTCAGTACAGCCCTGCAGGCCAAGCCAAGGATCTTGGAACGGCACATGCCAAAGGCACAGGTGGCTGGCGGAGGCAAATTGTTGATCTCCGCCTGTACCCCGCGTCATACGGTGACCACCTGGGCATCTTGGATGCGAGCTCGCAAGCATTGTCTGGTCCGCTCTCCAAACACCTTTCATACCTAAACAACAATGGCCGCGGCGCAGGAGGCACCAGCTGCAGATGCCACCGCAGCGCCTGCCCCAGCTGCCACGGCTCCGACTGCGGCATCCTCATCCAACACGAGCACGATCCAGGCAAATACGACGGTCCTGTCAACCCTCCACAACCTCCTGAGGGCACATGTCGCTGCTCATCCATCACCGACACTCCCGTACCTCCACCCCTATGCACCGCTGCCAGCATCGGCTTGGAAGGGCAAGGCGAAGGCTGAGCTTCTGAGCCAGCCTCAACAGGCAGACGCTCTGCAGGCGATTCGAGAAACAATGGAGGGTGCGAAGGCTGTTCTGGCAAAGCGAGAGAATGATCGATTGCGCTTGACGAGAGCTATGAAGGAAGTGTGAGTGGTCTCGCATCTGATGAATACCCCTGACAATGCAGCGTCAACCACGAGACGGCTCTTCTTCCCCTGGGCACTACGCTGTCTTCTCTGCCACCGGCTCGACGGATACCGTTGAGCCCAAAGGGGACTTCTGACTTGCTTCATGCTCTTGCGAAGCGTGTCGGATTGCAGTGCTTTGCCGAAGATGCTGGAGGGCAGAAGACGACCTTGACGCTGGCTGGAGAGCGCTTCGTCGTGGACGTCGACATTGAAACCGACAGCGACGGCAAGGTCATGATACACAAGCTCACGGCGACTCACATCACGCCCGGGGGAGAGACAGGGAAGAGCGAGTGGATCGAGGGCGTCATGCGGAAAGCTGTCGACCAGCACACCTCGCTTTGGAACTCGAGGCAGGGGAATGACGACAAGCTGCGCGCTTCTGGTCGCACTATTGAGTGCTTGCTCGGCGAGCTCAAGATGCTGGACGACCTGGCGGTGCGGGACAAGACTGGGATCGACTACTTCGCCGAGCTCGAGACACTCACCGCGGCAGTTGGAGAGAAGCTCAAGGGGACCGATGAGAAGGTCCGCATCTATCCTGATCCCAACCAGGGCATATTCCCTTCCTTCCGACTGTTTGATGGTGGCGTCAACGGCAACCCGACACTCCGGTTGCGCCCGACACTCCAAGGAGAGTCCGTGTCCCTGCCACCATCTCCAGAGTCACAGGTGGCTCCCGATGGAGCTGCCGCTGCTGGAAGCGCAATGGAGGTCGACCAGCAGCACCCGACCGGGATCTGCAAGGGCTCGTGGGTGACCGAGGCCGTCGACGAGTACCCAGAGCCGTGCTCTTCAGGGAAGGGGATCGTTGTGCGCCGGACATGGGCTATCCCTGGTCCGGAGGACGGCGAGTCGAAAGCCTGGTCGGCATCTGTCAAAGCCGAAGGTCTTGTTGTAAGTTTCCCGACGCCATTGACCAACTGACAGCAGTACCAAGGAGCAGTCGAAGCTCTGGGCATGGCGGCCATGCCCATCTTCCCGTACAACACGGACTTTGTGCACCCGACTGAAAGCCTCAAACAACACTGGTCAATGGGGCACCCGGGCCCCGAAGGCTTCGTCGTGGGAAGAATCGCCGTTCCGGGCACATGGGAGGCCGTCGGCAGTGTCTGCTCGGCGCTCAGAGTTCAGGCCGTTCTGAACGAGCTGATCAATGCTGCATTCCCGCCATCAAAGCTCAAGGACCAGGCGGAGCAGCAGGCAGACGACGCTGCCGGCAGTGCCGAGGGCGATGACGCCGAGATGGTTGACATCTCAGAGCTCGAGGGCGGTGAGTGGTTGCCAAGTATGTTTCTCCGAGGCTAATACTCCCAGCGCGTTCTGACATTCCGGTCAGCGCCATGCTCTTCCAGCAGAGCATGCGCGTCAGTATGCCGCTTAGTGAAGACGCCGACGGGGCGTTGCTGCTAGAGATACAGGCGACCCCGGAACCTCCGTATGTGTCGGTGTCTTGGCGCGTCGATGACGGAGTGACAGTAGACGATGCGACCCGAGGGCGCCTCGATGACGCTCTTACGGCGACTAAGAGCATGGGACCTGCCGATCTGATCGGAATCGTCCGTGACGTCGCCAAGGCGCTGACGCCGGCGTGAGCTGGCACCAGCATCACGCTAGGAGAGTCCGCCCACCATACTGTGTGGAGACGTATGCATGCAAGCATTATGAAGCGAGGCACAAGCAATGCACTACGATGCACTAGTTCGGCGCGATCGTAGTAGTGAAGACGACGCCAAAGATAGCTCCGGGCCGAGTCAAGCCAAGCTTAGGCTCAGCTCGTGGTCGCGGTGAGGATGATATGGTTTGCGGTGATCGAAAATTTCCGAAAGGGGCAATGTGGAAATGACCGAAATCACCTGCAAGCTTCCCAGGACTAGATGGGTGACTAGTCCGCGGTGTCTGCGCGTGTGCAGTGTGCGGGCTGTCTGCTGTGCTTGCCAGTGTTTGCTTGCAGTGCACGGAGGAACGGGGCGAAGGTAGGTAGGTACATGACTCGGCGCCTTCACGGCTGGCTGCTTGGGCCGGCGGCTTGGCTGGCTGTGTCCCCCTGTAAGGAAGTAGGAGCGTCGGTGGCCGCCATGGGCATTTCAGCATTTCAGCATTTGAACCTCTGCTCCGCCCGCCGCCCCGCACCCATGTGTTCTGAGTCAATGATGCATCCACCGTCTCAGTTGCTTCTGCAATCCTCCTATCCTCCGTTTGCTGACCAAGTCCCTCCGGCAAGCAGTCGCCACCGCCCTTCGATACAGAGTAGATAACACTAATCGTGCACCAGCGCAATCGAAAACGCCGCAGCCACAAACCCAAATCCGATCCGACACAGGTGCGATCGAAGTCTCGCCGATCACATTGCTTGGCCCCTACTCGCTCAATCACCATCCATCCCATCTTTCGTTCCCTCCATCCCATCGCCTTAACGTCAGCCTGTGCACACATCCCAGCTGCACGTCCCGTCCTCCTTACCCCTTCCCTCCTCTTCTAGTCGCCCCGCCCCCCCGCCTGCGCGCATCTGCACGCGCCATGTCCGCGCCACCCGGAGCCGTCGTAAGTTCTTCGCATCGCTTAACACACGGTGACGTTTTCACTGACCACCCACCGCGCCGTCCCGTTTGTCACCAATCTCGATCACATCCTGCATCAACAATCCCCATCAACCCCGCGTCCCGCACCCCCACACGCGTCGTATTTCCATTCCTTCCAACATCCTCGCACCGTTGTCGACGACTTTTGTTGCTTGTTGACAACTCTCGATCACCCGCCGCACGCCGTCGATGACGTCCTCCCCCGAATCCGCAAACGGCTTCCTCCCATGACGCTCGATCGCGACAACAAACTCGTTCCTCTCCAAATCCCGTCTTCCTCGCAACCGTTTCCTCGTGTGCAGCCTCTGGGTGGAGTCCGATGCTACTGGGCCCTGCTCGTGCCCACCTACAATGCCGACGCGAGCGGGCAGAATCGACTCGAGCTCAAATTTGCCTACCTCGACCCCGTTCTCAGCACGCATCTCGGCGCTCAGAATATCGCTCTGACCGACCACGGCGTCATCGAGTTCATCCATGAAGCGGAACGCGAGCGTGAGTAGCATTGTTGCGTAGTCGATCGACTGGGCGCATCGCGGCCCTCCTACGATCGCGATCGGTGGCCCAGGGGTTCATCACTCAGCGACACACACGCACACATCCGTTGCCCCTACCCGTGGTCCTCGGTGGCGTAGACCATTTCATCACAACCCTACCGTCGTTACCGAGTAGGAATTACTCTTGACGGCCCATGCTGCACTCGCCGCTGCTTGCATTGCATTGGAGATGCTAGCAAGCGGGCAGTGCATTCGCCGTTTAAAATCCAACCAGCATTCCTCTTCGGCCTGACGTCAACCCCCCGCCACTGGTTGCGGACCCGAACTAACGATCGCAGAGGCACGCAAGGACCTGGCGAGTGCAATCCAGAACGATGACCTGCAAGGAAGTGTTACGAGGTGAGTCCGCGCTCGGCCGACCTCGGCCGGTTCGGCACTGGAGGGCGCAATAGCTGACCAAGACAGGATGCGGCTTCCGCGCCTATCGCGTGTGAGAACGATGCTCGGGGCGCAGCCGCAGGAGGTGTCGCGGCCCCCAGGACTAGAGAAGGTCATGGAGAACGCAGAGTACCTTGTGATCGACCTGGTGCTGAACTGGGTCGCGGATGGGCTGCTACTCGCCTTCTTCCATGCGATCAAGGACAGGGACCCGCAAGCCAACAATGACCCGCAACGCAAACATGAGGGCTGGTCGAATTACTGTGGTGCGGGCACCATGTTCCCTGAGGAGGTGAGTTGCTTCTTTTGAGCGGGATGTCACTGACCGTGCAGCAAATACAGGTGCTGCAACAGGCGGTTGCGTCGAACGTTGTCCTCCCCGCACGGACACGGTACCCGCCGACGCGTGTGTTCCAGCTACAGGCGACAGGTGGCCCACACCAGCCGCCAAGTCTTCTCTTCTCATGGCCACCTCCGCGGCCACCCAACGCACCCGGACACGGTGATGGGATGTACGACGCGGAGGAGTATGCGGAGCTCATGCGCGGCGTCGACATGGACCCGAGCATGCTGACGACCAAGCCGGGCGAGGTACGCACGAACTGCACGACGCGTTTCGGCGCAGAGCACTCGATTCGTACTGAGGGCGTGTACCGGCACGTCAACAGTGTGTTCATCCCGTATGGCTCGCTCGTGTTCGCTTGCTACCAGACGAAGAAGACGATCGAGCTGCGTCCTACTGGTACGACCGAGGCATGGTCCGCCCCGCAACAACCATCTCCCGCGACGTCGCCTGTCGTTGCTGGTGGAGGCGAGTGGCGTCCCCAGCAAAGCGAGTTCGACAACAACTACCCGCCTTCCTCCCAGTTTGGCCGCGACTATCCTCCCCCAGGTGCCCCCGGAGGACCAGGCTACGGTGCGCCAGGGTACGGTCCCGGCTATGGGCGGATGAACGACGCGGCGCCGGCCCAGCCCCGGCCAACAGGCAGCAGTTCCCGCCCGCTGGTCCGTCCCCCTGGGGATGTGGAGAAGTGTCGGGGCTGCGGCACGCGCGAGTCCCCCGAATGGCGCAAGGGCGAGAATGGCGTCAAGGACCTGTGCAACGCGTGCGGCCTCAAGCTGGCGCGTGCGGTCGCTAAGAGAGAGGGAAGACAGAAGCCGAGGAAGAAGGACAAGACGTAACCGCGTGAGCGGGGCGAGTAGTCAGATAGGGCACGCCTCGCTAGAGTACGGAGTCTGGAAGAGGAGGAGCGGAGGAGGAGCAGGCTGAGCCAGAGCCTCGGAGAGGGGAGCGGAGAATACCAGCATTGAATGCGGTGCGACGACGGAGACGGTGACGGTCCCTAATAATCCCGTAGTAGAACTTGGTATAATGGGGAGGGTGTAGGTATTGGAGTTGGCGAGTGCGGTGCGCGGCAGTGTCGGAGGCGCGCCGCCGATCTTCTGTTGACCAGGAAGAAATGCATCTGTGCATCATTTGTGACTCATTCTGCCGAGCTGCCGAGGCGCGAGGGCGCGGAGGTGCGAGCGAAGCGAGCGAGTGATCTAGGCACTTCATTATAACGCTTGACGCTTTGATCAACGATCATCGCTGCGCTCTCCGGGTGCGTGCCGGGCGTGCCGGGCGTGCCGACCAGAGCGGCAGCGCCTGAGCGTTAGACTCGAGACCGGCGGTGCTGGGGTGAAACGTAGGCGCGGAGCAGAGGTCGTAGGAGGCTGATACGCTGTCTCGCTGTCCCGTAACCAAGCTCAGCGCGAGCGATAAGACCATGTTTCCGCACAGGTCTCCCGCTTGGTAACGACTGTTCCAGAATGCTGAACGGACAGAATGGAGGACAAGGTTGCGAGCGAAGCTAGCGAAGCCAGTGAAGGTTATCGTGACGTGTCAGAAGCTTCTGTCAGGCTTTGGCCAGCAGAGCGTGCTTGATTCAGATTGAGCGGCCAGCGGTCAGGTCACGCCTTGAGGTAAGTTGGCAAGGAACCCGGTCACACCCATAACAAGCATGCAACACCATGTGTCACTGCGCCGAAGAGCCGATGCGCCGATGCATGCCCGTTATGCCGTACGATGATCATTGACAACGTGTTCTGCATGGCTTTACTGGAATCGAGCGTGGGTCAACGTGCTGCCTGTTAATGGACATGCCGCTCGATCATCGCGATCGAGATCCGAGCTGCGGACTCGTGATCGTGTTCATAATCATGAGGCTCAGACAGATCTTCTTCTTTGCCAGGCATGCTCGGCCTTTGAGCTTTCGCAATTGCCTCAGTAAATATTGTCACGCCGCTGCATACCGAGTCTAGCATGCCGAAGGCCGCCTGCCGACTTGTGGCCGCCCGCCCGCCT